TAATTAACTATAATAAATATATTATTATATTTCTTATTTATAAAGCCAGAGATATAGAAGTTTATAGATAAATTGTCTTATATTTTTAGGGAAACCGGTAATAGATATAATAGACCTAATATTTTATTTCTTGGCTTATAAGATCTTTAATATTTATAATAGTTTATTATAAAGTAATTAATATCTAAAGAAAAAATAAGCTACTAATAAAGTCTCTAAACTAGGATTTTTATCTTATTTTAACCGGGATATATAGTAGTTATTATACTATGAATTTATTATAAGAGCCTAGTTTATAGATTATTATATTTATCTAATATAATAAGTCTTTTATTATAAAATATATAGCTATTTAATATTTCTTATAGATTTATATTCTCTCGAGATTTTCTGTATTTGTTTTCTAGAACTAGGTCTATCTAATTAGCTTATAGAACTTTAATTATAATAAATAGCTTATTTATTTCTTTTATCTTAGTAGAAATATAAGTTATATTTATTATCTTAGTAAAAGTAAAAATTAGGTCTAATAAAATAACTTATCTAGTTCTTTTAGCTTCTTTAGCCTATTTCTAAGTTAGTATAAACTCGTTTTTTCGGGATAAGATATTAATAATAGTATTATTTTTACCTAATTAATAAATAATCTAATAATGAAATTATAATAGGAAATCTATTTATTAGATTTATTATTTATTTAAAAGCCTTTTAGTACTAAAATACTCGAGAACTTTATAATTAGTAATAATTAGAAAATTAGGTAAGCTAATTAGTTTTACTTATTATTTCTAGAATTCTTAGATAATAATAAAAAGTTCCTTATTATAAACTTTATAATAGCTTTTGACTTCTTAAAGAGCTTTGAAATAAAATAAGACCGGGTACTATTATTCGTTCTCTGGGCTTTTTTAAGAAAGTATATCTATAATAGCTAAATCTAAATAGTTAGTTTCCAGGCGGGTTTCTTTATTATATTTAAAATAGAGAAGTATAGAAATAAAAAGAAGTAGATCTTTAAGCTAATTAAAGGTATTTAGCTAGGTTTTATTAAATATAAACTTTAGTAAAATATTCTTTTTAGTTAAATAATTTAGGAAATAAGAGATATATCTATAGACTTAAATAAACCTATAGTAGAAGTTATAAAAGCCTAAAAACAACTATATTTTCCTTTTTATTATAGGTTAGTACTAGTTTCGAATAATAGAAGTTTTAGTAAAATCTATTTATATATCTTAATTCAAAATAATAAATCCTAAAAATATTATCTTAAAGACTTTAAATTTATATTTATAAATATTAACTTATAATCTAGTATTCTAAAGCTTTTATAGAACTATTTTAATATATTATTAATACTTTTTCTTATTCTTAAAGAAAATTAGTATATTATTAATATAGGCCAAATAAAAGTTATCTAAATAGTCTATTAGGATAATATTAATATATTACTAAAAAATTACTAAACTATTATAGAATCCAAATAGTAAAATTACTAGTTTAAATAATTTATATCTTATTCTAAAAACTATCTATATTATAGAAGCTAGTTTTATATAAATTTAATTAAAAGTATATTAAATATTTAATTTAGTAAATACTAATAATTTGGCTAATTAGTTAAAAGTCTTAGTAATAAGTAATAGGAAATAATAATTCTTTTTTATTATAGTATTTAGTTATTAATAATTAGTATAAAATTATGGGCTACTATTTTTCTTTTTAATAAATAAGACTAGTAATAAAAAAAGGGATTTAGATAGCTTAATAAAATTCTTTTTTAGGTTTTTAATAAAATACTTTCTTATTTTTTTAAGTTTACTAGAGCTTATTTTATAGAAATAAACTATTCTTATTAAGGGATCTAGTTTATTAAAATAGAGCTTATAATTAAAGAATTAAGACTAGGAAAGCTTATTTACTACTTTCTTAAAGAATACTCTAGTTATATTATATAGTTATATAAAAAGAAATATCTAGAGTTTTTAAAGTTCTTTAGAATTAAAAAATAATATATTACTAAGAATATCGGATTTATTTATATCCAGGAAATATATTAGATTACTAGTTTAAATATAATATCCGGCAGGCTATAGTATTAGTTATCTAATTACTATAAATAATAGTAGATATTTTTTTAGTTTATAATTCTGTTTTTTAAATATATAATTAATTTTATTAATAATAACTAATCTAACTAAGTTATTAGGATCTTTAGTACTTAATTAGAAAATAGTTATTCTAATAAAATAATAGGAATAGTCTAGTAGCTTAACTATTTCAAAAGTATTAAGGTCTAGCTCTTTCTTTCTTATCTAGTATTTAGCTTTTCTTATAAGAGGATCTTATAAAAGAATAAGAAATATATTCTTTTATTTTTCGAGTCTAGTTTTATTAGTTCTTTTTAGGATTCTAGTTAGAATATTTTTAGAATAGTTATTTTTTTAATATTTCTTATTAAAATATTGGATTTTCTAAATAAGGTCTAGCTAATTTATCTTATAGTTCTCTGGCTAATAGAATTAATTCTATTAATAGTATAATAGAATATTATACTTTATTAGCTATTTTCTTCCCAAAATTATATTATAAGAGCTAAGGTTAATAATAAGCAGATATTATTAAGTTTAAAAGTATTAATTAATAGCTAGATTTATAATAGCTAGATATTAAATAGCTTTACTAGATTATTTATTAAAATCTTATAAGAAAATAGGGGTTTTAAGTTTATATAAAAGTATTTATAATACTTTTATTAAAAGGCAAATATACTTTTAGTTAATTAGAATATATATATTTATTCTAGTATTTACTAAATACTAGAAGATTATAGTTTTACCTTTTTAATATATTTAATAATTAATAAGAAACTAGTTTCTACTAATTAGCTAAATAAGATCTATAGGTTTTTAGTAAAGTTCTTATTTTAAAAAAGCTATCTTTATATCTAGAACTAGACTTTTCCTAACTTATTAATATTATACTTTTTATTAGATAATAAATAGGAATTAGTATTCTTATTATTTATTCCTAAATTATTAGCTTTCTCTAAATAATTCTCTTTAATAAGTATAACCTTATTAAAGTTAAAATAAGTATTTTTTATATATCTAGGCTTTCTATAGCTATAATAATAAAGGCCCTCTAGCTAGTCTAGTTTCTTTTCAAATTCTCGGTAAACTACCTTTTTTAGCTATAAAAATACTAGCTACTAAGATTAATTTATTAAATATAGGATTATTATAGTTTCTTGAATTCCGGTAAACTTTCTAGCCCGAAATAATATTTAATAATAAGTAGTTTTTACTAGTTATTTTTCCTGAAATTACTAATTTTTAATTAAAAGAAGCCTATTCTCTTATTTTATATACTACTTAATAAGGTTCCTAGAAGTATTAAACTTCTTATTACCTAAGCTTTTAAATAGCTCGAGATTTATTTTATTTATTAAATTATTATATTAGTTATTTAGTAACTTTTCTAGTTTTATTATTAAGTAAATAAACTTTATCTAGAATATTAGAAATAGCTTATTTCTTTATCTTAAATACTAGTATATCTCTTTTATTTTCTAATATTCTATTTCTTTATTTTTACTATAAGCTTACTAGAGAATCTTAAAGATCTATTTAGTAATTAAGATCTATCTAACTAATTCAGGTTCTAGTTAATTATAAATAAAGTTATAGGTATCTCTAGTAACTAGTTATATTATATAAATAATTTTTAATAATTTACTATTAAATTTAGAGAAGTTCTATATTAGTTTATTTCTTATATTAAATATCTAATTATTAATCTAGTAATTGTTTTTATTTATAAATAGAATAAGATTCTTAATTCTAATAAGCTATAGTTAATTACTATAGACTAAAAGTAAAAAAAAGCCTTAATATTAGCCCCTAAATAGTTCTCCTAATAGGAATCTATAATATTCCTAAATATCTATTTATTTGAATTTCTATTTTATTACTTCTTTTTATATTAGTCTTTTTCTTATATAAAATTAACTAGTAATTACTTCTAGCTTATTAACTTTCTTAATAAATTAGTTAATATATAAATAGAATTTCTAGTAGTATTTTGCTTATTTATTAGCTATAAGGTAATATTTATTAATAAGATTATTTCGTATAAGTAATCTTTATTAGGTCTTATTTATTTTTAGAATATTTATACTAATTTTAAGTTCTAAGTTAACTAGCTATTTCTTAATATCTTTTTCCGAAATAGTATTATAATGGCTTTTCCGTTTTATTATACTAGAGCTTCTTATCTAATATACTTATAGTAATAGTACTTGGCCCCGGGCTATTTATAATAGTTTTAGAAAAGATATTAGCTATAGAGATAAGTACTAAGTAAGTTCTTCTTATTTAATATTAGTAAACTATAACTAATTATTATCTTATCTAATTTTAAATTAGTAAACTAAAACCGACTATTATCTTTTCTTATTTTAAATTAGTAAACTATTACTAATTCTTCTTATATTAGGAAAGGAAGCCAGTTCTTTTACTCTTATTAGTATTAAGGGAATATTATCTGCTCTAGTTAAGGGTTAGGCTCCGAGATTAACTAGGTTATAGAGAATAATATCTTTCTTCTTTTGTATTAATAAAGAACCGACTATTAAAAGGGGAATATTATCTGCTCTAGTTAAGGATTAGGCTCCGAGATTAACTAGGTTATAGAGGATATTATACTTCTAGTTAAGCTCTCTAGTTCTTTATAGTTTGAGGAGATTATTAAATATTAAAAGCAGTATTCTATCTTTGCTTTCCAAGAATAAATACGGATCCTTTGCTAGTAGTATTATATTACCTTTATAGGCCGAGTCGAGTAAGCTTAGTATTATGTAATAGCGGGATTAATATAATAGTCAAAGGCTCAAAGTTTAAAGAATCTCATATATTGGAAAATACTAAGCTATAGAATAAAGTAGAGAGGATACCTTGATCTTTAGTATTATTACGTCTAAGCAATTCTGGCTTAGCTTCGTTTTGTGCCTGTTTCCGATATCCTGTCCTTGGCAGATCATGCCCTTACGCCAGCCGTCACACCGACAACCAGTCGGTAGTTCCTCGCTTTCCTGGCGCCGACTTGCACTACGTGCGCTGGCCCGAACCCGGTGCGGAAATGCCTGCGAGTATATGAGTTCCTCGCAGTTTGAAGAACCCAACCTGGGTCACATGATGTCCAAGCGGCTCATTCTCAGACAGCAAGGGCATAATATATACTATGACAAGTATTACCGTTCCCATCATTATACATGGAATGCCCGTCATCTTTCTTTATGTTCCATGTTCCAAGAATGCTATTCTTGTAACTTTGTAGTCCAGATCTATATTTTATTAGTACTTTCTGCAAAATATATAGAATCTCACTTACCCAGCATGGCCATTATTAGAAAATGATTGGGCATCTATACTAATAGTGAAAGAAAAAGTAACCCCGGTCGAAAATGTGACTTGTTTGCTTGCTACGCCTTCCCACTTAAAAAGCCCATTTGATCTCACTTTTTCCATATTGCTCGAAGAGGGGTTCTTTTTACAAGCTGAGCTGCCGTCTTGAGCGCAATACTATTTCGAAGTTAATTCCAAGACGCCTAATTTGAAATAGGAAAATCGTATCATATGAACAAAACCAACCTACCACTATTGCACTGTAGGCATTGCCGCAGTTAACCAAGTGTATGCCCTGAACATAGCGTTTATCGAGCACACTAGCCGTAGTAAAGGCGAGAATGTTAAAGAACAAAGTCAAAAAATAAAGAGGACCCATGGTGGTGAAGATAAATACGTATCAAGTCTGTAGTAGGTTTCGTCGATCTCGCTCTATGTAAGAGCTATTGAACAATGGAATTTAACAACGGTATTGGGAATCATAGGTGCCTTTTATCTGTGGAAAAACGCGCCCCCCTCCCTTGGAAGTAAGATTTGTGGCTGCCACTAGTGAACGCTTATCTACTATCCCTTTAACGGTTAGACTTGAACTCACACTAGCAAAGATTATACACCTTCTTGGCAAGAAAACAATAAAGTAAGCGATATGGATATAAGCAATAAATGCAAGCAAGCCGGTGTCTTCGGCCCAGATTCTAATAGGTTAATTAATATCTGATATACTAGATTTAGAATCGGATATAGTATAACCAGTGTCTTCGAGATGACCTCAGTGTCTTGGGGAAGTTCTGAAGGAAGTTATCCGTACTATGAGGAGTTGAGTTATTAAAGTCCAGGCGAGGAGAGTGCTATAGTATAAGCAGGCTTGAATATAAATGTGCCTTGCCCACTTCTACCGGTCTTGTCCCTTATCCAACATTTACCTCTTCCTATAGCAGCTGTCATGGCGCGCTTCTCCCTTACTGCATTCCTTGCGGTATATGCAGTTCCTGCCTTTGGGATTGTGAGTGTTCACTGGATAGCTTTGCGGTCAAGTGATCTGTGGCCGACGCGTTTTGTAGCCGACACACCGGACAGGCTCTCGCGTTACACACGATTAAGGCAGCCTCGTCGCTCCAAGTTGGAGCACACTTTTTCTTCCTTTGCTGTATTTCGGTACTCTCACAGTTTATGGCATTGTATCTTTATCAAACATCTAGGACGCATCTTCTCGTCTGATCACCTACGTTGCCAGACCTCGCCCGCGGGCCCGGGCTTTCGGACGGGCTCCCCAGCTTGCAGATGGCACCAACTCACCAGCCGCAGCCCTCGATCCTACGAGCTTCCTCTTCGGGGTAGCAGCAATCTGCTGGGCGCAGAGATGGGGGACAGGAGGAAGGGTAAAGGGAAGGCTTCACGAGGCAATGGATCCAACACCAAAGACTACACTTCGGATGCCACTGCTCAAAGCTCGTCGTCCCATGTCGATAGAGGCATAAAAAATCCTGTGGAGTACCTCGATTATTGCCAAATGAACGAGAAGCTTGAAGCAGCAGCCTTCAATCGAGGATCCAAATCGGATAAATTCGTGCCGCTCAACAGACTCGAGGATATATGGAGGGATAGATTGGGTCGATTCCTAGTTATCCTTGGGTTGGGGAAGGACATATTCTTGGTTAATGATATCACGAAAAACCTCATCAAGACGCTATCGATCCTGGTTACTATCGGGTGGAAGAAATGGGATGCATTTGGGGATATATTCTTGGAAGAGAGAGGGGGTTCGGTGAGAGGGGATCGCAATGACCACAATTTGCCATACCCTCTGGCGATCCTGGAGGGGCAAGACGGCGACCCTTTCCTCGGAGAACATTGGGCCGGGAAGTTTCGCGCCGAACAAAGTACCTTTATCCCTATCATCATAAAAGAAGGCGGGAACGAGATATACCGGGAGGGACGGCCGCTTCCCTTCATTAGATCGCAGACACTGAAGCTGAAGAATGGCGGATATGGAAGTGTCACCAGAGAAATTATCGCTTGCCACCACTTTCGTAAGTTTTCCTCCGTGGGTTTGATCATCCTAATCACTGAAAGAGGTCTACGACCAAGGACCGCTCATTTGCTGCAACACTTGAGCTCTCCTCACTGACTTAATCTAGAATCTAGAACACCCTCTGGTGAACCATTCTTGCATCCTGTTCGTAACTTGCTACGTCCTTGTGAAGGATACATCACTGATCAGAATCACAGAAAGAGATGAGGGTTGCTCGAAAAAGATTTCCAGCAAGAGGTGACTTCAAGAAAGAGGCTCGAAACCTGGCAGATTTGAATTCAAGTCTTTCTGATCACAAACGAATCGTTCGATATCTGGCTGTCTTCACTGTTGAGGATGAGGAGGACCAGGACGCCCAAAAAGAGTTTAATATCATCTTACCACTTGCCGACACTGACCTGCAACAATTCTTATACGACAAAGCTTTCGAAGGCTCATGGGGTAATGTTGCCGAAATTGTCAAGGAAGCATCAAACCTTGCCGATGCTATGAGGTGGCTTCATGAAGGCCAAATCATCTCAGGAAAAGTTCTTGTTTGTTGCCACATGGACATCAAGCTTGACAATGTTCTAGTCTACCAGAACGACAATCCTCCTGTTGGCTGGTGGAAAATCTCGGATTTTGGCATTTCATCATTGAAAGAACGCAAAAAGGAGCGAATAGCCCCACAAAGGCCCACGTCAGCACTTCTCACCGTCCCTACCACGAGCCCAGCGGAATCGCTAAGGATCATCACGGCCCAAATGAGGACGACTGTGAAGCGCCCAGCTGGGGCATTTTCCGCTCCAGAAGTTGAAGCAGGAGGTAATGTTGGGCCAGAAAGTGACATATTCTCGTTTGGATGCATTTTATTTCAAGTTCTTGCCAGAGCCACTGGCGGGATTCGATTATTGAAGGAACTCGATGACAACAGGGCCTCCTTTGAGGAGAATGGCACTAGAAACGATCATTTCTGTCAGAGAATGGAAGGAAGGAAAGCCATTCATAAGGATGTTAGTCTATGGTTGAAGACTTCGGACGGCCTTCGAGGGACTTTACCTGATCGAAGTATGACCATGAACTGCAAAAAGTTGATTGAAAAGACCCTCGAAATTCCTCCCGAAGCCAGGCCAAGTGCAGCAACCCTTCATGCCGAATTGGCCAAGATTGCCCATGGCGAAGGGGAGGAATACTCCTTCGATAAGCATTCCAACCTACTATCTGATGTTTCCCGTTCATCCGCAAGCAAGCCAAAGTCTGTGGATAGACCCCAGATTTGCATCAAGCCTTCACCACCAAAGACAGAGCAAGAAGATCTACCCGATCGAATGTCCGTCTTAACCATGAAGATGCCAACAAGTCCGCCCATCTCCCCACGGCCCACGCGAGGCACCTTGGAAATCAATGCTCAACCTTTTCAGCCGATATCGCAACCACTACCGACTCCTCCTCTCGATACTGACCATCAAGATTCCCCAGAAACTGTACAACCCGGCCCCATGCCACCAATGGTGATGGGTCGAGCACCCCCTCGAAACCGACCAGACAATCCTCCTCCTCCACCACCACCGAATTTCTCCAACACCCGGCCCCAAAATACTATAGACTTCCAAAGAACGTCAGACCAGCCTCCACTACCTCACTTCTACAACCCGGCAGTCCAAAATACTGCATACTTTCAAAGAACGTCAGACCAGCCTCCGCCACGTCACTTCTATAACCCGACGGCCCGAAATACTGTAGACTTTCAAAGAACGTCAGACCAGCCTCCACCTCACTTCTACAACAACCCGGCCCAAAATACTGCAGACTATCAATACACCTCACCACTGATGCCTCTTCCGCAGTCTCCGATGACTTTTCCAGGGCAGCGCTCCAGAAAGGACTCTGCGCATACCAGCCAGAGTTTTGTTCATGATGTGGTGGCTCGCCGCTCAGAAAGAGGCGAACTCATACCTTTTACAACCCCGCCAGGTGTCATTTCAACGATTATCTCCTCCACACGTGCGAAAATTATATTCATCGCACCAAAAGAGGCAGTGGTATACACATTATACGGTCCAGACAGTGATGCATATAGTAAAACGATTTCTCCACCACAGAACTGCAAGTGGCAGAATGGAAGCCTCGCCGGGGACTTTGTTGCATTGTGTAGCGTCTCTGATAGCCATAATACCCAGGTATGATTTCTCACTCACTTATCCTGTCATCCCACCACTTCTAATTCTCTTCGCATCAGGGACTTCACCTCTATAAATTATCTCTGAGCTACCACAACCTTATGGTCCACGAAATACAACTCAAAACAGAACTCCCTTATTTTGAAAAGTTTACTGTGTCAATGGATGGGAGGCTGCTCCTTGGAAGATCGAATACAGTGCGATTATATGAGTCGTGGTGGGTAACTTCAACGTCGCTGTCAGAGGCAAATTCTGATAGCCTAGAATAGTGACGCCGAGGGAAAAGAATTGCAAATCCCAGCATCAGGAGGCAGCAAGTTGCAACGAGTGTGGTTCAGCACAAATGGCCTTTTAGCCTTTGCGTGGTTCTCTTTGCCAGGGAATCTACACAATGTGAAGATATGGGACGTGGTCGATACAAATATAAACGGTGTTCTCCCGTGCCAAATTGTAAGCAACTTTTTTCCCACAAAAGATATTTCTGACAACTAAGTAGCCGGAGAGTGATAACTCGGCGTCCGCTGTGAAGGATATCGTTCACTTTCCGAGTTCACCAATGTGCATGGTATGGAAAGAACACGATTTCGTCTCACTGCTCCAAAATTCAGAGCGTCCACAATCTGCCCAAGCGGCCCACTCACAGCAACTGAAAAACCTACAAGCAATCGTTGTCACCCCAAACGAGGAGGCCATTATATTCATCAGATCGTCCAGGAAAGGGCCTTTCAAAGTTCAATTCAAATCTACGATTTCAATTGCACGCATTCATCGAATTGGGGAGACTAGGGTGCTGGGGAGTATCTCTGAAGAGAAAGATCTGCTTTACTATCTGAAGAAGCCGGCGAAGTGCGATGTGGTTATTGATCGACACACCAGTACAAACACTATGGTCCGCGTATGGATTGCACATAGCAATGGAGATTTTGAGGTCAAGGATGTCGATTTACCATGAGTCGATGGAGTTTAGGTTCAACTACACCACCTCTTCACTCGCTGTCGACATTTGCTCGTTGCGGTTCTTCTGTTTCCTCCGCTTCCGCGACATGATCATCCAAGATCCTACGGTGATGAAGGTTAGAGATACTGTCATCAGAACGAAGATCCAAAATTGTCTTGAGATTGCAAATCCTGAGCCGTCGGAAGTCTGGAAGGTGAAGAGATTCATGCCGAGGAAAGACTGTTCAAGGATGTTAGCATAAATGGGTTATCAATAGTCTCATCTGTGGACTTACAGTAACAAAACTGGCTGGAAGGAAAATCAGGGTGACAATGGTGATTAGGCGTACAGTTGCCGAGTCATCGACAGTATCCTTTGTCAAGCTCCAGATGTTTCGATTGATCTTGACCGCGGTTGATTGGCTTTTGAGGTTGAGGGCGACTGCCAGCTAAATAAATGATCCCAATCAGTTCAAACCGTCCCGGAAGATTTCTTTAGTTCTGTGCTGACATACCAAACTCAGTATTTCTTGTATCCTCTTTTCTAGCAAGGCAACGGTAGCAATGTGCTCATGGGTATGGACCTCATACGACCGAAGCTCGTCCAAAATCTTGATCGAATGAAGCTCTCCATACAACCCCTGCCTTTGTAGCGTCTCATAAAGGCTCTTGAGGGACTTCACAGTTGCCAGAGTCGAGCGCAGTCTAGGGGAGAGAGGCAGGACTTTCTCGAGCAGACTATGTAAGCCTTGAAGAGTATCTGTGCCTCTCCCATAATGACCTTCTCTAGCAAAGTCAAGCGACAATGCAACAGACGCCTTGATATTGTCAGCGCTAAACAACCTCGGAGCCATGCTCAAGTCCAGATACATACGATGTGTTCGGTGTCTGCACTCAGGGTTTTCAAATACCATCTCCAATCACCAAAATAGGACGACAGGGCTAGAATATGGGAAAGCTCCCAATCATCAAATGAGCCTCCACTGTGATCCCATTCTAACGCACAAGCTTCGATCCGTTGCTGTAAGGTTGAGTTTGGTCTCGGGTGGAGAAAGATCCATATGCTTCCCGGTCCATTCGGGACATGGCGATGATATATCCCAGTCTGCCGTATTGCCCAGGAACTTGACGAGTTCCCTATAACTTCTTCAACGTAGCTGAGTCGATACTGTACTTCTAGATTCAGAATTAGATATTGAGGCGTTGAGATGGAGTGAAGAGCACACCATAGGAGCCGTCAGGGTTGTTCTTCGTGATCATGCTTCCCGTGCCGGCCTCTGACTCTTTGTTTCCAGTAGCAAATGAAAGTAGGAGGTCTAAAAACTGAGGCCCAGTACGGTGGTGATCAAGGATTGTTTTCATTGCCTGATCGGAGATTTTCAAGGGCTTTATGGAGTTGGGTGCACATATGGATCTGGAAATTAGTTGAGAACTCGTGCAACATTGTTTGGCAAACATTCTTACATAAATCTAGTATGCGGAGAATTATTCCCATCAAGATATTCTCTGAGCTCCTTGCCTGCATTGACTGTTTTATGACGAATTCGAGAACCGTTGCCGTTTTCGGGAACTTAAGAGAGGCAAATATTAGCCAAATTTAGCTTCATTTTCAAACCCGACGCCTGAAGCCTACTTTGGACGACATCCAAAAAATCCACCTTCATTTTCTCTTCATTAGAAAACAACTTCTTCCGAGCTCCCTTCAGTCGTCTTGATATACTTTCGGAATTATTGATGAAGATGTTTCCACCTCTGGCGTACTCGGCCCACGCATCGTCCTCCCAAGAGCTGACCGCGTCGCGGTCTTCGAAAAGGCCCTTCTCATCGACGGTTGCCATTGCGACTGAGCACGTCCTTGATCCGTTACTCTCAAGGACAGTTCCTTGGATCTTGTACAATTATCAAGCTTGATACAGAATGCCTTGTCTATGGCTCTGTTGCCCGCGCAGTCTCGGATCAGCAGCCAGGAAGGCTTGGAGGGTGCGGGCAGTGTACCTTGTGTCACCTGACTAGCCTGGTGAGCTGCGCCCACAGCATGGATGGAACCCACCCATTCGTTCCTATTCCTGCTGCAATTTAAACAGCAATTTATCATTTGTGGAATCAATTGCAGAATAGGGAGAGGCTTAATGTATTGGGTGTGCCTATGCATACATCACACATTCTAGCCGCTGTGCTCGATGATTCCCTTGGATTGCTTCTTTCGTACCGCTCCCACGCGTTATTCCACCACGCGCGTGTCTTCAGTCACTGAACTATTGTGAGACGAGTGCTTAGCAAGAGTCGCTACCGGACTGCAGAAGTCTCGTCCGCTGTCACAACTTACTCGAGCTCATCCTGTGAAGCTTTAGCAAGTCTCTTGTTTGCCCCTGCGAGGCACAGAAGGGGCAAGGCTACCTCGGTGAGGTGTCTCGGCGCAGTGAAGCTGAACACCCCATTCTTTTCCTAAGACATCTTTCTCAGCCACAACTCGAAACTGGAAGTAGCCCGACGGTCCGCCTCGCACGGTGTGTGGCAGACTCACATAAACTGCAATATCTTCGTTAAATATCTTCTTCAGGAGCTTCTCCAGCTTTGTCGCGTCGATATATCTTGCCAAAGTAGGCTCGATAACGCTTTCGACGTTAGGCATCATGTTAATTGCAAAAATCTCCTGATGTAACGGTGATCGAGATGGCGTTGGTGGTTGATCGCGGGATGGCTGCGGGATGGTGCAATCTAGGGCGGTGGCCCGGCTGGAACGCTCGAATTTATGGGGGATCTTCAATGCTAGGGGGCTTGCGGCTCTTATTCAACCCAACCGTTTGGATAAATCAGTAGCCAATACTGTGCGGCCCACGAGCCTGCGGGCCGCTATCAATAGCGGCAGCGATTGCCACAAACAGTCACCGAGCTCGAGGATTGAGCCAACTATGGCTTGCATCAACTAATCAATCGGACAGGTGACATGCCATGAACAAGCCAGAAGAGCAGATATTGGACGGATTTCAGACACTGATTGGTACGTCAAACCTGGGATCTCTTGACACAAGGAGTCAGCAGTGCCAAGATAGGAGAGTGAACCGCTTCAGCGGGAGGGGAAAATGGTACCAGCCCGGAGTCGAGTCCCAGGCCAGAATCCGAATCTCGGGACGGGTATGAGAATGGCACGGCTCCACTACTTTAAGGATCCTGCCCAGCGCAGTGGAGTCAAGAAGAAGCGGTTGCCTTGTTTCGGATGTTTTCAGGCGTGGCCAAGGTCTCACCTCTAGTCAAACCCTCCCCATGATTCATTTAGATTTTCCCTATCCCCCTAATCAACCTCGTGCCTTGCGCGTGCCTGCGCGCTCCAGCCACTTGGTAGTACAAACTATGCTTTTTCTGCAGAACTGTACATAACATCAGAGGCTGGAGCTTTTCGTCCGAAGTTTCCTCGCCCATTTTGTCATGGATCAACCAGTGCGGGGGCACGAAAGGGGACTCTCTCCAAATACCTTAGGGGGAAGAACTCATTCCGCCTCAGATAATCCAGATAGTCATCAAACGTCAAACGATCTCGCCGGACATGTAACCATGCGGCAACCTGTCGGCGGGCCGCACCGCCTTGTGAAGTAAGTTGTCTTCAGAATCAGCAAGCCGCACCGTCGCAAGCTAACAAGAAGTTATTTAACAGGAGGAAATTGTACCCAATACATATTTTCGTGAGCGTATGATTCTTGAATGTTACAATACTTGTGCTGACGATATGTTTTGCAGTTAATAGTTATTAGCGGAACAATTGGCATGGGCTTGTTCGACAACAGTGGCGAAATCCTCAACATCGCCGGGCCTGTCGGCGGCCTCATCGCATATATTATAGTTGGTATCGCAGTCATTTGCATCATGGAAGGGGTTGCGGAGATGATTGGCCACTGGCCTATCGCAAATGCGATGGTGGAGTTTGTAAAGGCGTTTGTGGACAAAGATCTGGCAATCGTTGTAGGACTTGCGTACTGGTATCCATCTCCACCTCCTACATATTTGCAGACGCTGACGAAACTAGGTACGCATATGCCATCAGTTTTGCCACCCTTATCATTGCTGCAGCAAATTTGGCTCGTTATTGGGACTGGTCGGTGGTATTGCAGGACCTCATGTTTATTCTTGGTGTGCCTATACTTTTACTCGTGGTCAACTGCTTGGGAGTATTTGTAAGTTATATTACTCTTATAACCCCATTAAATCAGCTGAGGCTTTACTCATGAATGGTAGTGGTATGGCAACGTTGAAGCTGTCATGGGTCTCTTGAAAATCACCCTCGTCATCGGCTCATTTCTGGCCATGTGCGTAGTTAACAACCAAGGCGAGAACATCGATCCATAGCTGCTTTGATTCTGCTAACATTACATTGATGATAGATACACATGCACCAACACCGAACGGGAAAATTGGAGGAGCTTGTGAGGATCCACATCTTGGCTGGCAAGTCAACCGTTGCTGATCTCGGTCCGTAGATATCAATGATGGGTTCAAGAACAATCCTATTGTAGCATCCAATCCAGCAATTGCCGTATTGTAAGTCACTTTAAGTCAAGCACTCTGTCTTTTGAACAACAGCTGATGAATATTCCTACCCAGAGTGTCAATTCCAATCGTCGCCTACGGATACATTGGGGTCGAGATCGTGGCCGTCACCGCTCTGGAGGCGAAGAACCCCCAACAATCCCTTAAATACCCCGCAAAGCTCATTGCATGGCTTACAGCAACCATGTACTTCTTTTGCGCTCTGGGCTTCTACCTGAACGTGCGCTGGACGGATCCGCTTCTGCCCAGTGTGCCACACAGAATTGCCCATGGAAGTCTCACAATTGCTCCTTCGACGAACACGACCCAGACAAACGCAATTGTGGTGATCGCTATCCTCAACGCCAACAAACCGGATCTGCCAGGATTCCTCAACGGATGTTTGATAATGGCGGTTCTGAGTGCCGCAAATACAGCTCTCTACGTTGCATCTCGCACCCTGTTTGGCCTGACTAGAGAGCTTGATCCCCACAACAGGTATTGGGGCTGGGTCTCGAAATTGAGTACAACCACTCATACCAGAAGGGTGCCTGCAGCAGCACTCTTCGCATCGGCACTGGCTTTCTGCTGGGTTCCCCTCCTGCACTTGACAAAAAGCTACACTGATCAAGATGTAGGTCCTGGAGTGTACATTATCGATTGAAGCGAATACTAACTCGTCTCAGTTACAAGAGATTATGAGCGGCATTGCAACAGTTGCTGTCGTTATTGTTTGGGGCTCTCTTTGCCTGGCGTTCATCCGATACCGTAGATGGTAACGTTCCCAATTGCCATCCAGAAAATCATATTACTGACGGAGAACGCCCCAGGCTCAGAAGGTTTCGCGACTCTGAACAACTTGCCCACGATTATCGGGAATACAACCACTGGGCCGTGAACAACGACCGCGTTCCTTTCAGTACAATACTTGGCTGGATGCAGCCCATTCCCGCTTATATCGGTCTGATATTCTGCATCTTGACGGTGTTCTTCTTTGCCACCACAGGATGGTGGAACCGCGGCGAGAAACACATTGATATATGGTCTACTTTCGTAGGAGTGAGTTTCATCTTTGCCTCCAACCGAAAGTCAGCAGCGCTTGAGAAGCGCAATTTTGCTTACTTTTACATAGCCCGTAACTCTCGCGATATTCTGGCTCATCCTGAAAGCCTTCCGATACGGGAACAATTTTGAGTGGTTTGTCACCCTTGGCAGCTGGGAGGATTTGCAAGACCGCCTTGATCGGCTGTCTTCAGCACTTGTGACCGACGCTCCAGTCGGAACAAATTTTGTAGAAGCGGGAGGAACTGTCTTCGAGATGAATCACCAATTCACACAATCGCCTGCCCCGCAAAGTCAGAACGGGCTGTTGGCAGAGCCGGGTGATTTTGGCTATGTAACAACACGCGCCGACACTGGACTTGGTTTCGGTTTGGGGCCTGGGAATCTTGCATACCCAGATCGGGTGAGGACCCCAAGCCCGAGGGCCATACCGTCGAGAGATCTGATACAAACAATGGAACAAAACAATCGGGGAGAAACGCGGCGGAGGCCGGTTGCTGGCGCCATACCACAATCATCGCACGACGATATTCAAGTCTTGGGGCAAGATCGCAGACCTGGCGATAGACCTGGGAGATTCCAGTCAGGGTTCCAAAGCGGGTCCAGGCAGACATATGACCATCATCCTTTGAACCCGGGAGATGGGAGTAATGTAATATAGAGTCCGCATAGCCTTGTAATCGTAATGTAATACCCATGTATGAACAGAATAAAAGTCGCCAAAATGATGAATTCGCCTGGTTGATACCTCTCACTTGAGGGAAATTTGGAGGTTGTCAAGTCAACAGCCGCTAGGGAAGGAAGGACTACTTTGGCTAGCTGCCCCCATAGAAATACATCATCTTTCTACCCCCTACTCTGGCCTTTGCCATCGTTGGAGCCCACCGGGAGTCTATCCTGTAACAGATGTTGGGGTTGCTACGAGAGGGGGCGAAGTAAGATCCAGGGAGCATCGGCTTGGCTCACCGTGTCACTTGACAACAAGCTGCTCTCGTCACATTTAAGAAATTTAGTTGTCAAGAAGCTAATCAAGTTGATGAAAGTGAAAGTAAAGTGAAAGCGCCCCAAGTTTCGAGAAGGACAAAAAGTTCCAAGACGTTGCTAATTTTCTAACACAAATCACCCCTCAATCTCCGCAGACCAACGAGGAAAATAAAGCCCAGCTGCCCAAGACCCTCAAAGCTTTTGTTTTTATAAGAGGTTACTGACCGAAGCGTCCCCATTATCTTAAGCATAGAAAGCGCCACAAGTTATCCTACTTAAATTAATTAGTGCTTATAATCAACATATGTAGTATAGTCAACGGTTCCAAACCTATTTTCCTAAATTAGTTCTCGGCTACAGCGGCATCCGCCTATTATATTAGAGAATTGACTACAAGCCCTATATACTACTTATAATCCGTCACTTAGATTATTCAAGCATTAGACCTAAAACTCAAATGCTTAGTTCGCCCGCTCTTTCGCACTAAATAAAAGCCTTGCTTTAATGTCTCCAATAAAGATACTAACGACTTGCTCGTTAGTATGGCTTAATCCAGTCTTATAAGTCCCTATATTAATGTGGTTAATATCGGTCTAGTTCTTGAGTTCGAGGCCATCGGCCCCTTGGCTCCCGTTCTCTTCCTGATCCGGATGTCATTGTAGCTCCTCGCATACAGCATAACACAAACCGAAATGGCCCCCTTCCGCCCCCTTCCGCCCCCTTTGGCTCCCCTTTCTTTGCCGAATCCGAATCCCTAAGCAGCAACATGCCCATTTCTACGAATAGAATCCGCACCAGTGGCACTTTCCTTCTCTCGCTGAATTTGAAGGCGTATGCAGCACTTCTGCGGTGGATGTTCGCGCCGTATTTATCAAACCCCGTGGCTGCATTGCATCTGACCGGACTTATTGTGCATCCCATGTGCTTGGTTCATCGAGGATACAAATCAGCAAGCCCCTCATACAACGCCGGCGCCTCATAAAACCTCGCACCAAACTTCTCCCTCAAAATCCAACACCTCTCCTCCATCGTCTCCGCCATCCTTAACCTCCTAATATCATCCGGTCTCTCATCTTGTTCACACTGCAACACAAGCACTCCTCCCTCCTTCGGCCACCCAAACCATACATTCCTCAACTCCTCATCCGTCGGCTGCGTCTCATCCCAATCCTTCCAAGGCACATCCAGAAACCTCTTCTCATTACTCCACCATTTGCCACCTACTTTCCTGAGTTCGGCACAAAAGGCATCTTCTTTCTCTTGGTCGGAAAATCGGGTTGAAGGTGGGTTTAATGGATCGAAGTTGAGCTGTTTGAGCTCGACGAGGTCGGCGTTAACACGGATTATTATTCCGCCGGTGGAGGGGTAGCCATAGATGCGACAGCCGAATTCATCGAAAATGGTTCTTCGAGTACTATCCAGTGGGAAAGGGTGTGGTGGTATCTTTTCTCGATCGCGAGATGCCATTGTTCGGTTGAATATTATCGGCCAGGAACTCAGGTCCGGGATTTTAGGCTCATGCAAAAACTGGAGCGGTGATTGAGACAGAGAAAGAATTCGGATTCCTCAAGTGCCGATGCAGAAGAGAGCGGGGTAGAGGCTTGCTGCTGCTAAATAAGTGTTCTCTGGTCTGGATGTTACTTTGCCTTTTCGTGCTCGCTTGCAGCTCCACGGGTATCGATCCTAGAGGATCAGAAAGGGGGCGGGATCTCGGGTAAATTGAGACTTGTGCTAGGTCACGTTCTTTTTATCACGTGATATGTAGCAATGAGAGAGAACGCGAGTTTTCTTGAATATTATATAGCGGCCTCAGGTCTCAAGGCGCTAGTAAATTTTAGAGGACTTTGCTCCGTAGGAAATCCAAGGGTGAACTTAGTATCACGTGGTAAATAATCACGTGCTCGGCAGTTCCGTAATACTACCCTTCTAAACAAGCGAGCTCTTATGCTAGAAGTATAGCTATATCCCCTTCCCAAAATATTAAATCCTTTATCCTATTATTACAAAACCTAATATAGTTTTTCTATATCCGTATCTTATAATCATAACTAGTAGAATAATATTAGGAATTAGCCGGGCCTCGCCTATTTTAGGCTGCCCTGCTCGCTGCCCCGCTCGCTTACCAAGCATCACGCAGGAATGTTGGAGCATTAGGCTCACTTTGATTGGCCCGATTGTAGTGACAGTGGTGTTGGTTGCGTTGGTTGATTGATCGATTGATTTACAAAGCTCACATTGTTTTGGTGGGTCATAGAGCTGAAAAGTGTGCGTCCGGTGATCGCCAAGATCACCACCAACAAGAGAAGATAAGACAGTTGGTAATGGCTAGTTGCCCTCTCCTTCCAACATTTCAGTCTCTGCGAGACGTCAGGTCACCTCCACTTCCACCCCTTTCTCCTTCTCTTTCGCGTTCGCTTTCGTTGAAATCATCTGTCGGATTCGAACGAAGAATCTGCGGCTAGGCTGGCACCGGCCAGATGCCGTGGCCACCGAACCCTCCCACGGCAACCTAAACAACCTAATCCTTCTCTCCTATCTTCTCAACTCGGAATCTGTACTCACATGGCTGTCCGTTTCATCACGACCTCAAATCCTGCACCGTCCGCAACACCATCCGCGCATCAGAACAGACACGAGTCTGGCGACTCGTCAGGAGTATTATCCACGAATCATGGCGGTCACGAGACCTAGCAGCCGCAAGTTAGCATGGCTTGCTCTTCCATGTCAAATGGTCCGTGTCTGTTCAGCACAGTAACATGGATGCACCATCCAGAACCTACACTTCAGCAATAATGGCGCACCGAATGGAACATCGCCAATTCATCGTAGCTAAATCGATAGCACCTTCATAGTGAGACAGGCATCCCATGGAGACACCCATCCATGTCCATGCGGTCTTCACATCGAGACAACCTTCCTATGGAAAACCATAGCCTCGCCGATACTACTTTCGTATTCAGATACTTGTCCAATGGACAACTGAAATCCATGTGCCCGTCGATACTACTTTCGTATCGAAGCAGCCGCCCCGGAAGCTCCATTGCCTCATCGATACTACTTTCGTATCGAGACAACCGCCTTGTGGAACCCACAGCAACGTCGATACTATTTCGCGTTACCCGGGCGGCCGCTGGGAATATACACATACCAGACCGAACGAACCTAACAACTTCATATTCTATCAACTTGGAGAAACGCGACATCCTGTAACCAAGGCGGGCACACTTAATGACTTCATATTCCATCAGCTTCGAAAAAATCCTCCTCCTAGCAACCGCACCAAATTCGCACAAAGAATCTACCGATTCTTGGTGAAACCGAATGGCTTCACGAAATTTGTTTGACGATACCCGGCCTTTCTGCTTGAATTTCTCATGCGCTCTTGGTAGGCAGAGATTTTCAAATTTCTCAGCAGTGTCATTTCTTCTGTACTTATGCTCCATTGCTGACGGGTTTTGCGGGAGAGTTGGAGGTCGGGATTTGTTTGATGTTGGAAGTAATGCCGTATGAGTAATGAGTTTTAAACTTCCTCATACATGCCGTTCTTATATGCTGATGGCGATTGGACGCCCGGACATGCCACAATATGCATAATCAGTCGAATGCTTGCCAAGCCTGACATATTCCAGGATCTCCTCCAATCCATGGCAACCTTCACCCCTACATTAACAAGCGACGACACAGATACCCATGCACGCAGAACGTAAAAGGAATCACCAAACCTCTCGCTCGTGCAAATACTCCAAGACATCCTCCCACGAGCTCACAATCTGTAATTCAAGCATCTCGCTCTCCTTCACTCCACTGGCCATCGAGGCCACCATCCCCCCTTCAAACATCTTTTCCCAAGCCCCATTCTCCGTCATCGCACCGTGCCCACTCCCCATTCGTCTCGGTACCATCCCAACCAATCGCCCCTTCCTGCACAAAACTAATCGTCGTCGTCTCATAGACAACCAACCACCCTACACCCGGGTAATTTAACACCATATCTGCCCTTCCACAAAAAAGCCCTTCAAATTGTCATCCAACCAATACCCAACAGCCCACATCACATCTTTCCTCTTATTCCAAAATATGCCGTGACCTTCCCCCTCTCAACAGCTTCCTCATGCGAACACTCCTTAAACGCTTTCCTCACACGCCTTGCAACCACCTCTGGAGCCTGTGCGACTTTAAAACCAATGGAATAGTACTCCAACGCGTAATCCATTGACTCGTGACAAGTGTGCAAGTGAGTCGGGATGTCGTTCTTGGGGATGCTGTGCCCGTGGGACGAGAAGCAGCCTTCGAGTTTTTGAGCGGGCCGCCATTAGCCGCCGCCGCGATAGCTGAAGCGGGGCTTCTTTGGGAGGGTAGAGTGATGGTTGAAGGACCAGACTTTGATGCGGAGTTCGGTGGGGAGGAGGGGAAGGGGTGGAAGGTGGGTGGTTGTTAGGTGGCAGAGAGCTCGTTTGAGGCTTGGCGAGGAAGATTTTGGTTGGGGGAAATGCAGGTCTTAGTTGCCATGGTGAGGATCGAGCCGTGAATTGATGTTGAGGAGTGCAAAAGGTTTTTATGGTCCTTGTTGTAGTTGAAATTTTGACATGTTTGGAGATGTAGCTACAATGCCAAGGCTCGGTAGCTTGAAACCCCGTCACGCCCCGCAAGTGACTTCAGTGGCGCTTCCAACAATGCGAGGTAACGCTTCAAATTTGTGTGCTGCTCCGGGACTGTGTAAAACGACACCCCCCCGGGTGTCAATTGGGGTGTCGATTGGGGGCCAGGGTGTTTTGGGACCTCAAATTAGATTTTTAAATATAAGTATAAGCTACTATCCCCCCCCCTTGAATACTTACAGTGGGTCCTTTAGTAACGCCACCCTGAAACCTCGTTTATAACCCCTAACTAGGAAATATCAGGTGCTCTCCAGAATTGCTATTGGCCATACACCCTTGAGTTGGTCAGTGCAGGAGTGGTGTTATCCCAGGACCAACTGTAAGTATTCAAAGACCGCACTGCAATTTTAGCGTCAACGAGGAGGGACGGACACCCGCATCGCTGACACCGAGTAGCTCCATGCCGCACTGAATGCACCCCATCCCAACACTGCAATTTTAGCGTTAACGAGGAGAAGCAGAGTGCGTACCTGCCCTCTACTTTGGGTAGTGGCCCCCAATCGACACTCCGGGGGGTGTCGTTTTACACATTCCTGCTGCTCCCGCTGTTTTATAAATGTACTCTGCTGAAATACAATTAGATCACCGATAGTATTCATAAACATTCTACCTGGTTTTTGACTGAAAAGCATGTCTTTAATTTAGAATTCTTCCAGTATTTCGTGGGCACGACTGGCCCGATTTCGGTGTTATTCGCTAATTTCAGGTGCTTTCGTCGCTGATATTTAGCGATTTGAAAAGGAGTTCACCTAAACCAATCTTCATGCTTCAAGGAACAGCCCCTTCCTTCCTTTTCAAAAGAATTTATTCTAATAAAAAGTGGCCGAATGCTCGAAAGTATTTTTGTTGACAAATTGGGGCATCGTTCAGTTTGTTACAAGTGTACTCTATGAAAAGACCAAATATCCGACTCCAGCCAGGGGGGCTATCAACCACAATCTGGCTCTCTACCGATATGGTACTTCCATTTTAGAAACAATGTCTATCCAAGACTCCAAGCTGTCTATCAAAGCAAAACTGAGCCGCAAGAATAAATGTGTGCATATACACAGGAACCACCTTTCCCTTAACTTCAAAGCCGAAGACCCCAACCGCCAAGCTATCCGCGGGTTTCTGTCTCAACCCCAGCCATTCGCACCTTGCGCGCTCATAACATCATTCCAGAACTCGAAAGAAACGGAACCAAGGTACTGATCAGTCCAAAGAAAGTTTGCCAATGTGGACGCAATCTCGGTCCTCGCCCTCACTCCTGCAGCGAGACAAGCATCCGCAAGCCTCTCCGCAAACCACCTCTGATCTGGCGTCCCAACACCTCCAATACCCCCTATCATCAATACCCAAAGCATCACATTAGGGTACTGTATCCGTAGAGCTACCAGGTCGATGGCTTCAATCAAGGTTCGTATTCGGCTTGAGACGATGTTAGAGAGCGAGAGCCGGGTTGGGGCTTGCCGGATGAACATCACTTGGTGGATGAGAGCTGCATTTCCGAATAGTTTATATATTACCGTCGTCTGAGATGGTGGATCGAGGCAGTCTGATAGTATGAGCTTGAGGAGTCGGCGGTCAAGTTGTCCTGCCATGTCTAGAAGTGGTTGGAGCTCTGATTTGTCATGCGAGACGGGCATGCTGTCTTTCATTGTGATGAAATGCCGTAAGTCTTTATAGATTTCTATGGTCTCTTGGCTAAGAAGTGGCAACCCGGTGAAATTTGATAGCTTTGATTGGTACCGGGGTGCTAATGGGCACGATGTGGCCCAGTCTCCATGAGATTGAGGAGGTGAGAGATGGTTTAGCGGTATGCATGGCTCGGTGTCCATGATGAGAGAGGCGATGGTGTCAGTCCTGGAAGAAATTATTATCAATGTTTATTTTTATTTTTAAAAACGGAGGTCTAGAATGGGGTGTTATTACCAGATGATAAATCCCATTGTGAATGGGCAGCCGGCCAGACCTTGGATGCCACCTCTACTCCTCACCAAAGCTCCCAGGCCATTCGCATGTACTTTGGCACTGTCCATTCTTCCACTTACGATCTAACGGGTCTACCTTAACAACATTCATATCCAGAACTTGGGAAAATAATCGGAGAATGAGAATATACCTCGAGGTGTGCCATGCATGCAACGGCACAAAGCGTTGTATCAATTGCCGACTGGAGATCCGGGTCCCGTATTCGCGCGTTCAATAGCTTGATCGCTTGCCCTTTGTGATAGAGGAGGTCTGAAGTCGAGTCATTGAGACTCAAGCGAGAGAAGTGATGGGCGGAATGTGCGAGAACTGAATGGAGGAGTGCCGGATCTGACATCGCATATCTTAAAAGTTCGTCTTTTAAGGATGTGTTGGTCTGAGTTTCGAGGAAAACAAAGCGATCTATTTGCAAATCAGCAAGATAGAAAATACCGATGATGCATCAACATCACCCAAACAGCATATTTTCAGAGGTGCGTTCCTTAAATTCTTAAATATGCCGTGAGCGAGAAACTCACCACTTACAGTGATGGAGCAAGAAGGAGGTGTTCGCGACATTCTCTTGAATGTGCATTGTTTCAAAAGGATCCAATAGACTAGTTCCTGGGTTATGGGTGAGGGCGGCGGACCAAGATATCAGATTGGCGTGATGTGATGGGTTGTGGATTAGTGCATTCGATGCCCCTGTCTGCGAATTACTGAAATTCTCGGCTTTGGGACGAATATCATGCAGCTTGCGTTTTGTTGGCGTCTTTGTCCTGCTGCGAAATTGTCTTCCGCTCCTTGCTCGAGAACGGATGACAGCTCGAAATTTGCCAACAGGTCGAGTGACTCCAGTCTCGCCGACGAAGTGAAGATCCTAGCCACTTCTTAGTTTCAATTAAGTAGACTCAGAAGATCAGGCATATATGTGAAAATATAAGAAACCATTAGGGAGTAAAAAGGGAAGATCACTTACAGACTGTCCTTGAACTGTAAGTGAGTGAAAGTCTGAGTTAGTGATCGAGGGTTGACTTTTGGTTCGACTTTATGTACCTGTAGTTGAGGTTTGAGACTCCTGGTCAGCAATATCAACCCGAAACCGCCGTTGTGTGACCCATTTCAACGGACGTGGAGTATCTTTGGTAGTCGACGAAGGCGATGAATCATCCCCATGTTTGAGTGGCTCGTGCGTTGGAGGTGTTGACATTTATTGCTTAGACATACAAATCTGATCGATGATTGAATAGGGTTCCTATATTTGAGGGGAAGAGATGAGGATGTACAAATTCTCATGCAAGATTATTTGAAAATGACAAGTGCATTCCGGTGGAAAGGTTTTATATTCATGATACCGATGTAACAACTTGTATACCATTCAGAAGTTGGCTTCATCAGGATGCATTCCAAATTGTCATGACAATGCATCTATTGACGCCACATTGGATGAAGGCAATTCTAATATCCTGGTCTGTGCCGAGTTCTCCAGCTGCCATCTGATGCAGGAGGGCATTGTGTACTTCTGTTCAGAGAAGGACCCATGTTCTTGGCAAGAGCGTAATGAAAACAGATATGAAGAGGGCCACAAGGTTATTTGGAATACACACAAACTCTGATGGCGGGTCGGTCCGCGCATCAGAAATTCCAAATACCTCGCTTAGGAGAGGCAAAGACTTGGGAGCTGTGTGGCTATGTGGCACTTTGCAACCTTTATTTCCTTAGAATGCTAATTCTCGGAGTGCCAAGCCTATCACATTGCAATGAACGCACATCTTCGGTGAAGGTTCGTGCTTGGTGTTAGGCATGGAGCAAAGATAGTAAGCCACAGAGCAGAGGCGTAATTCTCCGAGAGAACCCCGGCAAGGACGCCAGGTAAGTACGTCACATGCAAATATCCCGAGTTTACCCCACGTCCAGGAACATAGAAGAAAAACCTGTTAAACTTGGGCCGCTTCTCTGATGGCCCGATTCTTACAGGAAAAAATTGTTTTACTTCCGACTCCTATGTTACAATTCCATAGGAAATTCCAAATACAATGCGCAAAAGAAAATATACACGAGTGGAGATCAGTTGATCACGGATCCCACTTGCACTTCCACCTCCATGAAATGTTGCTCCATATGCGCGCATCATATCACACTCTTCAGCCTCACAGAACTACTCACTGCTAACCAAAACCTGCCATTCAGTCCTCCTGCCCCCATCCTTCCGTATCGCCTTTTCGAACTGGGACGAGATCACTTCCTTTAACCTTTTCCACTTGTCCTCACCACCATATCTCCTAATCTCGTAACTCGGCCTCTTTCCAAAAGCTGGTTGGAATTCAAGACTAGTCAAGCTTGACAGAGGTGCAGCAGAGACGGAAGAGTAAAATTGAAAAAACTCCGAAAGTGAGGAGTTCTTCACGATCTCGAATGAGTGCGTTGTATCTAGAATCATGCTTCCGTCGGCCGAATCGATGAGAAGGGTGAGCGTTGGTGTGTTGAAGGTGCCTGATGGGTTAGAGGTGGTAGCGAGGCGCGTGTCTGTAGAGAGAACCAAAGGTGAAGGGACAAGGGTATCAGCTTGACGGGTGTTTGAGGGCTGGTAAGGAGAGAAAGCCTCCGGTGGCGGGACGAAAGAGTAGGAGCCGTTGCGGCGATGTGGAGTACCTTTGGAAGGAGGAGTGGCCGGTTTTTGAATAGACTGAGCGACTCTCTTTTCAGGTCTGGGAGTGAAGTCCTCAGAGGGTGAGTGACACTGGATAGATTTTGTTGCTGGTGATGGAGGGTTCATGTTGTGGTTTACTGTAGAATCTTGAACCTGAGACCCTGTTCCGCAAGGAACAGGTGACTTTGGCTGCGATGGAGGGTTGTGAGGGGACTGATTCGTGGCTGTTTGACCTGGAGTAAACGTTCTGTCCGGTATGAGTAACCCTGAGTTCTGGTAAGCTTGGCACGTTTGCACTCGAGAAATTGTCGCAGCCTGCGATATTTGCACCGGCGAAACAAGAGTATGATTGTTGTAATTTAACGTACTGGTACTCGTTGTGAGAGAGCTTGGAACCGCCGGAACTGTGCTCGAAGGAGCATCGGGAGATCGACGAGGTTCCATGGATCGAGGAGGTAAATAGTGCTCGCCGAGCGTCTGTGGTTGGAAGATCTTTTCAACAGGAGATCTGTTTGTGGGTTTCGGAAGAGGGGAAGCCGCAGATGTTAGTTGAACATCGTCGCCAACCTGGGGAGGCGATCGATGTGTTGCAGATGATTCGGCAGCGGGCTTTTGGAGGGGTTCACATCCTTGTGGCAGGAGACTCTTGAAACCAAGAGTTATAGGAGACGAGTTGGGCGGCGGTGACTCAGAACCTTGAGCGCAGTCTTTGTAGTGACCTGCGGCGTTTGTTGGACTCTGTATATCGTTGGCAGCTCGGAAAGGCCAAGTACCTGCTTTCCTTTTCACCATACCCCCGCTGATTGGTGACTGGGTGGGCTCACTCGACCGGTGGTGAGTTGAAGATGGATCCGGATCGCTTGATAGAGGTTCTGCACTGGTCATGGTTCGTTGTTGGTGTCGCTGATCAGGGCTTGGAGCATGAGGCGGCCATCTGGTATTTACTTGGGCAGAAGATAACTGTGCTGTTGGACTGCTCCCTGCATGCGCTGAATATAGAGACGTTGGTTGATCGAGCTGGAGAGATATGCTTTGTGGTGGGGAGGTTGATAAAGCTCTATGCTTCTCCCCAGGGAGATGAGGAGGGCACAGTGAATTCGTAGTACGATAATCGGTCTCTCCATTCAGCATGCTGTGCAAGCTCATTGTCTTGAGTGGGGAGGGATTTTCCGATTTTAGTTGTACTCCTGCGGTAGCTGTTCCCTTCGTGAATTCATTCGTCGGCTTGCACGCCTGCGAGGATGGCGTGTTTGTTCTGGTGGAGGATGGCTTGGTAGCAGGTGTGCTTGGGGTTGACGGGCTATCCGAGTCGTCGACTATCTCCAACGGTAACGATATGCTAGATCCCAGCGTGCTGGAGGTAGAATTGTGGCGATTGGCATATTCGAGTTCAACCTCTTTGGTTTTTTGGGCTACGTGTGGAGAGACGTGCTTGTTGTGTTCGGTTGTCGAAGATACTTGAGCTTCACCATGGGTCGAAGAAGCGTTCGTTGAAGGTGCCGTTGCTGCTTTAGGGTTTTGAGGGTCAAGCCAACTAAATTCAGCATGCCATTTCGACCCGAAAGTACTGGCCGAGTCTTCACCACCAGTTGGGGGAGGCTGATAATGTTGAGAATGCAAAACACTCTCGAAAGTGGTGACGGATCTTTCAAGACTCTGACTCGCAGTTGATTCGGTAGGACTTAAGCTTTGGGACGGCATGGACATGGGGACTTTGAGAATCGAAGTCTGTTTAGTTGGGCCGTCCAGGCACGGTGTAGATTCCATTGTAGGACTACGGGAAACTTGTTTGTTCATAACCTGATTCTGCGGAGGAAGAGAGAACAAAGGCGTGATGTTGGGAGACTTTGCTTCTCCCGTTCTTCGAGATTCCGAGTCGATGCTGTCAGCGGGCGAAAAGCTTCTCGTGAAGGTCTGTTGCGGCTCCAGATCGTCGGTTTCGAGCTCTGGAACTACGTCCTGCAGAATAAATCTGATTAGCACGCACAATCTTCCAAACTGTACAACCTTACTTACCATGAACTCTGGCCAGCGAGATTGGAATAGCTCTCTTCCGCCAACACGGTCATCACCACCCTCCTCGTGGATGGTCTCAATGTGGTGCTCAGTATTGTATTTTCGCTTGTTCAAGACTCGACACGGTTCTCTGATCTCTGGGTTTAAGCGGTCGCACTTGAAAACCTTCTCACCCGACAACTCGAGAGCGGTCTCTGCCATACTTGCCAACTGCATTCTTGAGCCCAGATCAACTTGTGCCGAAAGGTATTCCAACATCGTATCATCTTGCCCTGACAGAGTTGGAAATACGAGTGGCGTCTTGGCTCGAACAGCCTTGGACTTCTTGCGCTTTTTCGCTGGTTTCGGACGATCGGTATTGCATGAGTCGAAGCCATCTTCCCAATAACATTCCCTATTCTTCCACAGTCTCGCGAATTTATCCGTCATTTGAATAACCCCATCTCGTCGATACGCGAGAATGAAATATGGATTTTGAGTGAGCAAGTGGGTGAGCTTCTCGAGTCTGTCTTTGACGATGTCCCAGAGCCTTACAACCTCTGACGCTTTCATCTCTTCAATCTCGGGGAGTTCGGTCCCCTCTCCGAGTGACCTCAGAAGCGTAGTCGACAGATCATCTCTCTCGTCGTTTACAACGAACAAATTGTTATCAAACATGAATCGTAGCAGGTGGTTATCGGCAGATGTGGGCCATTTTGGACTCTGCTATATCCAAAGTCAGTCCCGGTACACACTCAATGGAAACAGGATGGCTACCGATGATACCCAACTCTTCTGAAGTTTCTTCACAGGCTTCAAGTCAAGTTGCGGGTTCAAGCCACGAATATAATCGCAACTGAACTTAGCACAAGGCTCTTCTGGTGGGGTCTTCCAGAACTTAACAGTATTGAGCTCGAGTTTTGAAGGGATACAAGCCTTCTCGTTCTGCGTTGGCTCCTTGGAAATCTTACTTAGATCGTCGTCACCGCCATCCTTGCCATGAATTAGACCGACTTCAAAACAAGGAGCTGAATGCTTACTCCGCTTGCTCCCCTTACTCTGCTTACTCTACTTGCTCTACTTACTCTGTGCTTGTTTTTCCTCGGTCTCTTCCTCACGCGCTTGGGTTTTTCATCCTGAAATTCCTCCGCCTCCGCTTCCGCCTCCGCCTCGCCATCTCTGATCTCCTTTCTTCCTTTGACATAATCCGAGAATGCTTTCTTCCGGAAGATTTGAGTGAGTATATCAGTGATCCTGAACAGTCAGCACAAAGTGTTGGTGCGCTACAGGATGTGGGGATAGAACTTACGTCTCACGATGCTGATCGCTAGTCCATTCAAGGATCCCCTCAGAATTGACAGGCCAGTAATATTCTCCTCGATCATCCTCGTGCAGAAAGTTCAGAGCACAGAGTCGAGCCGCCTCGACGTTCACTTTGCTCAGTGACAACTTGTGTCCCCGGTCGACGTATTCACGGAAGAAGGATTGCGTAGCAGCATCGAGAGTTTCGTACTTCCGCCTTGAGCTCTTCTTCTCATACCCAAGACTGGAGTAAAGATCGATCATACTCATATCACGATATTCGGACATGATGGGTGGGAGTGGTTGGTTGCTTGATTGAAGTTCGTTTGACAAAATCACGACAATTGCATGAAGAAGTTTGATGAAAGAATAATGAGCACTAAAGATAGGTAACCTTACAAGTGCTGAAGCAATACTAAGCAGGCAAGAAAGAGGGCTGGAGGAGTGTGTGTTGGGGGCGGAATTAGAATATATTAATAATGGCGGTCTTTTCCTGAAGGCAGATGCGAGAGCAGATGGAGACATCCAATGGCCCGTGGGCGGCGGAGATAGCTGTCATTGAAGGATGTGCCATGCGGCTCAAACAGTCGACAGGGTTCGCAAATCTAGGCAAACAAGTTGACAGCGGGGTTGCGTCAAGGGCTAGAAACTTTGAGACAAGACCAGGTTGATGATTTGTTCATCCCAAGTAAAGGAAGCAGCAATCCGACATGAGTCATAGGAGCCTGTTCAAATATGATATCTGAGCGATTTGGAAAAAGAGTATAGAGGTGCCTTTCTAGGTCAGAGGGAAGTGCAAGTATTGTGCAGCAGCACAGTTGAGATGAAAGCTTAATTGGTTGATCTACAACCTTGGCAGATATGATCCAGCTTTCAGTTAGTCGGTGAGGGTGTGTGTGACCATTTGGGCTGAGACCAAGGGATGTTGCATTTCGAGGCGGCCTCTGGCCCATGTTGATAGGCATCGCGGAAGCACGAGCTTTCACATACAAAAAAGAGGGACAGCAAGGTGTGTGCTGCACAACGATGCGAAGTAGATTTTTAGCCAGTCATGTGAATTTGGTACACCCAGTTGAAGGCCACCAACTAGATTCAATTGGCCCAGAATGGAGGCTTTTCCATGCAGATGCAGACGCCCTCAGAAAATGTTGGCGCGCGCATGCCGGCTTCCTTTCCCCGCTTTCCCGGCAGGGCATCCAAAGAAGGCAATGTTAGTCGCCGAAAGCCAATCGAGTGAAATCTTCAACGCCTATCCGAGACTCTCGAACCTCTCTTTTGCCGTTTCCCTGGTCTTATTCAGGAAATCAGTGTAGCTTCCTTTGGTTTGTCGGTGAGCTTCTTCAGCAGCATCTCCCACCTTGCCTCCCTGGGCACCCAATCCCACACCCTGGGCATAGAGCTCCGTAGTAATGGCCTCAGTCCGACCTGTTCCCTGCGCTCCCAACCCCTCACCAGCAGTCCAGCCCATCTTCCCCAGAAGGGCAGCGCCCTTTGATTGGAGAGGCTTTGGCTCTCCCTCATCCTTTTTTGGCGATAAGCCGCCATTGCCATCCTTCGACGCCCGATTGTGCTGTGCAGCAGGTTGCTTGGGTTGGTTGAATGCTTGTCGCCTTTCTTTGGCCCTATCACGATACGCAGACCCTTCCGCAGAAGAGCTCGATGATTTCTTGAGCTTTGCCAACGTCTTATCCACAAGTTCCTCGTTCTTCATGTTATCGCGATGAAGCTGACTCATTCGTTCGTGTTTATTGACTTCGGCTTCAGTCTTGAATTGCCGTGAGCAGAGGAGACAGCATTTGCGGTGTAGATCGGCGAAAGATAGATTTGGTGGGTCCTCGACAGATTCTTCTGCCTTCTTTCTAGGGGCTGTGGCCGCCGAATCTGCCGATTCAACTTCGGATTCCTTGGGCGGGATTCCGTGAAGTTCAGCATGCCTGTTTGTCCAGAATTGTAGATGAGGCGCAACGACCTTAGAATCCTTGTCGACCTTTCGCTTCTTCAACTTCGGTTCTCCATCCTTATTCGAGCCAACGAGTCCTTCATTGGCTGCAGCTGCAGCAAGCTTGGCATGTTCCGACTCCTTGCTCTTGCTCGATGGTTGCTCAACCTCTGTAACTGGGTGTTCAGCCGCATACGCAGCTTCATCCCAATACATCAACTTGACTGCAGGATTGGACAAGGGACAGAAGGTAAACTTGGCGAATTCCTTGCCGAATGGATGAAGAACGGGTACAAAGACCCCGGCGTGGATATAGGAGACTTGTACCGGCTTAGACGAAATAGTAAACTTGTCAGAAGCTTTGTACTTGATCATCGCAGCTTGTGCGTCTTCGACTGTGTTGAACTCGGCGAAGCCGTACCTCCAGCTATCGTTAGTCTTCCGATCGCGGACGAGTAAGACTCGACGTAAAGATCCGTCTTTTGCCCCAAGACTGGCGTCATTTGTAGTAGAAGCGATCTTTGTCTTCTTGGCAGCTTGCCCATCGGATAGGGCGGTGGTAGGTTTGTTCTTGTACAGCTTGCTCACTCCTTTGGCTAATAGCTCCTCATTGACTCCAGGCTCGAGGCCCCGGAGGAGTATGAACTGAGACGCAGTATCATCAGGAGAAGCATCACTATCACCGGTCGTTGCAAAACCAGAGAACGCCGACATGTTGGTCTGCGCAACAACGATGCCATGAGCAGTTGCTCCTGTACCCGGTCAGCGTAATTTTATGAAAAGGGGCAGGAGACAAACGGGTCCTAGGTGCATTACAGCGAAAGCAAAGGTTTCGAGTAGAGAAATTAGATAGGTAGCACTAAATCACATCAATAGGGCTCTTGGCACCAGTATAGTGGATCATACCACATCACACTTCCAATCATCGTCGCTCTTCCCTACTTTTTCTCTGTCGTCTCGTTCCCGGCTGTAGGCTATTCGAACGTTTGTGGGCTCCGAAGGGCCTGCGTTATTTGGATCGTAGGTGCCATGAAGTGGTATCGATGGGTAATGGCGATCAAGAAAGCGTCTTGCATGGGGAATGTCCGTGAACTGAGCGAATGCAAAGCCTCGAGATTGACCTGTGGGAGCTTTGAATCAGAGAGGACAGCGGATTGACTGATGGATTATTTCCATACCTGTGCGTTTGTCCTTGATCAATCTGACTTCTTCCAGACCCTCAAGTCGAAGACTGTGTTGAAGTTCATTTAAAATCTGTAAATCCCAGAGAAAGGCCACGATGGCCAACCCCTATGCTTAGCCAGAGTTCCACGCTTCTTCAATGACACTTAGGATAAAATGAGGCAATTATGTGTGGTAGAATTTCGCCAAAGGGTAGGAATGGGGCGGCCAACGTCTTCCTGTATCATGTCCAGAGGAATTCCATCAAGTATGACATTTCGATTCGGAGGGGCTCCATAGTACGGTGAGCGGCTCCGACTTCTGTCTCGGTGTGGTGATTGATAGCCCTCTCGGTCTCGATCCGTATACCGCCCTCTGTCCTCTCTGCGTGGTGACCTCGAACGTTCATATCTGCGCTCTCGACTATCATGATGGTCCTCCCAGTGGCGCTTTTCAAAATGCGCCGGGTTGTATCCTCTGTCACCGGCAGGTCCTCGCGGCGGTGTTCTCGGATGATCTTGAGACATCGAATATTAGTAAAGGTTCAAGTGAGGTTCCTTCTCCAGCTATCGATTACCCTTCCTCGAATTCTGGTAGCCTTGTGCTGAGCCGCGATAATAATCGTCCGCGTATGACTGGTCGTCGTACATGTCTGGCTCGGCGCTAAGGGGCGGTCGTGATGGGCGATTTGCACTCATCTTGAATGTGTGGCTGGCAAGTTTGGGGAAGCAGGTTGTATCTAGCGATCGTGAAGGTGAAATCAAGGATGCAAGGCAAAGCTCGGGATTAAATTCTGGCGGCTTTCACGTGACTTCCAATCACAACAACGGCGAATTTTCTCAAGCCCTTCCGGACTCTCATTGTCACCCAAGTGAAACCGTCATGGCAAAAGAATTGCAAGAGGATACTTGTTATGTCGCTCTAACCCACGATCACCTTGACTCGACGTCAATGATTGACCGGGTTCGGAGCCCGAAAGCTGGAGCAATTGTACTGTTTGCAGGTAAAACCCTTCAACCTAGCTAAGAATAAGATATTGACGCTTCTAAGGCACAACCCGAGATAACTTTGCTGGAAAACCAGTGAAAGAGCTTCAATATACGTCCTACGAGCCCCGAGCTCTCCAAACAATGCTCGCAATTTGCAAATCCGTCTTGGAGAAGCACGGTTTGACCTCAATTGCAATGATCCACCGCTTGGGCGTTGTTCCCATCGGCGAAGAGAGCATTCTGATCACAGTCTCATCACCTCACCGTCAAGCGGCATGGAGAGCTGGTGAGGAGGCGTTAGAGGAATGCAAGGCAAAAGTTGAAGTGTGGAAAAAGGAGGAGTTCGGCGGGGAAGAGGGTGGTGTATGGAGAGCGAATCGGGACGGCGCTACGGGAGTGCGTATTGATGATGAGAAGGAGAATGAGCCTGCTGCTGGACCTCACGGACCGATATTGCGGCCGGGAAGACCAGGTGAACGAGGACATGGTCCTGTGGTGCATCTGAATTCAACAGAACGGCCCGTGACTTGATGTCCCACTACATATGGAGATCATTCCTCCTCAGCCAGAAGCTTAACGGCCAAAGTATTGACGTCAGAGTTGCCTTGTCTTTGGTAAATGCACGGTTTATGGAAAACAATCTCAGCCCTGCCAACTGGCGCCAGCCACCTCAGCTCACAGAGGGAGTTGATTGAGAGGCACCCCTCGTTTGGAATTTGGCTTTATTTGGCATGTAAGTAAGTTGCCTGATACCTAATTGAATTGATGCCACATTATGTCAACTGATGGGCAGTGCATGAGGGGTTGTGGCGAGATATCGGACTTCTGGGTCATCCTTGAGGTTCATTGCTTCTAAATAAGTTTAGTCACTTATTAGTACATCTTAATACCACAATTTCAACATTATATGGACGAACTAGTGTATTGATGCTTTTGATCAGCTTCTTTCCTGACCTTGGGCCAAAAATGGGTTGAAGCATGGTGCTGGGCTCGGAAATTCCGGAAGACGAACAATTGAAGAACAAGTAGAGGTCCTAAACAACTACGATACCCACAGAGCTTCTAAAAGTAAGAAGAGTGGTTAAGTTTCCGAGTTTTTCGCTTTCAGACGCATATCACCTATTTGCGGTTAGGAAGGTTTACCCATGTCGCAGGGACACCGGAGCTTCTCCCGCACCAATACAGTACTACCATCCCCTACCTTGTTTTTTTCTAGCACAGCTTGCAGCACCACCGTCGGAGCGAGGACCCCCGTCAGCCTCACGATGCCTGTGCCTCTTTCCCCTCTTCTGCCCCCCCCCTCGAGAGAGGTGTGGCGGGGTAGTCGTGCTGTGATCTATTGTGAGTCGCTAACCTCCCTCCATTGACCCTCCCAGACAGGTTGTGCAGTCGAATACATCCACCTTCTCGCTGTAGTATCGTGCCCCCCATCATGGCATCTCTGTTGTCCCCAATAGCTCGTCGAAGCCTGCTTGGGCAATCAATCCTCACGTCCGCCGCGACCGCAAGCCATCGCCGAACTCTGATGACCCTGCCATCGTTCTCCCTCGAAGGCAAGACATGCTTAGTGACTGGCGCAGCTCGCGGACTGGGAAAGGAATTCTTGACGGCTTTCGCTCTTAGTGGTGCTCGAGGGGCATGCGTAGACCTTTCGCTGCAAGCTGGACAATCGTCAGTGAAGCACATCACCGAGCACATTTCCTCCCAATCATCGACACCATCTTCCTATATTCCCGAGTTACGAGCCTATGCCTGCGATGTTACATCCGAAGAACAAGTTCAGGAGACATGGGAGTCAGTTGTCAAGGACTTTGGCAAGGTAGACGTTGTGGTGACTGCTGCAGGAATTGTTGAGAATTTCGAGGCCGAGAACTACGAATACTCTCGTTGGCTAAAGATGTTCGATGTCAATGTGAATGGAAGCTTTCTTTTTGCAAAAGCGGCGGGAAGACACTGGATAGACAACGAGATCAAAGGCAATTTGATATTGGTGTCCAGTATGAGTTCTATCATTTGCGTACGTCCACAAAAGCAAGCGGCGTACAACGCGGTATGTTATGATCCTCCAACGCTTGACATTCGTTGCTTAATGGTTGCCGATCATTGCTATAACATAAAACAGTCTAAAGCAGCCGTTTCGTTACTTGGAAGAAGTCTTGCAACAGAGGTAGGTTCTAATCCGCGGCCGTGAACAGCCCAGTCTCTTACTTGGCTGCAGTGGGGACCAAAGGGAATCCGAGTCAACAGCCTCTGTCCGGGCTACATGAAAACTGACCTCATTGTCAATCTTCTTGCAAAAGAAGGTCGCCATATCGAGGACGGGTGGGTGAAAGACGTTCCTATGGGACGACTAGGGCGCCCATCAGAGCTACAAGGCACGATTGTGTGGATGGCCAGTGATGCAAGTTCCTACCTCAACGGAAGTGATATTGTACGTACACTCCATCCCAAGTTTCCTTCCGAAGTTCAATTACTGACAGGTGCCAAAAGGTCGTTGATGGTGGGTACTGTTGTTGGTGAGAATGTTTTGAACAATAGTGCAAACATTACCCCTAAGCCTTCCTACTAATAACGAAACATCCCTTCCTTGGATATGTCCTTCCTTGCATATGTCAATTAAGATTTTGGGGGGTTATTCTTCTGTCGATAATTTCCGCGGCCGCTGATAGCGTATTTCTTGCTGATGTCAGATTGCTCAGCCTGCTTGGTACAGCATCGCCTAGCCTTCTCCCTCCCTTTCAAACCTTTTTCGTCTCAGAAACGTCTCTTCCACCACACAACACACCTTGACAGATCTGCCAGTCCCCACTGATTGATTAACAGATTGTCGCATGGATACTCATTCCCCTGATCTGATAAGTCTTGGGAGAGCACAGCCCCACCCGAGCTCAGCAAAAATGGGATCCCCCCTCATTATGGCCTTAATAGTCGCGACGTTAAGTCCGACTATTAGGTCATATTTGTCCGAAACATGAATTGAGCCTTCTCAAATAGACCGCTTCCCGCAGGCTCTCGTTTTTCATTCCGTCGAATCTTTGTCTTCCTATCTCTACCTTTCTACCTCTGGAGAGATTGCAAGCGATCTTAACCACTCTTCTTAAGTCATCTCTCCACCTCTCCCAGATCGATCAAACGATTCGGGATAAACCGAAAACCCTCCGAACAAGTGCCAATCTAATCTCAAAACCACCTCTTATATAATGCACCCCGCAACTTTCCTCGCCCTTCTCCTTGCCAGCAGCGTTTCGGCGCGGTTTATTCCAGCATGGTTCCTAGGCCACCAAACGATATTGGGCAGCAATCCCGATAAACAACCCCTCATCCCAAGTATTGAGGAGTCTAGTATTATTCGGATTATCGAGGAGGGGTTGCTTTGAGGATTGTAGCTTGGAGCTTGGATCATGGGAGGACGCTTGGAGGAAAATGCAGGGTATAATTTGGTGGCGTGACAACGGAGGATTGATGAAAGGGCGGCGTCCAGGTTTTTGGGCAGACTTGGAGTTCGACGGAGGCGTTATGGATGGAGTTCATGGGAGTTATGCTCTTGAAAGGACTTGGTTGGAGCTGTCCTCACACTGCTGCGGGAACTTAGTCAAGGAAAAGCGTTGTGCTGAATATGATCTTGATGGATACAAATGCTTCTTTTACTAACCCTAGGAACCTTTGGATGAAAAGGAATGAAGTTGACGAAGCTTGGTGGAAGGTTTGAAATTTGATCGAAATGTGTACGGCGAAGTCTAACTAAGCGGATAGAATGCCTGACGACGAGTACAAGTGGAGTCGCTCCTTCCCCTTCAGCACCCAACAAAACCTAGGTCATCTTTCCCCATAGAAAATTAGCTGCAAATTTCCAAATTTCTACGCCCATTACTTGCCACTTTCTCATTTTATTCTAAGTAGAAATGGTCAAGCCAGATCAGCTGAGTTGCTTTTTGGTGGCACCTTGCATGTGACCTGATTTCGCAATCGTTTCTCAAGCCTTGACATATCTTTTAAGCCATACACTGCAGTTGTTTATCAAGATTCACCAAACGAAAATATTGCCGTCTAGCTCGTATATCTTATAAATTGTATATAAATGAATCAAGTGGCCTCCTTCACGTCACAGCATCAGCTTCGGGAGCTAGCCCTGCGTCGGCCGACTCCCACGCCTGAGTCAGATCTGCCAAAGACATCACTCTTCTTGCCATCAAAAGACCGAAGAGGGTATGGCAGTGATGAGGTTGAAGCTGCTGTTGTAGCTTTGATGGCCCTGCTCTGTCCACGCGTCGAGCTATGAACCCCCCGCAGTCTTGCCACACGCGGGAAACCCGGCGGGAGATTCGTTGCCCCTAAAAACCTCATTCTCTTTGGTATTACGCCTTCCGAATTAAAAGCAAACACGTGAGGAACTCGAGGGTGTAACTTCTGCACGAAAGCTGGGAAGTTTTGGGCTGGAATCGGAACAGACAATTTCCTCGCAGCCTCCTATACCCCGGGAAATACATGGATATTTGGCTTCGCCTCCATCTTGGGCATTGGAGAGACCAAAGCCCCACTTGTGCCACTCTATATCCCCGGTCTAGGCTTATGGGGGCTGCATTTGTTGCTGTTGCCGATAATGGTGAAGTACTTTCCACTGCACTTTTTGCGAAGATGCTGTAACATATTGCAAGCTGCCGACGTTGCAGGAGAAAGGCCTGCAAGGCCTATGAATTTTCCTCCAGGCGATAGCCGGAGCCATTTGATGGCCTGAAACTGACTGAAAGCTTGCCTAGGCAGCCACGAAAAATGTCCCAAGCCAATAGTCAATTTCATGCCGGCAAGGCTTCTAAAGATCAAGTAGTTCCAACTTTATGGACCACTTTGTGTGCACTTTTGTCAGACTTACGGGCAAGAGGTTGCACCATATGCGGCCTCGAGCTACTGTTGGGGGTGACAATCAGCCGATCAAAATGAAATCTGAGAATATCTGCCAGCATTTGACCCGGCTTAATTATCATGAATTAAAATTACCTGCAACTATTCGAGATGCGATCACTATCACTTGGAGACTAAGAATTCGGTAGCTATGAATAGCTTCATTGTGCATTGAACAGAATGACAGTAAGGACAAGTACAACGAAATCGGACAAATGCTATCTATTTACAGCCAAACAACGGCGACCAGTAGTGCTTCCGGAGCCAAAACGGTCCGGGAAAGGTTTTTGCAAGATGGAGACCCATTGGACAACGGATGTGTGATCCAGTCCTCAAACTTCCATACCGCGGCCAGAATGGGGAGGAAACAACAATTGGCTTGGTTTCAGACTATTAAAAAACAGTCGAGCCCTTGAGCAACAGTGGATGGGCCCTCCAAGGAAAACTTCTATCCTCGCGAGTCATCGAGTATGGATGCTTTCAAACACGTTGGATTTGCATGAAAGTGGACGAAACCCAGACGGATGATCAAAGGCAACTCTTAGAAAGCGGGGTGGAAGGCCCGCATGTGTTCAGAAGAGCATTGGAGGTAATTCAGCGGCATGGAATTTCATGGATTTCAGCCGAGATACCTCACACTATGGAGAGGGCCGAAACATCCAACTTCGATACATGGAAAGACATATTGAAGCGTTATAGTAAGTGCACACTGTTGCTGTCAACGGATCGTCTCCCCGTTATTTCGGGGGTAGCAATGCGATTTCCGAGACTCTTGGCTTAGGAGTATTGTGCCCGTTTATGGAAGTCGGTTCTGTTCAAGGAACTGTTATGGGCGGTGGTCGAGGATGAGAAATTGATTCGAAGGCCTTCAGAATACCAAGGACCTTCCTGGTCATGGACTTCAATCAATAGCTCGGTTACATTCGTCTCGTGTGAACCCTCGAACACTGTTGATAAAGACTTCTCCGTCGCGGGTGTTCATATTCAACCCGTTAATAGCGGTCTGGATAAGTACTATGCTCGATTTGGGGCTATGGAGTCCGGTAAGCTCATTCTGAGAGGGAAATTGAAACCAGCAATACGGATGAAACCTTGCGAACTTGCAAAGACTTCACAGTAGAAGGTTCTTCGTTGCCCAAATGATGGGGATCGCGCTCCTTTCCTTCGGATAGAAATCCGAGCGGATGCTATCGAGCTAAAGTTTGACAAAGCGATGACCGATCAAGTTCCTGTATTTCTTCTCAAAGTGATTGAGAAAGAAGGAGAGCTTGATATCATAGTCCAGAGCAGGCCTCCCGTCGGCTTTGTATTGAGACTAACCAAGGAATTGGAGTACGCCCGTCTCGGAGTGTTTGAGTTTGTTTTGAAGAGGGAAGGAGTAAAAGGGGAATTTGGTTTGATTTCAGAGCTGAATTCGATCGATACCAAGAGCAGGTGGCCTGGCTGAACAATTGTGAGACGCACACAGTCACAACTGTATAGTCATCTCTCGGCGTTCTGGACTACCATGCAAACGATATACCGTATTGCCGAATCGAGAGAGGGAAGTCGTGGGGAATCGGGCCCTTAAAGTGCTCTGAAGGATTTTTCTTTGGCGACAGTTATAGCATCATTTCTGTCTTTCAGTCTGCAAATCGAGACCTCTCTTTCTTTACGCACAGATCGGTTCTGATAACCCACTTCTCCCCATCCGTGACCTCCCTCCCCTCATGCTACAACACCATTAGTCTCTTATGCATTGTTTTAGACTCCAGGAATGGTAACACGTCACCTACCAACATGCAATCATTCCCATGCTTATGCAGCAGCACCATCCCCGTCTCTAATCCCACAACAACCGGCTCCTCAACCACATTCTTCTTTCCCGGAATCACTATCTCATCTGGATAGAATACTGTTTCTCCGCCTTGGCATCCAGTCGCCGGCGACGTGAGGTAGAGAAGGAGAGTCCAGGTTGTTTTCACTGGCACGTTGGACAGGGAGAGGTGGTTAGATTCGTCATCTGATGAATGTCAGGGATATGGTATCACGTGATGGGGAAAGACCTACAATGGCAGTCAAAGAACTGCCCTTTCGTGTACCGATAGATGCGTATTGAAGGATTGAGACCTACCACTTCTCCACCCCTCCTTGAATCAGCAGAATCTCAAGCTTCGAAGGGGAACAGCATACCACAACTCCCTCCTCTCACTCTCACCAATTCTCTTCTCCTCCTCAGCATCCTCGCCCTTTTCTTCTCCATCTCCCAGAATTAGACCCTTCAACCCAGTTTCTTCCCATAGTCTCCTTGCAAACCCCTCATCAACTACCTGAAACCGATCATTAACCCTCACCGCATCGCCCTTCTTCGGCTTCCCTGGTGTCGTTACCAACGGCAATGTCTTCAAGAAAGATACATAATCTTTACACAGTTTTGATGGCCAGAAATTGCGGATGAGGGCGATTTGGGAGGGAAGTAGGGTGGCGAGAGAGAGATCTGATGGAGGGACGAGGGGGCGAAGGGGGGGCCAGTTTGGTGGGGGTTGTGGTGGGGTCGAGGCAGGTTTGGCGGTGGCGGGTTTGGAATGCTTTTTGGGTGGCGCCATGGAATGCGGGGAGAGAAATGAGATATCTTGAAACGGGGGCTGGAGAGGGAAAGGGAGAGGAATTCGATATTTGAAGTGTTTGTTTGGAGGTTGGAAGAGAGAATGCCTGTTGATTGAGGTTGAAGTTCTACGGTGGCCCAAACGCGTCGTTTGGAGCTTCGTCGCGAGCTGGCGAGATTTTTAAGAAACGTGTTCCTAATCTTTGTTCCTCTTCATCTCTCTTCATCAATTGACGAAAATTGCATCTCCGCTCTAAATCGGGGGGCCATGTGTTAGCCAACAATGTTTCAGACAGAGTCAGACCCAGGAGGCTGGACCCAGGATTTCGTCGTTGCATTCCTCGTCGGTGTGCGCAGTCGCGATGCCCATACCTGCCTCCTCGAGTTTTGAGGAGCGCGTCACGAATGGATGGGCACGTATATACAGTCAAGCCATGTTCCTTCTCTTGTGTTCTGCATATAAACACTGTCTTTCTACAAGTTTTCATACTGTTCTCGCTCTCGAAGAGCAAAATGGCATCATCAGTGCTCTTCTCATTCTTTCTTCTGGCTTGGACGCTGTGCGTCTTGCCTACAACTACCGAAGCATATTGGTTTCGTCGTTCCGACACATCTCATCAATCACAAGTACGGCTGTCTGACGCAGCGGCCGCGACCTCAGTCCCTTCAACTTTGTCTTCGGCTCAGTCATACATCTTCTCATTGCCGACTCCGAGGATCGTCGAGCCCACCTTGACCTCTCAAGGCATGATTGTCACCTCTATCATCCCACTCTATGAAGTCTGTAATACTCCAGGGTCGGATGCATCATCTTGTTCAACGGTGTTTGAGACGATTGTGACAACGACCTGCTCTACGGTGTTGACATATGCTTTCACAAAGTCTACGATCAGCGATTGTAGCCAGAATATTACATTCTCGACACAAAGCAGCTACTCTTTGGCCACTGCTACCGTCAGCGCTACCATGACACCTGCTCCCGAAAACCAGCCGCAGTCTGTCACCACATACGTTCAGAGTATTGTGTCCTACTACATCGCTCCGTGGCAGTCATTAGCAGCAAACACACTCTCAAATGTGACGGTCCTGGTCTGCCAACATGATTTTTCTGGAAATCCAACATGTACAACGATCCAGGAAGTCTGGGTGGTCCATACGGAATCTGTTCCTGTTATCACAACGAGCACATTGATCATCTCGACAACACTCGCATCAGTAAGGCTCATTCCCCTCTCTTTATCGGCGATTGCTTATCTTTTAGCCCGCCGTGCTTCTTCTAGGCCCAACCGAAAGCATAACAGCCACCGCCGGCCCATTATATGTCTCTACTGAGATCGTATACTCATCGATGACCCCGAATGCCACTACCTCTATATCGACGATTCCCAAGACATCGACCACTCATTCGACTTTGACACTCACGAGCACTTTGCCTCCAAGGACTATCACGTTAACTTTGAGTTCCGTGACTCCTACCCCTGAACCGTCAGTCTAGCCTTGCCAGGTTATATGGAAGGGAGCAGAGCAGCTGATGGGACACGGTGATAGAACCACAACGTTGTACTCGACGACTGTGATCACAAGTATATTGACAGTGCACCCAGTAAATCCTCTCATCAAAGATCAACAATAAAAAATGGCTAACAGTACAGGTGCCACGGCTTTGAAGATGATATTAGAGAAAATAACCAGTTGAAGCAATTACAAATTGGCACTTGCCGGCGAGGCCAATCACTTCGAGTCTGTTGGCCCTGGTCTGCAAGATTGTTATCTTTAGAATTATTATATCACAGTGTTGCATCTATTGCATCTTTCTTCCATTCCTATTCAATTGTTCAATCGAGCAGTTCTCGACGACATAGTGAGTGGCCAAATAGAGGTGATGCTCGTGCATCGGACGTTGGAACTCACGGGACTGAGCGGTGATGGGAGTGAAGTCGGGAACGGAAATTGGATATGTTTGGCTCAAGCCCCGCTGGATTGTTAGGGATGAAGCCCCTGAAATATAGCGAGAGGAACACAGAGTAGGCGAGCCTCTGGCAGACATTAGCGCGCTGCCCCTGTAACTCGGCTACAAAACGACCTTTCCTCCCTTTCCTCATCTCCACACCTTTTGTTTACGAGAGCGTCAAATTTTCTGTCAGTTTCGTTACGAAGGTCTTGTTCCCCCACATAGAGCTTAAAACGACTCTCTGTCCGAAATACCGGAGCAGATGTGGCGTGTGGATGTTACAAGAAATTTGGATTGAGCCGATGTTGGCAGCCCAGCAACTCCCCACAGTAGTTCAGCCGAAGCGTTACACGAACAAAATTGAGCTTCATATCTTGCGCGTGTTTTTACACTTTCTCTTCGAAAATTGTATTCTCAAGGCTTTTTTAAGGTTTATGGACATTTATATGAATGAAACAGATAAAGAGCGAAACGAGACGCTATGTGGGGCCTCACTATATTTCTCATGTTCCCCACGTTCATACCACCTCTCAGTGTCAATCTTATATATATTTAAGAATAGTGTGATACCGAAAAAGGAACCCGGGCTCTCAGGACAGTGGAATTGCTCTGTACTGTTCGAGATTATCTAGACCTCGCGGCACATCTTTTGCATCTATCACAAAGTCTACAACTTCTAGTGAGTTCACAAAGAACCAAACTCCAAGCTCAGCACCGGCAAGTGCCCCAAGTGATGAGGGTAGGGGTTCAGGGTTTACCTTGTCTGATAAGATTGCTTTAGGTATGAGGATTGGAATTGGCGTCCCAATTCTAATTGCTACGATAGCAACGTGTTTCGAATTTGGCAGGCATCGAGACGCTCACTAAAACTTGGATGAGCAATGATAGAATATTTCTATTAGGTAAATGGAATCCAATTCCATTGGAACAAAAGATCAGAAAAGACTTCGTATGGCACTGTCACGTGGCCTGTGTACAGTACTCACCATGGAAATCTCCTGGCTAAGGCAGGGGTACCTGTTTTAGGCAGATAGGGGTATTTACGTTTAAAGAAAACCTGTAGAAGGGAGCCTCAAAGTAATACGCATGTGTAAGAACAAGCAGAATTTTACGTGGAGCATGTGAATGACGAGTGATGAGCTCTACTTGACTCTAATGCTCAACAAGTGCATCCTTCTTTCAGTGCGGATAGTCAATTTGAGTTTCAATAGTCTCAAAGCTATAAATTAACATCTGCAGAATAACGTCCGCAGGGAGAAGTCAGAGAACAAAACTTTTCATTTTGTTCTTCACTGTTAGCCACACAACTTCCTAAAATACCATCTCTCTCAAGTCGTCAATTGCTTCACGCTATTTCCCCAATCTGCCCCTCACATTCCCGAAATCGCCACCCACTTACTCAACCCAAATAACAGAGCTCAATCCATTCTCATCGGTATAAGTCCCCGCAGCCCCAACCTGCATCCACGCAATCAAGTTGCCCAACTTGCCCGTCATCGTATCCCTCGCAATAATCGCCACGCTCGAGCTCGTCTGCCCGCCAACAGCAACCATCGTCCCAGCTTTATTGATGCTGAAGCTCCTAGGATAGAACGCATGCGCACTCGTGCTCTCGACAAAAGTCGCAGTTCCAGAAGCGTCAATGGTATACGTAGCCAGCGAATCCGTGCTATTCCCAAACGACTTATCATTCCTATTCGCCGCATACAGGAAATTGCCCACAATCCTCAACTCCGCAGCCTTCGGCGGGAACGAGGCGCCGTTGAATATTGTCGCTGGGGGAACCTTGCCGCCTGCGAAGGTGGAGATGGTTTGTGTCTTGTTGAGAGCGAGGCAGCCTCCGGAGTAAGAGACACTCCATGATGATATCGAGTTCCCGATCTCGTTGAGCGTGAAGAGTTTCAGGCCGTCTGCGGACATTGTGTTGCCTTTTGGACTCCACCATTCGCCGTGTCGGGGACCGTCGCCTGGCCCGGTGATGGCGTCAGGGCAGGCGTTCAGGTGCCCGCTGGCGGGGTTGATGGTGAAGATGTGGATCGCGTCGGCGCCGAGATCAGGGACCAGGAGGAATTTGCCTGTGGGGTCGAGGAGGGCTTGGTGAGGGTGGGGTCCGTCTTTTTGACGGACGTCAGGGCCGGGGGCGGCCATGTAAAACGTCTCTTCCTGGAGGGGTACGGTGAAGGGGCGGTCGGGACCGGCTTTCAATGGAAGTGCGTAGGTTGTGAGGGTTGAGGGAGTACTTTCAATATGTCAGAAAGACTCGCATATAGGAGGGATAATTGGGGAATTTACTATTGCACGGTAGCTATAAAGCTCTTCCCATTCGGTCCTCCGTACAGAGTTCCATGCACATCGTTTCCGGTAGTCTTTGCCTGGCCAGTAACGGTGAGTGTCCCGTCAGCTGCCACGCTGTACTCTGCTATGGTTCCATAACCTTGCCATGATTCATCCACGCAGTACAACTTCTTCGTATCAGAGTAGTACTGTAACCAAGTTGGCGTGGAGCCACAGCCTCCAGCGGCGGAAGTGATAGCGAGTGAGCCAGTGTGGCTGCTTCCAGTGGTCAAAGACAGAGTAAAGATCGCACCACTGAAGTGAGATGCCAAAAGGGTAGCAGTAGCGGCGTAGGTTGTGGGCAGGAAGGCGACCCCAGCTAACAGAGCATGAGCAATTAGAGACATGAAGATCTGTTTACTTTACCAAGCACTTGTATCAGTACGATTTTGCTGGGAACGTTTTGCTCTCAAACTAAAAATTCTCAAGTTGGTCGAGGGGCTATATAAGCTCGGCCGACCATCTGGACCTTAGGACTGAATCTGACATGTTTCTTCCCCGCTTTCAATATTATATTAGCCCCAATGCCACTGTGCCCCGGAGATGCTATACGACCGACCCGAAAATTTGGTCAAGAAAAATAAAATATTGCTGGGTACGACCTGTTACTGAGAATCATCTCTGGATAACTTGAGACTCTATGTGCCATAAATGACTTGGACGAGAGTACGTGCGTCTGTTTCTATTGAACAGAATTGCTGGGTGCGGTTGTTCCTGAAAAGTAATCTTCGGATAAATTGAGACGCCTCCGGCAAAAGTCTGGGGTAAAGTTACCCGATGACCAAGGACCAGTAGCCGGGCTTACGGACTTCCCGGTCTTCCGTTCTTTGTGCTGTGATACAATGCAGTGATAAGCACTACCGAGATATTACAAACGACTCGTCCCAGATCAAGATCAGCGCCTCAAATTGCTGGATGGTGGACACTCAAGGCTCAGAGAGAAGAGGATGATCTTGTTCAGGGATTAATGTAATATTAGAGAAATGATCGAGTTAACAAATCTACTAGGAAGAATAATTCACTGGGCAGATATGTGAGGAAAGCATTAAGGTGGAAACTAGACAGCAATTTCATCCGGCTTCAGACGATAAGTCACTGGGCAGATTTGTGACGAAAATATTGCGGTGGGAACTAGACAGCAATTTCATCCGAGACTTAAGACGATAAGCCACTGTGCGACAAAACATCTATGCCTTTCATCTATTCCACTCGAGACTCAAGATTGGATGAAAAAGTGGCTGTGGCGTCGACGAAAGATGGACATGCCCATAATCCGCATTGAAACACACGGTCTTCTTTTGTCATCCTCTGGAACTACTCCTTCTTGTAATCAAACAAGAAGTAGTCCATAATAATACCCTTTATATACATTCTATTATTAGCCGACCTTGGGAAAGTCGCCAGATACCTACCTTCTGTATATAATAACCGTCTGCGCTACTTTTATTAATGGGGGTTCTCTCCACCGTAGTGAATGTTTCGGGTGGATATTTGTAGTTCATGATCCGCCACGAGATCCTGACAAATTCTTCGACTATTGCTATTATCTCCCCGCCTTCGAAAAAAGACAGGATGGGAAATCGAAAGGACCCGTTACATTCTTTCTCAACCCACAACCCTGGCTTGTGCAAAGGATCGAACCTCGATATGGTCGCTCACAGACCGTCAGTTCAAATCCTTCCAGCTCCAAATGGTCTCAGGATTTAATCGTCGCTGAAGAAACACCAGAGACTAGATATTCCAGCAACTCGTGAGAAGGTTACGAAACCAATGGAAATATTCGGCTATCGAAAAGTTCGGATCTTCTCGTGCCGTTGATATTTGGTCTCAAGCCGGAGTCCTGTCTGACCAGATTCGAGGGCGGAGTCGTGCACTACCAGGAGAAGATCGTTTTCGTCGCAGAGACGAATGACGCCGTTGAAACGGGTCTGGATAAGATGATCAGCTCTGCTACGACCAACGGAGTCAGCACAGATGGTTTCATCTCAAGGCTTCATCTCAAGGTTTCACCTCAAGGCTTTATCCTTTATCTCAAGGCCTTATCTCAAGACTTCATCTCAAGGTTCATCTCAAGACTTCATCTCAAGGCTTCAGATGACAAATCGATATCTCAACAAGAACCCAATTTGATCTCTACATACTCATCCCACGTTCTGCTACCTTTGCTGCATTCTCTTTTGCCTGTTTCTCAAGGGAATTCACTGACCAGGGCTTGCATTCTCTTGTTTCGAATAAGAGGAGCGTTTTGCAGACATTTCTCGATCGAGATATCTGACCAGATCATTTTTGCCCAGTCCCTCGGCGGATATCTATCTTATTTGCAAATTCGGCGCGAAACGATACGCTTCTTGGTCAAGAGGCTGTTTGGACCCGGGTGGTTTTTGTTATAGGCCCGGTATCGCATCCTCGTCGAATACCGGTTCTTCCTCTGATACAGTACCGATAAATTGCTTATCCTCTTGGTTCCGGGATTTCTTGTCGAATGCGCTCGTTGCCTGTGCCAGTTTTCAACTTGAGATTTTAGTTCGTCCCGCCTTTTTCGCTGAAGCGATCGCATCTCCGCCCTGGCGAGCGTCTGTTGATGGTTGCTCCAGTCATATATACTTCTCTTACCGGTACCTGGACAAGTTGAATTCCCTGCATGCGCCTGACGAAACAATGCTTTGATGTTTTCCATCGTCAATTTAACAAAACATGAGGCCGAATATTCACTATCGAATTCGAAGAAAGTTTCAATCGCAATGTAGCCGACCAAGAATCCACAGAAGAAGCCGAGAAAGAGCAAGGCCACCGAGGTTGAGGGCCCATGGAAGTGGTCGGATCCTGGCGCAAACAACCGGGTACCCAAAGCACGCGCAGCCTGTATTCTACTCAATTTGCCTCGGCCACCAAATTACGCTGCCATAGTCGAGTCCATTGAAGCCAAGATCGATGGTGAGAAGTTCTTCGATCACCCGGCTACCGATTATGGCAAAATAACCTAAGCTATACTCCAAACTATTTCACGTTTGCTCTACAATATCTCTCACTCACGTCTACGGTTTCCGGATTCTACACTTACGATTCCCAAATGGAGATTCTTTACTCTCCAATGCAATATCGTCGGATCCTCGTAATTTCCGTAGCAATCTTTCATTTACACACTTACGGTTCCCATATGGACATTCTTTTCGATTAGAGGACAATACCATCGGACCTTTACTTCTCACTATCCGCAGTATCCTTTACTACGGACCAACCATTCTTCTGGTCTTTATTGATTGGACAGATGCTTGCTGGCATTTGTTGATTGGATTGGTTCTATGGGGCACTGGATACCAGGGTTTGGTTATGGATGAACTTAAGTAATTGTTTGTGGCTGGAACTGGTCTTAAGTGACTAGTATTCCAAACGGATAGGAAATTTCTCTTTAAAATGCATGCATTTTGATCTCTTCTCATTCCACCACATTCCTGTACATTGAGTCGATTGATATGGTTCACTTGGAGGTAGTACTAGCATTCTAAACACTACGCCTAAGGTGATTGAGTTTATTTTTCTCTTACCGATTGCAGGTATATCGAGTGGCCCCGTCGCCTTTGAACACGATACCTATCGCTTCTTTCCGTCCGCCGATATATATATATACTCCATCCTTCACAGCTATCCAAACCCCCGACTTTTCATGTCCAAAACCACAAAACGCCACCAGCCCACCTCCCAAGAGCAAGGAAATCGCTAAAGCAGAATCTAGCCACCCATGCCGTTCCCCAGCCGTGCCTCGTTATCTCACAGGCCCCTTTTATACACCCCAAAACTCATTCCCCGCATCCATCGTAAACCCGTCCCGATTCAACTGCGCCCAATCCCCATCCACGCCGGAATCCAACATCCGACTGATATCCATATTATCATTACCACTCCTCCGCTCCGGCGGCATGACCGGCATCCCGTCCATACTCTCCGGGAACGGCGTCCAGAGGAACTCCTTCGCCGCCGCAGTTAGTACGCCCTTCCCGTTATTTAGGTTTGGTGTCATCTGCGTTAGGTCTGGTGCTGACTGCTTCCTTCGCTTCCCGTTGATCTCGACGGTGACCGTGGATGGCTCATCGAAATCGGTGGAGTAGGAGGCTGAGGCGGTGGGATCTGGAGGGCTGAGGGCTGTCTCGCAGTCTGAGGAGTGCGGTGAGGGGAGGTCGATGGTTTGGAGTGCGTCGCGGACATTGCTGGGGACGTTTTGGACCCATTTGGTGATGAGGCTCCGAATGACTTTGAAGTAGCGGGCCATGAGGGGGTAGGTGGGGTACATTTCGTGCATCATGTGGATTATGTCGGTGAGGTAGGCGGCGGCTTGGACGCTGAGTTGGGGGGATGTTGGGTCAGTGCGGGAGATGTTGACGATGTGTATGATGGCCGCGCTTATCCCGCAGTGGACTAATATGAAGTAGGCGCGGCGCATGCTGTACGTTCTCGAGTACAGGCTCATCAATTGCGCTATGGTGACGGCCGCATCGGTGCAGATTTGGTGGGGGCTTTTTGTATTTTGAACGAACGAAACGCGGAGGAATGGCCGGAAGAGATGGATCAGAGAGTTGTGGTAGTATATGCTGTGATTTTGTTAGAAGTGACAATAGCAGGCGTGGTTTTCGGGTACTTGCTGAAGTGCAATTACTTGAGGGAGTGTTGGACCATCACGTTTGATGGTCATACTTGAAGGGAGTTCGTCATGCCACTGAATGAATCGTTCGTGATGTACTTCGAGCTTGCGACTTGTGATCCGATCTCGCGGTGCATAGAACATTTGAAGGGTGTCGTTGACAATCTCAGTAAGACGGCTTGATTGCACCTGGACGGTATAGGTAAAAGCTGGCTGCTCCAGTCCGGTCGGCTCGTGGAGAAAGCGGGGGTCGCCATGGGGTTTCCAGATCTTCTTTTCCAGATTTTCTCTCGGTACCGACTTCTCCAACTGAATGGCCATTCGCGGCAAGCCAGATATTCGTCCCACACACATGGCATATATCGTCTCAAGCATATAACTTCCCCAAAATGTAATTCTCCTAGCTTCCATCTCGCAGTCCGTCACCTTCCCACTGGGCTGCACATTATACGTCAAGTGCAACCCCAGCTCAATCGCCATGGTCATCATCTGGCCGGCATACCTCCAACCACTGCCGTCTTGTCCCATCATTGCTTGTCGACAAGACATGACACCTAAAGCCTGGACAGTCGTCAAGCAAGATCGATCGTCTTCGTTCAGCAGCCTCTTTGCCTCGGCGAAGAAGTGGTCCCCAACCGTGGCAGGGTCGTTGATGTCTGCTCGAGCTTCAGGCCGATCAGAGTAGTTGCACCCAAGGGCCAGGCAAGCATTGACGAGCATCGGACTACACCACTTGAGCTTCTTGTTGTCGAGGGCGTAAGAGAAGACTTCCTCGGAGAAGAGCAGATATATCGGATGAGACCAGGTGAAGTAGAGGGATAGAAGGTGCTTGATCAGGTCGACATCACTTGTAACCTTGGTCCAGGTCCCGATGTGATCCACTTCCACCAAAGGCAACTCATCATCGGATCCGGCCAAGGCAAGATTTGATGTGTGGCCATAGTGCCGGTTGTCGCAAGCTCTTTTCAAAGAGGGTTTACCAGTAAACGCAGCGAGCTCTCCTTCCAGCGTTGGAGATGCTTCTGGTTTGGGCACCGGTTTGATGGGCATTCTCTTGATCGTCTCGATGATGGAGTCGTAGGGCTCGTCCGAGCGGATCAGTTGGATAATGTCGTCGACATCGGCCTCGGTTCCTTTACGGAGGGCATCGAGAATGATGTCCCGCTTTTCATTCTCTTCCTCAAGCTGTCTGATATCTCTCTTCAAGGCGCCTTTTCGGCGGTGATCACTGTCGATATCATAGGCACAGTGCGTCTTGTAAACAATGCTACAACTTTCACAAGCGGGCTTCTCTCCGTCACACTGCAGTCGCACATCTCAGTCAGAGTCCAATGCCAATAAAGATCATGGCAAATAGTGATGTCAACACGGTCATGAAGGCAGTTGATGCTCACCTTGGATTTGCGCTTGCGACAGGGCATGCATGCGGACGAGATGCATCGTCGTTTATTCGATGCCGTCGACCCTTCATCTGTCGGGGACGCGGACGGAGTGCGGGCTGCATCGATCTTGGGAACGAGGCGGCGCAGGCTGTTGGCATTGGGGTGCGACATGGCAAGTGTGGTGACTCAAAACTTTCATACCTGAGTGGAAATCCAGGCTCTCTCCTAGTTCAGGCCGTTTCAATGGGCGATGTTGATTCGCGCGTGCATTCCCAGCGGAGTGGAGGCGAGAGAGTGCGCCGTGCGGAGGGAAGCTGCATGCGCGAACCGCGGGGGGTCGATGGGGCTCCCTCTCAGGAAGCTAGAAGGGGAGGATCGGCGGTCGATTCCACAGGAAGAATGCCATCTAGAGGGCCTCTCTCGTCGTGCTTTGTGTTCTCTTCTGTTCTGTGGTGTGGTGTGGTGTTGTGTGGTGTAGTGTTGTGTTGTGATCTGAGCGATGAGAGCGAGCCTGGAGAAAGAATTGACGAGCTGAGGGGTTTGTGGAGGATGGCGGCGCTAGACAGGGTTGGCTGCGCTGCCCACCCCGCTTCCATAAGTTCCACAGTATCACGGCGATTTTCTCTCCAGTGCCTGCAAGGGGGATCAGGGGTATATCTGCAGCGGAGATTCCGATCCTGGCCTGCACTCGGATACGCCTCTGACGGGCGGGTTTAGAAGTCGCGCTCGCACCGCTGTTGCCGTGAAACCCTTGGGGGCCTCTGTGTAGGTCTGGTGAAGCGTGAAGTGAAGTGAAGTGAAGATAGCCCCGTGAGGCTGCACGTCTCAAGCGGCCAATCGACGGGCTGCTTACGAAGAAGGGGGAAGGAGAGCGGAGCGGAGCGGGGCTGCTCGTCTATTACTGCACGGAAGCATTTTCAGCTGCCCAAATGGCAGAGCATGATAACATGGCGGGGCAATGGACGAGGGGCGAGGGGCGAGGGGCTAGTCGCAGGTGCAGTCGGAGACTCGGAGCACTGTGGCAGCCGGAGAAGCGATCACCCAGAGCTTGTTTCGCTGGTACTGTACGGTCAACGGTAGAAGCCGGCCGGCGAATCTCCATCAGGGGCGGCATAATTAAGGATTTGGCTGGACCATTATGCATACATAGTACAGTACTTGGTATTATTATGTGGGCCTGTGGCGTATGGACTTCCCGAATAGGTAAGTCCGAATCCAGAGCGGTTGAGCGATCCTCACAAGTTAGGATTTTTAACCCACCAACCCACATAACTCAAGCTTTTCTTCTAGAATAACACTCACATTTGCATTAGCCTAGTATAATTCTGGTATACAAGTGTATAACATTATGCATTATATTTTGGACTAGATGATTATTATACTCAATGGTAGACCGTTATGATTTAATAAATTCTTCAATTTTTCGCATCGCTAATCTCCATCAGCCTGTGGATTGATTGCTGCAGTCTAACGGGAATAGAATAGAAGAAAGTAAGTGTCCACTAGTGGCCGTCTCCCGGTTGCTAAGACCTATCTAATTCAGAGCGCCAGCAGCGGAAAGAAAATAGTGGTTTGTTGAAGACAAGATGGGAGTTCCATCGCGGCAGAAAGCCCAGCCGTTTGCACAGACGAGTATGGCGCTTTCTCGTGCTCCTCGCTAGTACACAAGGGGATCCATTCTAAGTACAGTCCGTACTTATCGGCGCTTTTTGCGGCCTCGAAGATGCAGCGCCGCAAATCATTGGCTGGTTGCTCCATCTCCTTGCATTCGATCCCAGTGGGCGCCGGCAGTGTTCCCGCCGAAGGAGCCGGTGAAGCGTGGCCGTGAGAGGAAACGAGCTGGAAGTATCATACGCCCTGTAATTGGTGGCAATTACTTTCAACTGGTTGCCTTCAGGTGTTCGTGCCCTGTTGAGGGCCACACCCATCTGGTTGTTTCCTACCCTGAGCTGTGTTTATGGTGATCAAGTGGAAGGGGAAAAGTCTGTCAAAATTACTTCTGCAGAGATCTTCAGGAACAGTGCCTAGAATAAATCGACAAATTGATCTTCTGAGTTTCGATTTGCCAACATGTCAGGAAGCTCGTTCCTGACCCCTGCTAAAGGTCTTGACTTTCACTCAAGGGAGTAACAGCGTAACATCTCCAATTTAATCCGCGGGCGTCTTGACGGTTCCGGGAGTGCCCGCAATGATGCTGGCTCTTCGGGGCATTTGACACCTCGATTCTGGCTCTCGGATTGTTTCAAGATCCATCCTACCAGCCCTGCTCGCTTGGGCCTCAAAGCACAATGCCCCCTTGCAGGTTCTTTTTGACTTGTGGTGAAGAGGAGATAGATGGGACTTGGATGAGGGTTGTGCTGGCACTTCTCTATTATAACTTTCCTCCTTCAATGCCTTCAATATAAAAACAAGGAATATAAGGTGCTGGCTAAGTAATAGAATCGCAATGTCGAGTTGTAGCTTGTCCAACCCCGGCGCCTCAAACGATCAAGCGGACGCTGACATCTGCCAGGAACGAGGGGTAAGACAGGGAGTGTCGATACTTGCCCTCCTATCTGAACACTCAAGGATCCGGGCGACGACGAGGTCTTGTAACACAGATGAAAAGCTCCATTGCCGTTGAGAAATATGGTTGAAAGTCAGCACATTCCAGAGAAAGGAAGCATCGTAACTGCCGCGTGGTTTTCCTGCACAGACCCCCCCCCCCCAAAAAAAACCAAGCCAAACCACGCGACGACCACTCAAAACCTGCAGTCAACAATCTCAAAATTCCTCCTTCGGAAAATGACAACACGATGTCAATAATCTCTGCACCTGGGACTCCGCCTGTGCGCTCAGACTTGATGCATCGATCGCTGTAATGATCTACGGCCGACCCTTGTCATCGTCGTCCCGAGCATCTGGGTACTGGAACTTCCGTGGTTACACAAGGTGACACGAGCCCCTGTCAATGTGACAGAAAGAAACGAACATTCGGCTGCATGTTGACGACAAGCGGACATCGTGATGGGATATCATCCAGACCCTGAACGACCAGAGAGCTCTGCAACGCCAGGATTCTTCGAGCGCTGCCCAAAGCTGACCCCAGTAGAGAGGCATACGGTTGCGAGAGTGCGGAATGGAGCCAGAATGTGCTTGAAGCTGCGAGCGACAACACAGAGAACGGCACACTACGGCCACAGTCTCTAGTTAAGGTTGTCGTATACAACGAGGTGAGCGAAGTATACAGGCCTTGCAGAACATCGGCTGCACGTGAGAAAGAATAATTGTGCTGACATTAACTCCGGAACCTCTGCTAATTCAACGATGGGCGAGATTCCACGTCCCTCTGAGCATGCCTGCCCTATCGCCATTGATCACAACTCACTCACGCTGTCATGACATATCTAAATCCATCATCATCCTCATCAAAGGCAGCATTGCCTCGCTCAACGACCAGTGGGAATGCCAAGCACACCATCCAGGTTTGAGCTCGACAAATGCACTTCTTGGGTAGGAGACACCGGTGGGGGAGGAATTCAAGATACGAGGTTGAGGCCCGTCTGATTCATACCTCGCGGAAGGAAGTGATACATGCTTGCAAAGAAGGGTCTCCCCAGGTGATTCATCACAATAGTTGGCGAAGCGTTCGATCTGTTCCTTTTCCACCCCAACATCAAACTGGACTCGTCCGTGCCTATGCGGACCCGGGGCACGCTCCAACACAAGCACTGGGTGGCAATTGACCCTTCTTCAGGGTCGGCAAGGATGAAGCTGTACGCGCCCTCCAGGAATCTTGGCCGTCCATGCTGAGGCGCCATCCTCGAGCTCTGTTGAGCTCTCTATTTCGTCTGGAAAAACGCGGGGCGAAGCGGTCGTGCTACTCGAGGCTTGAACCGGCCTTGTGCCTTTGCTGCAATGAACACAGCTGGTGCAGAGCGAACACAGGAATCATCACGTCCTGCAGCAACCTGCGGAAATTCATCTCAGACGAGGGAGGATTCAAGCACATGGGCAGTCTCGGTCGTTTCCCCATGTGCAAAACCCCAATTTAGGCCCGGCTTATCCTTCCCTGGGTCGTTCTTTCGGAGTTGGCGGTGAGGGGATTGAAAGATCCAGCATCCGAAATCCCGACCATCGCTTGATTGCCAGAGTTCATTGTTGTTCACGCACGATACTGGCAGGACTTGACCGTTTACCTTAACAGCAGTAGATTGGACCAAAGGTTTGGATCCCGGATGGAAGCATGCCCATCCTACGCGCTGCAAAACGCCGGGTTTTCTTTATACATGTCAACATCTCCTAGCGATACTGGATGCCCGCACTCCCAATGCATCTTTCGCCAACTTTCTGCCATCACTGACACTCGGCAGCATGCCATGTATCTTGGGGGCTGCACGTCGTCATCGACAAACCACTCGCAAAGTCGAATGTTTCTATTTGGCATGGTTAGAGGAGCCACAAGTATCCATGGGTGGTGTGCTTCTTCTCCCTTGCCATCCCAAAAACGCACTCGGGCCGATCCGAATGCTGATTGATCAATTCATTTCCAGAAAAGAGGGCAAAGTGCGCAATCGGTATCTGTTGGCTTGGTAAGTGTTGAGAAGGCGAGCTTTCGAGTGGTGGAACAAGTGTCCACTAATGCGGCGGGCGTGCGGTGCCACGCTGGCCAGTGGGCCGTGGGCCGTGGGCCGTTGTCACGTCCTTCCCCCATAGTATGGAAGGAGGAGGGCAAGGGGAAGCGGACGCCGAGCGGCCTCGTAGTCCGAGTCCAAGACTTTCAAACGCCGTTTTCCAACGGTGAGATCAACGGTGAAGTCACTGTACTGTTATGGTTTGGTTCAGACGCTCCTCTTCACAAGTACCTTTCCAGACCATCGGGTCCAATTACCTACCTATCCCTTATGTTCAATGTGGTACACAATATCACCGATACCTCGTTGAAGATATCAAGGATGGCTCGACGCTGAATGATCTGGGCATTGACTCGTTGATGGCAACTGAGCTTCTCAACGATGTTAGAGCTGCGTTTGGCGTCACGATTGATCTTACTACGCTCCTATTCTTCCCGAATATGCGGGCGGCGTGGAAACATCTAACCTTCTGTGAATACGCCTACGACTTCAGAAAGTGTCTCGGAGCAAAATGGTGTCACGGCTGAGGATCTCGTTGAGAAGCTTTCTGAAATTTTCGAAGAGCTACATCCCGAATCGCAAGATGATTCAACGCCTCCGCTGAATGATGCATATCGGTCGTTCCAAGAGATTAAGTTTGGATTCGATGAATACGCGATTGAGACTAAAGCCGCCAATTTCTGGGATGAAGTATATCCCAATGAAGCACGACTTGTCCTCGCATATGTCGTTGGAGGCTTCGCAGGTCTCGGATGCGATATGAATACCCTTCATCCCGGCTCTGCTGTCCCAGAAATCCAAGCACTATCACGATACGAAAGACTACGAAGATCACGGCATAAAGTGAAGGGGCTACAGGGCATTTGGACTCGCCTGGGGCGCTCAGTGAACTACAGCGTGCAAATTGAGGGATAAGCCCGCTATAAGCCCTTATAACTCCAGGCTTCGTGCCCTGAGGTAGAGTGTAAGCCATTTGCAGGGCGCTCGGACGCTGTGAGGGCGGTGATTTTAGGGTACCTTAGCGAACCTTCCCCCGTAAGCACAGGGGATATGCCTTAAAAAGGAGTGGTACCCCTTACTTGAGGCTTATAGCGTTATTTCAGGGCAGTGGCCTGGAAAAGTAGGGGGGCTTTAGTGTTTGAATCGAGCAGAAAGTGGCCTGAAAATGGACCTGTAATTCAAATGCCCTGTAGTCCCGTCACTTTATGCCGTGATCTCCGTAGTCCGGCAACTGTACAATGTCCTTGAAGATGGGCATCTCATCTCCGCCAGCGGCACTTACTACGTTCGCACAAAGGTTCCCTGTTGACAGCACGCCCGCAGAAGCCATCTATCCCGAACTCCTTCAGACATACCCACAGCACGCCAATCTCCACAAGCTAGTCCAAAACATCGGCTGCCAGCTTGCTTGCTTGCTGCCTGCCTGACCGGTGAAAAGGACATTTTGCAACTTATCTTCGGCAATAAAGCCAATAAAGCCAACCCTCGACGAATGTGTATGAGAACTAGCCTTTGCTTCGCACACCCACTTTACTGCTCAGTTATTCCCGCCTCAAGGCCTCTCGCAGTCAACTGGGGAAGGAAAATCCGAGGTCTTGGAAGCCGAAGCAGGAACGAGCGGTACGACAAAGTATATGGTTTGATCATCTGAGGAAGAACAGGGGTGGACTTCGAGTACATTACACTTTTACGGATTTTGAGTGCGCGTTCTGGGTTGCGGATGCGAAGAAGGGGTTCAAGGGTGTTCAAGACTCTTGGTCTTGAGAAAGAGCCTGTTGGGGAAATGATCGGTGGGTATCATATCGTTGTAGATACTAATTGTGTGCATGCAACGAGGTGGCTCAAGCACACGCTGGGTAATGTTAGGCAGATGCTGAGAGAAGATGGCACACTGATTCTTCGTCGAAGCAACGAACCATATCTACTGTTTGGATATTGCGTGGGGCTTGTTTTGAGGGGTGGTGGTTGTTTGAGGGTGAGCGAGAACATGCGCTTGTTGATGAGCGGCATTGGGAGGGTGTGATGGACAGTATCGGGTTCGAGAGCGTTAGTTGGAGTGACGGGGATTCTCCTGAATCGCAGACCGTTCCCCTTATTTCTAGGTTTCCGGCTGCGAGACCCGAGGATATTATTCATTCGAATGAAGGAAGCAAGAAAGGGCAGTTTAGCATGGAGACCGTGGTCTACAAGCAGATGGGTGATCTGGCGATTCACACCGACGTGTATTACCCCTCTCATTCCATCCTCTACGAAGATGCCTATCCGTAAGTCCTCCTCCCTTCTTCTCTCACGCATATGAATATTTGCTGATTCGAGAAAGCCCTCATGGTCCACGGCGGCTTCCACATGATCTTCTCTTGCATAGGACGTGCGCCCCGCACAAGCGTGCCTGCTGCTCTTCCACGGCTTCGTCCGTCTCTATCGACCATCGGTTCTGTCCCGAAGCCTCCCTCTTCGACGGCCCCATGGTCGGCATCTGCGATGCTCTCGAGTTGGCGTGCTACGAACTCCCGCATCTCAAGTTGAAAGTTGAGGGGTTGAAGATTGATGGGCGGGAAGTTGTGGCGATTGGGTGGTCTAGTGAGGGGTGGCAGCTGGCAGTGTGCGAAAAAATTAATCAGATTAATTAATTAATTCATGAATATTCATGAATAGCGTGAATAGAATTTGATTAACGTGATACTTATGTAATTTGATTAGATTAGAATAATTAATCATGATTATTCATGAATACCTTGATTAATATACACGTGACTACAGCACGTGATAGTCTAGCCTAATTAAGTAAGGTTCTTGCTCTAGCACTGCCTTAGCGAGCTTTTCTCTCTAGAAGCAAGGTAGCACAAGAGCCCGAACCTTACCTAATTAAGCCAACATGTCACGTGCTACGGTCACGTGTACATTAATCAAGTTATTCATGAATATTCATGATTAGCTTAATTAATTCGTGAATAGAATATGATTAATGAGAAAACTTCATGAATAGATTAGATTAATAGCCATTAATCTAATCTAATCTATTCATTTCTCACACTGGCAGCTGGCGACGAGTCTGGGGCGGACGGCGCCCGCCAGGGACTGAAGCCCCCGGAGGCGGTGTTGGCGTTTTACAGTCCGACACGGGTTATGAGGATCAGTGGTGGAAGACCCCCATCCAGCTTCATGACGCTGAAGATAAGGGAGAGAGGTATGAATTGCTTGAAGGCGTACACGACTCACCCATCACCAGCTACGACGAAGTCGGCGCCTTGGAACCGTTCGATAATCCGCGCGTGAAGACAGATCCCCGCTTCCGGCTTATTCTCCACTTCAACTGGAAAGCGCAGACGTTACCAGTCATCATCGGCGGCTTCCCGTCCAAGTCTGCGCTCTCCTCTTCCTCAAAATCAGTCACGGATGTCATGCACCAACCTCAATTGCAGCAGTGTAGTCCTCGAGCGCAGATCGTAAAGAGGAACTACAAGACCCCGACGGTCTTTACCCATGGCACAGATGACGGGATGATCCCCTGGCAGATGACGCAGGGCACGTACGAGACGCTTAGCGAGAGCGGAGAGCAGACTGGCGTGGAGTTGGTGAGTGGCGCAGGGCATATTTGTTATTTTGAGCTCCGAGCCCGAGAGTGAGGGATGGAGGGCGACGAGGAGGGGGTTATGAGTTTCTTTTCGGTTTCTCGGGATTTTTGGATCTTGGATGGGGTTATTGATTGACTTGATGAATTTCTTTTCAGTGAGAGACGGGAAGGGTTTTAGTTCTGGTGGCTTGACAGCGGCTGGTGGGATGGGATAGGAGGACTTTGATGACTGTCTTTGATTCGTTGGCGGGTGGTCGGGTTTGACGAATTTCTCTTCTCAATAGAATGGTGGTGGATGTTCTGATCAGATTTGAATGCGATCAATAGAGGGGAGGTAGTTGTTTAGTGGGTTGCTTAGTGGATTGAACTTTTGATTTTAAGGGTGAGTATGGCTTTGTTGACTTGCCTTGCCGAATCAAAAGTTGGGATCCACGTGGTACGAAAAGGGGGCAGTGGAACGTGGCAAAAGGGTACGTGAGCTGTGCAGTGAATTTTAGCATGAGATAGCGCCGGAAAGGCGACGAGATTGATTAAGGTACGGGTAATATGTGCTGGTAAGTTGTTTAGAATTATTTCTGTCACTGCCGTTGTGGGTTATTCCTTCCACTGCAACGAGCTCACGTGCAGGTATCACCACATCAATGTGGAAGACTTGGTGAAGGACGACATGCTGCTATTAAGATTAGCCTCTCTCTTCCTATTCCTTGCTACTGGAAGGTAAATCGGTAGAAACACACAAATGCCACATTTCCGGATGATACTATGGAGATGCCACGGTGATGATGCGTGGGGACCGTCATGATGTCCTAGGGGATGGACTTCTCGTTTTGATAGTAGAGCATAAAGGTCTGGGTTTATTGGTTTATTGTTTTGATTCCATTCTCTATGATGAGAAGAACATCGATGTGCATCTTAGGAACTGATGGGAGGTGCTGGGTGTTTATAACTTCTAGTCTAGGCGTTAAAGGAAACACTTAATTGAATGGTCTGTATGGGAAGTGTTCTACTTTATTTCTAGACGTAGGGGAGGTAGGAAGGTAGTTGAGACGAGTGATGATGGCATGCAGGCATGTCCATGCTGGAATTAAGGGGACGCAATCCTGCAGGTGGGCGATTTGATATTGCTTTCGATGGAAGGAAGGTGGTACGGCTTTTCGTGAGCACGTGTCACTGGGATTGTTTGGAGTTTGGAATCTCGCTAAAGCAGGGAAAAGGGGGCGGGGTAGAAAAAAGGGGTGTAAACAAGGAACCACTTCTTAGCTCACTCCTCAATAAAAACTCAATAGCCAACAAAGGGGGTAAAGAAAGAGAACTTGAGAAATCAAACTGAATTATAGCGACCACATTTCCCTGAAAAAAAAAAAGCGTGTTTAAGTTGTGTCTAGCCCTCACTTAGTTCCTGCCTTTTTCTTGATTCTTTTACTCACCTTAAGACTGCATGATACGCAGGACTATCCCCTGATCCTTCTCTCAATGCAAAGAGGTAAGTAAAGGCTCCTTTAAGGCAGCTATTATTTGAAAGGGCCTCTTTTCCTCTGTCTTTGACTCTCTTCGTAACAGAAGGCGATTTTCTTCAGATCTGAAGTCAGGTAGATGCGCGTGTATTTTCTTAGATGTACAAGCTATTCAGACGCTCTGTTAAGTAAGCTCAGAATATGCCTCATCCACTCTCGTTTTATTGCTCCATTGGTCCTTCCGCAAATCATACCATAAGGGGTAGCTGCACGTGACGAGGCGTCATTGTGCACGTCCGCTCGCTGCCAAGTTCGCGACCCCTTTGCATCAGCTGTTGCATCCTTCACCACCTGCAGCTTCCCAACGCCGAAGTTCAAGTGCAACATTGTACATTGACAGACTCATCATTGATATGGACGAAGTCATGCGCCCTCCGGCGCTCGATGAGCTCGGATTGCCTCTGAACCGCGGCGACAATGAGCCCGTCGGCGATGAGATGATGCAGCGTTTTGCAGCTGGGGACTTTTCAGGCTTCAATCTGCCACAACCGTCCTCATTCCCCACTGCGGCCGAAGCTCAAAAAGAGGCGTAGGTGCTTGAGGAGAAATCACTTCAACTTTTCTTACTGTCTCTCTTCCCCGAGACTATGGTCCCAGTTCTCTTGGTACGACTTGACTTGTATTGAACAATTGCTAACTTCCCGTTATCCAGACGAGAACGGTCGACAGAGGTTTTATCATCATGGAACAAACTGCGGCAGATATTGGAAAGATACGAGGAGGTTATACGCAGGCGTTGGATGAAGAAGACAAAAACGCAGAGGACGGCCATTCTTTTAAAAGCTTGGCCAAATATGTCACCTACGCATCGACCAGATTATGAAGCCATGCGCAAGGAGAATCCCGCAACCGTTCGATCTGGGGGAACAAAATTCCGAGAAGCATACATGTGGCCTGACATCAATGTCGAGGATCTGGTCAAGGGGAAGGCGTTGCTACTTCTTTTGAATTCACGAGGTCGAAACACCCCACAAATGTTCGCCCACGCAGACTTCGACGCGATGCGGGTGGGTCACGTAAGCGGCGCTTGCATGCCTCCGTTTCTCAATATGTACACAATGTTGCTCGAGGGAGAAGCAGTCGGGACATATGGACGTCTAGTGTCCTGGGATGATGACGAGGAAGCTATGATGAAAACATTCAATGGACTTGGATTTCTGCCTGGGCAAGGCCTTATGATTTTGGAGATCCAGCAGAAACTGTTGAGCTTCCTCCTCGCATGTTGCTACTCCATTCTTCATGAAATGGAGCCGTCTTCCATGGTCAATGAAGCACCAACTAAGCCAGAACCATCTCCGTTATCAGATAGCGGGGAATATCCAACTCTAGCAACTATTGCTGCCGAAGCTCCCTATCGCCTCCCTGCTCGACTCGACTTCAACCGCCTCAAGGCTTTAGTCAATGCGAAACGTTCAAGCGTTGAGGATCACATCCGTGGCTTGAGGGAAGATCCAGGTTACTTCGCAGACGTTCTCGGAGATTGGAGTGAGCATCGTCAAGAGAAATTGCCGGATACGAATAGGAGGCGCCACCCGGTGCTTGATGAGCCATTGTTCTGGGAGCGAGTTATTGGTAACGTTGTCACGGATGCTTATGGCGGACTGGTCGTCTGGGATATCATCAGTGAACAACTCACTGAATTGGCCGCTCTCCAAGCGAAGTACTCCAATGCCATCACTCCGGAGAAGACGCTTCCACCAGAATATCTGAAGGCACTGTTGAAATTCAGATATACGTTGGATCAATCGAAGACGGGTCCGATTGCCCAACTGAAGACCGGACTCCCAGCCTCACCTTACTACCGTTCTACATTCGACAGAGAACCTCATGTGCCAGGATCGAATATGATTCGACTCCAGAGCAAGACTAAGCCAGACCAGCTAATGTGGCTCTTCAATAACCTTTGGACTGACAGTAAACTCGATTTATTGAGCTTACCGGGCCTTGTGGACGAGATTGAGCATCACATACAAAGCGATCCTAAAGAGAAGGCTAAAATCTCCCTTTGGGTTGCTCGAATTTTCGGCGAACTCGGCCTCATTGCACGAATTCGACACGAGCTAGATATATATCAGCCGTGGGCCTCCGGTTTTGACAGCGGATATGCGGAATATCGAGACGAAGTTGAAAAAGATTTTCCGCGGCGATTTGCTTCGCTCGCAGAGATCCAGAATAACTCCCAAGGACTCTCGGTCGCCAAGTTTGGCAGTCCAACAGATGGCCGGTTTTACTACCCATCTGATAAGCGACCGACGAAAGTTACCACGCACAGTATGCGGAAGGCAGAAGCTGACCTGGATCTGTTTTGGGAGAAAGTCAATACCCACTACAGACGAAAAATTGGAAAGTCACTCGATCAGGTTGTACAACATATCTTCACGGAGGCGCGTGGCCCCCTGGAACGAACTGCCGAATGTAGGTGTAGGGAGAGAACCCCCTTTCCTATTCCTTACGGCCATATGATTATCTCCCCCAGACAATTGTCCCAGTTGACCCCAGAACAATCTTCAATGAGCAAGAGAGAATGTCCCAGTCTTTCCGGAATACTCTGCACTGAGCAGGAGACATTGTTCCCACTTCTCCCGAAACGGTTTGTATCAAGTAGTTGCTGACTCCCCGGTTCCCTAGGGATCGAGCCTATCAAAGAAAAGAAGAAGAAGTCCACAGCTCAGCCTTCCACAGCCCGGCCTGATCTCGATTTGGGACACCACTTGACTTCGTTGCGACTTGCGTCCGAGGAACCTTCTAAATTTGTCCCCCTTCAGCCAAAGCTCAAGCCCAAGACGCGGGGATCAACGCAAGACAAAACGGATGCCATCGAAGAAACTGCTCCAATACAGGCAGTTGGCGACGAGCACCCTGTCTTCAGTCTGAAAAACCGGGCCTTCAAAGTCTTCAAGGCCTTGTTCTACAACCCTAATCAATCCGATTTGCCGGGCGAGATTCCATGGGCGGACTTCCTCTTTGCTATGGCTGCAACAGGCTTTGCGCCCGAGAAGTTGTACGGATCTGTTTGGCAATTTACTCCATCTGCTCTTGATGTTGAACGCAGCATCCAGTTCCATGAGCCACATCCGGTAGGCAAAATCCCCTTTCGGAATGCCAGACGAATTGGGCGACGCTTGAGTCGAGCATATGGATGGCATGGGGCTATGTTTGCGCTTGAGTAGACTAGACTCGCAGGTGATGACTTCAATATTCTGAGAGATCTTAGACATTTAAAGGGGTTAGACTATCGGCTGTACGATAAGTCGAGGGAACATTTGGAGAGATAGAGCATTCGTGTTCAATGTCCGATGGCCACCTGGTCATTGAAACTACCCCCTCTTAAATGTATACCTGCTTTATTGTATATCCAAAGACAACTCCCTTTAACTATCCAACATTAACTCGGATTAGTTCCGCCTAGCCAATTTACTAACGTCTCACCCGCGTCCACAGGAATTCGTCAGGTCAAACACCGAACCAATTTCAACATATCTACAACTGGAGAGTCGTTCTGACGATGAACTCGGATGGCTCTTCAGCATGCTTTTGGGCGAGGAACAACTCTCACTTTGCATCTTTTCTGGCCGCATCCACCGCACTTAAAACCAGATATAGAGAATTCCTATGCCAAACTTTCGTCTTCGATGCTTCGGGTGTTTTTCACTCGTCTTGAACGCATACATCGAAGTGAGCCGGGTCTGTATTTGCCAAGGGCTCATTCGCAGGTGCTTCTAAGATCCGCGCCAACCTCCGCATTATTACCAAACATATCATGCTCGGTGGCAAGAAGGCTACTTTCTTTTGCTCCCTTCCAGACACCCAGATTTTGCTTTATGCAATCTTTCAAGCTATGGGCGTCAAGGCTTGCCTCTTTACTGCCGACTGTACTGGAGAAAAACGAGACCATGTACCCGGAGTGTTTGCTGCACCCCATGTCCGAAGCTGCCCCGGCACAATGGAATCAAGGCGGTGTTTAGTTCCGGTCTGAAATGAAAGCTAGTCTGCTTCATCTGCTCTCCTTGCCTTGGAGTGAATCGTAGCTCACAATACTGGGGTCCAACGTCGGGAGCGCCCACGTCTCCAAACGTGCAGATGCAAAGTCACCACAACTCCACGGCCCAACTTCCTGCAACAAGACTTCTACCACCAAAGATCAAGCCTTCGCATCCCCCCAACCATACCGGTACTACTCCATGACGCGTCTCTTGGCGTCAAGGGCTCGATGCGGTATCGTTTCGTCGAGGGGAGTCTTCCGTAGATCGCATCAATGTTCGAGGTCGATCTGGTACAATGAGACTATCAATTCATTGTCGAGTTTCAAGTGGCTGTCACTTTCAGTTCATTTCTGTGCCTTGAGGTAAATCGTAGATATCGATTTCCTGGCTACATATCGTACTCAATATACCAGATCACTTGGTAGGTTAACAATGACAAGTCAAAATCCTCGGACAATGTCGATCTCTCCGCGCACGAACCCCGCATTTCCCATGATTTATTGGATTCAATCTTCCCCATGGACCGGCCTTTCATTAATTTCGCCACGGACGGGCGAAGAATTTTCGTCGCGGACTCACCAACGGACCTCCGCGGACTGATGCGAAATGCAACAAAATGATTTGGAAAGCGAATTATCATTTACTATTCTCGAGTGCAAGAAGTGGCGGATCCCCGAAAGAGACGAGGAGGTGCGAGACGAGTCGAGTGGAACGAATGGTGAGCTGTCCCGAAGAACGAACCCCAGTAAACCTCGAGGAGCAAACGAATACTGAAACAGAGATGACGAATTCTACCTGGAATAGGAAGGCATGGAAAACATGACTTCTAGCCCCTTGAACCCCTTGATCTACATTGCGGACGGAGAAAGACTTGGGGGAGCTGCAATTCAAGGAGATTCGGCCGCGTTCAAGCGAACTTCCGCTCTCACTCCGCAAGAGCCGGCTCAACCAAACCCTCCCCTCCCTATGTCCCTTCTGGTGATTGAACATCCGAATGGTAACTCTGCCTGTTCTGAGCTGGAAATAAAGCAAATGAAATGAATCGAGACGTTTAAGGGAAAGCGAGATGCTTTCGCAATGCGACGGTAATTTTCCAATTGGCGTTATGGTCAGATTTAGATCTCGTTCTCGTTCTGCTCCGATCTAGTCCCGTTTACCAACCCGGACACGAACGCGCTGTAGATGGCCGAGCTGCGAATACGGTATCCCATCCAACTTAGGCGGTTCTAAGTACGGTAGCTAATAAATAAGAATTGAGTTGATTCGCGTACCGGTGTTGAATAGTCCCAGATAGATTCCCTCCCTGGATATCGGAAAAACTGCGCGGCCGGAACTCTTAGATCCGGATCCGCAGATGAAAAAGGCGGTCGACAACGGGAAATAGAGTGCATGCCTAGATTCCGGTCTCTTTAGTGGTCTTACGAGGTGAACGTTGCGATTGTGTCTCCGGCTCTTTTTTGATGTATTGTCCGTTTGCCCGTTGCAAAGGCTAGTAATACCGTGATAATGGGAGTGCTAATGACGAGCCGGTTAGTTTCAGAAGGAGGCGTCTAGTGCCCGTGGGTCTCTGGAGGTTGTTGCGCCGGGTTTTTTGGCGGGTGTTTGCTAGGGGTCAGGGGTACATTTCCGTGATCAGAAGAGGTAAATATTCCTGGCTTTTGTGCTGGGCGTTTGGTGGTATCTGGAGAGGAGTTAGCTCTGGAGGTTGAAGTGTTAATAAGGCAAAAATATATATTTCAGTTCATACATTCGTACCTGTCAGTCCCCACTGCCTGCCTTACTTCAGATGAACTGAACAAATCCCCGGATAGACCGTGGCGGGGGAGGCACGGCTTTCCCACAGTCGCTTCCCCTTGCCCCCTGAGTGGCAATGACAAGGAGGCTGAGGCCCCACCACGACCACAATTTTGCCAGTACGAACGTATATTCGTCTGACAAACGGAGCAGTTTAACCACTTCACCTCGCATTCAAAATGAATTGCGTGCTCTCGCAATGTTGGTAAAAACTGGGTCCGGCAATTCAACCGTCGCACAATGCACCAGTCCACAAGAGCCATAAAGAGCAAGCCGCGCCTGAATACCGCAGACATCCCTTGCACTTACAGCTGGTGCAAGTATTGGGGGTTTGAAAGAGGAATGTGGGAGCAGAATTACAAAGCTGGAACTTCGAGCAGAAGAAAACTTCCACGTCTAAACCCCATGCGTTCTCTACTTTTCCCTTCCTTTCTCGCTCTCGTCACAGCTGCCGGCTATGTCAATTTCCCTTCGAGTCTATCTAACTCACCGACGCAGATATTGGAAACTCCTCTGCCATAGCTTTCTGAAACACCAACGCACCAATCTCCAATTCAGCTGCAGAGCATTCCCTGGAATTCCAGGTTGGTCAATTGACGATGAGTGGACGCAATTGGACCACATTCTCGAAGGGGCGTTACTCAAGCCAAATCCACTTGCAGCCGTGTCTATGTGCTACAGTGGAGCATTGCTAGATACGGCGAGATGCTAGTATCTCGTGAAAAACGGCTGCACCGATCGCGTCTTTATTGATGACCCAATCACTGTATTCATGCAATGGCCCGAAGGAGACACTTGTCCGCTAACACTAAACGCGACCGGCAACTGTACGCAAGGTGGTTGGCCGGTGTATGTGGTGAATGCAACGACAGTGAAACGGATACAGATTGCTGTGAACTTTGTGAGGAATAAAAATCTGAGATCGGTCATCAATTGAGTTTTCCGAAACAGGCCACAGACTTTCCTGACTTTGAGCGGAAACACAGGCCATGAATTTAGTGGGAGATCAACTGGTGCAGGTTCTCTCAGCGTTTGGACCCATTACCTGAAACATTTTGAGTTCCTGCCAGTATATAACCAAGACCATTACCACAATGCAGCAGCTTGAGTCGGTTCTGAACTTGAGGCGTGGGAGTTGTATGCTTCTATGGACAAATATAACATGAATATCGTTGTTCCTGGTGGAAGCACACTTGGGGTTTACGGAGGTTGGTTCTTGAGTGGCGGACATTTCGTTCTGGCCTCCGCTTATGGGTTGGGATCGGATCAGGCTCTTTCTTTGCAGGTTGTCACCGCTGATGAGAGGCTCGTTACGGCGGATCCGAGCACGATCACGGATCTGTTTTATGCTTTACGTGGCGGAGGTCTAGGTCAGTCAATCAAAGCTCCTATGGAAAGTAGACACTTACTTCGAATTTAGGAACATTCGGTATCGTGGCCTCGGCCATCGTCAAGGCGTACCCTCTTCTCGACGTAGCCGAGTCAACCGTCACCTTCGTGGGAGGGAACGTAATAGTTCCCAACGTTGTGAATAACCCCTCCTCAGCTACACTAGGTTTTAATTCCTCGGTCTCAATGCCCGTAGTCGTCGAAAACCTCGACAATTTCTGGCGTGGTGTCAACGTGGTTTATTCGTTCCGCAAAGATATGGTGGATGGAGGCGGAACTACCCACAGTTGTGTCTCGAATACTGGAAACAACACGTTCGGTTTTACAACAACGCTTGATATACTTCGCATGTCAAAGCTAGATATCTTCAAGTTTTGTAACCACTGGTTGACTCCCTTGGCCATGGGCATTGCTGTGAACAATACCACATCAACTTCATCTAGCAGGTAAGCTGCCCCAGAATTGAAAGGAGACCAAAGGTCCACAAGAAGCGAATTAATGGGACTAGGCTCCTCACGCCATAGCGAAGGTGGTTTCCCGGGAATTGCTAGTTGTCTCTTTCCTCGAAGTAACTGGGGAAATGACACCCCCTTCAACAATACCATTGCCTCTATCCGCCAAGTCGTCGAAGCTGGATACACCTTCCACGGAATCAACATGAAGCCGACAGAACACGTTGCCCAGATTAAGAAGAAGACGGACCGGTGGAGATTGTCTTGGGCGCCGACGACGGTCGGGAGTGAGGTTTGGGAGGTGATCACTGCTGATGGACTGCCAACGCAGAATGGACCGCTGTGCAGAGCTCAGCCTGCCTAGAGAAGATGTGCTTTGCAAATGGGAAGGAAAAGCTTTGGAGCATGTTCAAGGTGTGCGATCACACACATATATCAGTCCTAATCCAAAATTAATGTAAGGAAGGGCAGACACAAACCAAATGGGAGGTTATGACAAGGGATGAGATCATTGTAGGCGTGCTTGGGCCGACTTGACCCTTCTGTGGAGCCCTTAAGTAAATGTGTTCTGGCTAAGGCCCGCAAAGAAGGTCACGATAAGAGCTCTGGGTCCATATGTTGAAGAGAAGAGACAAGATGAGGAAGGAAGGAAGAAGGCAATCCCAAAGTGCCGAAATTGGACATGTGCTCACGTGATATTTTGACTCTTCCATATTCAGCTGGCAGAATTTTTCACCGCCCATCTGCCAGCCTCACACTTTGATGAACTTCCCGACCTCCTCGACTGATCTTGAACAATATCCCTTGTGCGCACTATTCTGCCCACTCAAAGCCCAAGAGGCTGGGGATCCAATTGCGCACCACAAACACACCAACTTTAAGCATATTTCCCCAGTCAGCTGGCTGTGCACGTTTTGACTTGGCGAAAGCAAAGCCTCACATCCGCTCGCCTCCCCAGCCAGCTCGTTGCTGGGAAAATACGAGCCTTTCTCAATCAGGCTGCGGCTCGCGCGCCAAGGCCAAAGTTGGCTCGGCTGAGTCCCCATGGAGACTAACTGCGGGGCACAATCTCGTTGGATTGGTCAAAGATGGCGATGCGGAAAGCAGGGCAGTGTCGATTGTGCCGCCTCAGCACATTTTCAGCATCCACCTGTTTTATCTACTGACGCTGGCGCGAATGTCAGACGTAATGAGTAAGGTTACATTCGCTCAAGTCTCTCACGGTTTGTGGTCTTCACTCTTTCCTATTTGATTTGTTCTTAAATTTACAAAATTGTTGCGACTGACCACCGATCACGATGACGGCTTCATATCATTCCCACGCGCCATGGCGCAAGTCCATTCTGATCCCCTTCTGGACACTGCAATTGGGATTCGAGCTTCTCTTGATCGGAGTCGTCGCAGTCGCAGCTGGGTATCTCTCTCATTACGTGGACGACTCGAGCTATAGTCAAGTGGTTGATGAGAATGGGACTCTCTGAGGTGGATAATAATGCACTGAACGTCGTTGAGCACCAGTATGGAATTCCCTGAAAGCGCCTCCGAGATGATAGCTGACTTCTTGACAACAGAACCGTTCCAATCTGGTTGACAATACTATCCGTTTGCCTGATCCTCACAGTCACTGAAATGGTTCTCCTTGCGCGCAGGAAATTAAAACCTCTTACCTTCCTCATCACGAACGTTATCAAATCAACAATATGGGTCGTCCTATTCATCCTTGAAATTGTCTCACTGACGACCTCACGCCAATCACACACCGCATCTGCGCTTGCGATTATAATCGAAGCGGCGTTATTGTGCGTCCTTGCGAATCTCAAACTCCGAATGCTAACCTTGGCTGCAGATTATGTTTCTGGATCCCTCTTGTCTATGGCGGAATCATCTACCACCGTTTCCGAAAGAACGCGAAATCCTACAAGCCTGTCGATCACCCAGAGTCGAATATTCCTGACCAATACCCCGTGCAGCATACCGAATATCCGTTCCCCACACAATATCAGTCCTATGCGAAACCCAAGGGAGGCGAAGAGACGAACGCGATACCGGGGAGGCCATTGAGCTATCGTCAGGGGAATGCGGCATTTGAGCCATATAGAGAGCATCTGAGGAGTGTTTCCGATAGTGGGAACAAGCCTATGAGTATTCCAACCATACACGCTCCGGAGCATGGCGAGACTTTCGAGATGGAGGCCAGAGGGAGGAGTCCGCGGTAGAATGGCCTTCCTACAGTCTTGGACGATTTATATTTTGCAACGATGGGCAGCTGGTTGTACAGATTGACGATTGTATGATAACATGGGGTGTTTCTGGCTTTTTCTAGCGTACATAAGTATTCTTTTATTTATAGACTAGAGAGGACGTATAATTCCGTTGTGAATATTCTGGCCCCTACAATAGATCCATTTCATCCAATGTCTACTTTCCATCTAATGTCTACTTTCCACCCATCTACTTTCCACCCATCTACTTTCCACCCATCTACTTTCCACCCATCTACTTTCCACCCATCTACTTTCCACCCATCTCTACTTTCCACCCATCTACTTTCCACCCATCTACTTTCCACCCATCTCCTACTCAGGAACAACCCTCTCCAAAAACGAACACATATCCCTAAACTCCGGCCCACACGTAACATGTCCCATGCCCTCATACTCATGACATTCCAGCACCTCGTTCTCATTCTCACCAAGAGTATATCCTACCCTCGCTTTCGTATCCCTAAACACCCGCATCGGAACGAGCATATCCTTCGTCCCATGCACCAAGAAGATCTTCATCGCTCCCTTTCCTTCTCCGTTCTTTTTAAACTGCTCCCTCCCAGCCCTGATTTTCGGCCCTCGGGGCAGGTAGCCACTAAGTCCTACCACACCACCAATCTTGCCCGCATACCTACTCGCCAGCCCCAAAGCCAGACTCACAGCACAGCCCTGACTAAACCCACCAACCACAATCCTTTCAACCGGCACCCCATTCTTAACTTCTTCGTCGATCAACCCACAAACATACTCCACGCTCTCCAAAATCTCATTCTCACCCTCCTCATTAAACTCATCCTCTTCACCTTCATCTTCAGGTTTACTCGAGCGACCAACGGGGATGGGCGAGAAAGCGGTGGGTGTGTACCATGCTGTGCTCATGGCTTCGTGGTTGTGTGGTGCGTTTGGGAAGATCCATGAAAGGTGGGGGAGCTTTTGGGCGGAGTGGAATTGTTGAGCTATGTCTGTAATACGGGGAGGTTAGATTTGTGATTGAGTTGGGTTTGGGGAGAAAATAAAAGGGGCAAAAGGGGAGGGGACAGACTGAGCCAGCTATCTGCGTCGTCGCCGAAGCCATGGAGGAAGATGATTGTTGCTCGTTTTGAAGTACCTGTTGATGAGGCGTTTACGCGCTGAGGCGGTTTTTGGGTTGGCGGCATTTTAGATGAGTGGAAGTGAAAAAGTTGGTTCAAAGTTACTGGTATTGATACTTGGGTTTGAAATATAAGGGGACTCAATGCATGGATGTTGGTGAAATGGGCGGCTTAGCTTTTTTTTTTTACCCCGCATTCAGGGGGTCTGAACCGAATTGCGGGGTATTTTGAGTTCCGAGAGCCCGGATCGTCAGGGTGGCGATTTCCGCTTACATCAGTTCAAAATTATATACAAAGATGTAATGCCGGTTATTGCTTGCAGAAGAGCCGATAGCAGAGGACCGATGTCGAGACCATATTCCATTGATTCAATTCCAGCTGCTGACGACTCAATAGTTGATCAGCGTGGGAATAGTTCTTTCTTGCAAATATCGTGACCCTAGGCATTTTAGATTTGGGTTCGTTTCCATCTGGTATGTTGTCAATTGAATAACTTATTGTCATGTAATCTCCTGTTGTCATTAAATCTCTTGCTGTCATGAGATCTCCTATTTTCACTTTCAGATTGGTGGTTGTAGATCTCCTCCTATGTTGCTCCCATGGACACCCCAGAGCCGAGATTTTTAGAACTCGGGCTAGTGTAGATGTTAATGATATCGCCGTATAATTCTCTTCGCACTCGAGGGTGTTTAAACTCTAGGTATGCACGACAAAGCTCGTTGAGCATCGTCTGGGGACATCCTCTTTCCCATCCTTAAATAAGTCTAACTTATATCGTATCTTCCCCCATCCAGTCTCTGGGATTAATTGTCCGACCATTTGCATCCCCGAAGAACGCTTGGTAGAAGCCATATATACACGGGAGGGGTAGTTGCAGAGTATCTAGACTTGAACCTCCTCCTTACAAGAGTCACATTGCCTTCCTATCCTATCCAGCTCTCACTGCCACGTCGCTTATCGCAACCATAACACTTCAAAACTTTGACCTTTATATTATAAGATATACTCTAATGCTAATAAAAAATAGGTATTTGATCCCTTCTAGTTCTATTTACGTAATTTGTATTTAATTTAAATAACGTTCTTATTTGGTCTTTTTAGAGTGTTGTAGTCACGATAAGCGACGGACGGATGGGAGCTGGATGGGTTAAAAGGTGATATCTGTCATGACGACATGAAGCTCTATCACTTAAAAAAATCCCTTTGATGGTCGCCATAGGAGATTAAAGAAGTCCCAGTTCTTTCCACTCTTGCTGATTGAGTCTTTCAGTCGGTGTGATGTACCAATATTTGCTTAGCATCCCAATTGGGGGACGACATTACTGCTTCCTTGATTTTGCTTGCCGCAGAATTTTCATTGTCACGCTCAGAACTGCTGGCAAAATGATCGTTTCATATCGCTTGGTAGCGCTGCTCTTCACTTGCTAAGTGCGGATCTGTATCCAAAACTCGGTAGAGGCAGGCCGCTGTATTTGTAACGTCCAAAGTTTCCCAGTAGCTAGGTATACTCGCCGTAAGGGGTGAACTCGGCAAGTTGACGAACTACTTCACTACCTGAATAGTGAACGAACGCGGTTTTCTATTCTCAACTTACTTACACGGAGTTACATCATTCAACCAACGCAGCGCAACCTGAGAAACCAAAAACGCATATTTTAATGCTCGGTTTCGATAGGATCTTCGCGCATGAAATTGAATATCGGAACACTCTTCTTAGACTAGCTCTAATCTTACTCAGCAGCAAGGGCGCCGGAAGTAGTAATTGTAGTGCTCCACGGAAATGCGTCTTGCTTAAAGCCGTCTGAGGAAGTGTGGTTCCCGTCATCGGAGTTAAGTTTTCGGGGGAAACCTCCATCGTCGAAAGCCACCATCTCCCCGCATTTTGTCCTTGGCATGCTTACGATGCATTTTCATTACTTGGCGATTGAACCTGATTGGATATTGAGTTGCACTTTATATCCATAGTAAGCTGAGGCTTCCTTGGCTCTCCTAGGTCCGAAGTACCACTGGATAATCTCAGTGTCTCACAGATATCCCCGTCGGCATAAAACACCAACGGCAATAATCATGATGCATCCGATCCATCGCCGACACCTCATACACGTCATAGAAGGTATAAGTACATCCACAGTCCCAAATACTCAGTCCTCATTCAGAATAACAATTTCAAGCCCTCAACCGACTCAATTGGAAATTCTGCAAAGTGCCTCATCGAACCCAAAAAATACCCAAAAAGTATCAAGGCCCCCTCGAAATCATGTCAAAGACCTGGCTCATCACTGGCTGCTCCTCCGGCTTTGGAAGTGAGATGGTCCAGCAAGCCCTCGCTCGCGGCGATACCGTCATAGCTACCGCTCGCAACCCCGCCAAACTCTCCCATCTTGCCGCCTTGGGAGCCACCACCTTAGCTCTGGACGTCACAGCCTCAGACGAAATAATCGAAGGCGTGATTGCCTCTGCCATCAAAAAGCACGGGCACATCGACATCCTCGTCAACAATGCCGGCGCTGTCCTCGAAGGCGCCATCGAGGAGACCTCAGACGAGGAAGCAAAGACTAGTTTCAGCGTCAATTATTTCGGTACGCTGGCTGTTATGCGCGCCGTACTGCCGTACATGCGTGAGCGCAAAAGCGGTGTCATTGCGGCTATGGGCTCGATAGGAGGCTGGCATGGTACCGTGGGTTGTGGTGTCTACTGCTCGGCCAAGGCTGCTTTGGTGCCTGTCTTTGAGGCGCTCCGTTCAGAGATCAAGCATCTCGGTATCGAGGTGACGGTGATCGAGCCTGGATATTTCCGCACCGATCTGCTGGCTGCGGGGAATAAAGTCGTGGCGAAGAAAGTCATTGATGATCTGAAGCCTGCTATGGAGCCGTTGAGAGAAGCGTTCAAGAACTACAATCACAATCAGCCCGGTAATCCAGTTAAAGGGAGTGCATTGATTATCGAGGCGCTAACGGGAACGGGAAGATGTGAAGGGAAGAAGTTACCCCTTAGGCTGGGCTTGGGAAGTGATTATGTCAAGGGAGTTGAGGAAGTAATGGAGAGGGAGAGGAACGATCTTGCTGAGTGGAGAGAGTTGAGTCTGAGTACTGATTTTTGATAGTGCTGCGTTTTATTAGTAGTTTGAAATACGAAGCACAGTTGTCCTTGTGAGTATAAAAGTCACTACAAAACTGTTTTCTGGGATCCTTCCATTTGAAAAGTGGGCTGTGCGAATCTGTTGGTCCAAGAGAGACTCTGCGCTGCTGTTCAGTAGTTAAGGGCTAATGAAGACTGGTACAGTTACTTGCAATAGAAAGGGGTACTTTGTGGTGTTCAAAGAGAAGCGAGTCTTGGTCTCTGTTAACTAAGGTATGTATTTGCCGGACACATATCTGAACCTCTACAATGCGATTGAAGATCTTCAATCTCGGAGAGGTTCAACCACAAACTTCAATTTGTCTTCCTGAAAATTCGTTGCTAAAGAATTGCTGTCAATGACTGTTGCTCTCAAGTTCTATTCTTCTGTTAATACTAATCCTTTTTTAAAGCCCCACCCAAGCTCCAAGGCTACTCCGGACGATATACGAAGTAAATGACTTTCCAGAATCCTCAATCCATAGTCTTTCCTAGAAAGAATCACTAAAATTTGCTCCGGATCACATTGCCTTCTTATGGTAGGGTTTCGATAGCTTATATGCATACTGGACGTATTCTGAAAATGCTCAATGAGTCGAACCCAGGTCGACACAAATACAGTCCCGAAGTCCTCTCACTCACAATAGGCGGAGTTCAAATTCCCTTTCAGGTGCACACGCGGCCCGATTTCGCCCGCCATGCTTTCCCATATCCTGCTTCAGAGGCTAACAGTTCGAGATCGCGAGGTTTCGTGGAACACGGATGCAAACCGAGCCGTAGCGGCGTGTATTCGTTACGAAGTAGGTTCCCGAGAGTGGTGTTACTCGTGTCACCCTCCACGCGAAGAAATGGTGACGAAGTTCAGTATCCCGCAGTCTATGGAGAATGTGAAGTTACGTAGTGCATCACACAAGGTCACGAACTGGTTAAACAGCGCTCGGTGTGACTTGACTATATGGGATTGTAGTGACATATAATCAACTATTGTGACTCCATGTGATGCAGAATAATTCTTGAGCTCGTGATACTTTTTGAGGTGAAAGGAATATTTCAGCCTAAGCCCTCCTTTCCTTGATTGATGGAACAGTTGTCAGTAAGAACGTCTAGCCCTCTTCTTGTTTTGCTGAATTGGTCTGTTGAATGAATATAAGAGGCGCAGAGAGTCTGATCTACTGGGCCCTTTGCTTATCAAATAGTTTGCGCTTCCGATTCATCCTTCTTCCACGTCACCTCATTCGTCATTTCGACTCAGCGCTATCAACCACATCATAATGCATTTCAATAGCCCGCCACTTCTCTCTCTTCTCGCTCTAAGCTCAGTTACACTTGCCTGCGTCGATTTTTCGGCGAATGTCAACTGGGGAACAAATGAAGAGGGAACAGATGGTCAGCCCGTTGCCTTGTCTTCCCTAACGATAAAATATGATATTAATAGACGCTATAGTATGCTGGTTCAACTCAGCACTCACCGATAACGGGCAACAGAAGTGTCACGTCAAGGGGATAGGTCATTTTTGTCAGAAACCCTTCCCGCCTCCCTTAAGAGTGGAAATGTCCTGCCTCGACGGCTACCATGCCTATTTCTACTTAAAAAGTGGAGTGGTGGAATATTGGTATGGCAGCTTTTCCAACCAGTTCAAGACTCATTATGATGGAACTTATTGGACGGCGAAGGTTTGGGGCTGTTAACTGAAAAGTGAAGTATGGAGTGAAGAAGATCTGTTAGAAGAGTTTTGTATTCTCAGGTAAACTAGGAAGAGAATGTGAGTAGCTTTGGTGCTAACTTTCACTCTGATAATAATATCTTGAATGTGCCTAACAAGATAAGACTGAGAAGGGCTCTGGTATAATGCCAACATTTATCAAAGCACCTAACATTAAAGCCTTAGATTGAATCATTATGCTCTTGACTTCCTGATGTCCAAGATGTTATGCCACGCGGAAATACCAACTGTCAAATATCCAACAGTTGTCTTGTTTTTTGTCCATTATCCGACTTTAATCGTCACAGAGGTCGTTTCGTTTGAAGTCTAAAAAGTAAGGGGAAGTTAAGCTAGTGATATAAAGGGGTTGGATTAGTTGCAATTGTAATCTTGTACGTGTTTATTTATTTATTTAGAATGGTTTCATCACAGAAGACAAGCACTCCCTAAAAGGCACCTCTGTCAAGCTCTTGCAACTTTGTTATTGTTATATATATTACTTCGTCATGGACGAATGGAGTGCTTATGATATCGTGCCCCGCGAATTTGGGGGCCGAAATTGTGGGGCGGATTCATAGGGAGGAGCACCAGAGGTACAGTTGCCTTCACCCAACTTTGTCCTTGTACTATACAATTAGAAAAGGGATTGCTCTATGTCATTTCTCGTGTCTGACAAGGAATCTGAGGGTTCTCGACTCGTAAATGACGCTTTACGAAAATAAAGTTCCACGTTCGGAGCAGACCAGGGGCTGCTACTTCAGCCGCGTTAAAATGGAGTGATGTGTTCTCCTTTGCCGGGCTGCGATATGAGTGAGTATGCTGTTAAGCTTGCATTTCTCAGAATCTGTAAGAATTAGTGCAGTGCACAAAACACATTCTACTACCAGCAGAAGCGCAAACTTGAGAATTAAGTTCATAATATGGGGGGGAATCATAATCAGGATATATTAGGGAACTCGTCGATAGTCACAAGAAGACGTAAACTCTAGGTCTGCAGAAAAGAGCAGATTGCCACGTGAAGGTCTTCAAGCGCAATGAAAGTACACTTGGCCAATCAGATCGTCGAGACCGTTGGGACAATACTCTCGGCTCTCGATGTATGCACAGGTGCAGATCTCCGCAGCATGCTGAAACGGCGTGACATTGCGAGCGACAGGTATGCTACGCACCTTCTCGGCTAAGAGCAATGAAACGGTGTTTTATAACGAGTGATATCCAAAAGCCCCCCCCCCCGCCCTCTCCACCACAACCTCGCTCAGACTCCACTACCAAGATCTGATCGATAAAACTTCTTTCAGCATTTTTTCGCACTTTAATCGAAGCCAGACACAGATATAAGAATTCAGAAGCCCTAAGAAGATAGCTAGAGAGAAAAACACTCGCTCAATTTTGAAGGCAACAACTTCTAAGTCTTACCTAGAAGATATACATGGGTATCAAAAAAATGACAAGTGACATCTTTTAAAATACAACGTATACAGAAGAGAAATTTCCGCCTAATGGCTGCTCCTCTGTCACTGATTTTCCACAAACATTTGCTCCTCGTCATCATCGTCTTCATCCTCCTCGCCAGTATCACTTCCGCTTGAAGGCTCACCATACTCGTCAGAACTATGCTGGTCGGCTCGACCCTCGCTCTGGTAAATCTTTTGAGTGCTTCTGTCGCCCTGCGTTACATAGAAATCTCGCGCAGAAAAATTCGACTGTGCATTTACGGGTCCGTGGAACTGGCCAGTGATCGTGGCTCCTTGAACACTGATCTTGGACGAACTCTTTTTCTTCTTTTTCGGTGCCTCTGCCACTGCAGCATTCTCTGGTAGGAGCCAATAGATCAGCTGTCCTTTGACCTTGCAGTACTCCGGATCATTGGGACCAGTGAAGCGTGTCATTGACTTATGATCCCCTTCGATCGCACATTTGAAGTCGGCTTTGAGCACAGCAGATTTCTCGGGAACCACTAGGTTGCTGAATCCAGGTAACTTTCGGGTCTCATAAAAGGAGAAGAGCTTGATGCTCTTGAGCTTTCCGTGCTTTGCTTCTTTCTGGAAATCCTCGTCCAGGTTCTGACACACTTGGGAATCTGTCTTGAGGACATCGATGACCTTCTTGTTGGAGCTGCGAATTGACTGCGGGATCAACTTTCGAAGGGCAGATCCCCATTTGGCAAGATGTGAGCCTTGGTGCGGTACGCCGAAAAACAGAATCCCAGCCGTCCATTCGGCAACGGTGTGCAGACTGACGTCTGACCCGATTGATTCCAATAGAGCTTGTTCTACAACAAGGCCGCCGAGCGAGTGTGGCAGGAAGTAAATTGGACGGCCCGCCTGATTTTGCAGCTCGTTGCGAACGGCAAGAGCTAGAGCTTGGCCATAGCTCTTGAGGCCTTCTGTACTTGCATTCCCCCAATCCTTTGCGAACTTCACGACATCGGCATCGTAGCCGTAAGTTATGACCCGGGCTTTGGGGAAGTCACGAGCTAAGAGTTCTGGCCAAAAGACACCAGCCTTCTCATGGGTCCATGTCCTCTTGCGGTTGCCAGTGAGTCCGTGGACGAACCAAATACTGAGCGACAATTAACCGGGTATTTCTTGTCGAAAGACGGTCATACTCAATCTCTGCATTGTCAGGATCTGCTACTTTGTCGGGGCCCAGGAGACTGGGGACCACGGCCTCAAAACTATTCTTGCTTAGTATTGTGATAAAATATAGAGGGGAAACTTACGAATCAATAGATACGGAACTGTTTACGAGGGTCGAAGACCTTGAGAATGGAGCCACCCCACTGTTGTTTCTATGTGTCTCCTGCATGTTGGTTTCTTGGCCGCTTAGCCTTTTCCCCGTGATGAGTTGTTTGATTCGGAATCTGAGGAGTCCATCATAAATAACCTGTCTTGCGTTACTCACACATGGTTGGCTTAAAAAGGGATAGACAGGGGATAGGTTTGAAAGCAAATGAGAGATCGTAGCTTGATTCTCGACGCCCGACTGATATGGGGATATTCCCTGATGACTGCGCGTGATGCCAACGCATACACGCAGCCCGCTACTTCCAGGTCTTCCATTGCCAATAAGACCTCTTTGATTCCAGCCACGAACCACCAATATAATGATACAATGGTTGCCTTGCAATCTGTATCTTGTACGATGAATTGATCTGGGAGGAAGGCGGGTCTCTGTAGCGTCTGTGCCCAACTCCTGCAAGCAAGCGCAGAGAGATGACCTCGATCGATGCCTCATACTTGCCGATCTAAGAAAGTATAAAGCTTTGAGAGGAAGAGACAAAAGAGTGCTCGGTCACTATTTGGATGTTCGCCGCAGAGAGTGGAACTCCGGGCCTCATAATATTCGACACTTCATTATTAGCACGGTACTCCCGCCGGATCATTCTGATACCCTCTTGGAAGGAGGGCATATTTCGTGATATCGGGCGAAGATTTGCTCGCTACCTTTGGAAGATGGAGAGCTTCGAGAAACTGCATCGTGTCTTGAAGTCGATGGTGTGGACGGGACGGATGAGAGGGAAGTGACTTCGCAAGCCGAGGGCTGAGGTGCTGTCTTGTGGAGGCTTAGCGCTGATTTTGACACCCTGCACGAAATGCGACCACACCCCACCACCACCTCTGATCTGAAACCCGCGATGGGTTCAGTCACAGAGAGAGCCGCATTCCTCAACATTATCACCAACTTCACCGAGTCAATGGCCAACATGGCCTACGAACCTCCATGACATTCTCCTTATAACCCGCATCCAGTCGCGACCCCACTGCGAGACTTCTGGGCACACCCCCGGCCGGCTCAGCCAACCATGCTACAGTATGAGCGCGAAGCGGGGCAAGGGACAAGTCGAGAAAGGCCCAGCTCCTTCTGCTTCGCGCAGCCCGGCCGGCAGTCAACGTTCACACAGTTCATTCGGAGTGAGAGGCGCTGGCCATTCCGGAAGAGTCGATGGCCCTCTGGATGCTTCAACCATAGGCGCGGGAAGGGATATATCACAGCAGACGACTAAAGACAGTCAGAGTAGGCTTTTCCATAGCCCATTGCCCCCTTTCCTCGTATTGCGCTGTGCCGTTACCTTCTTTCAAAGTCTGCCAGTAGTTTCTGAAATTTGCGCGTAGTTTCTTGTTCCAGATTGGGGCTTGCTTGTGCGCAACTACATATACTGTTTTCGTGCTAACACGTGCGAATAGAGAACCCTTTCACAATTTCAATACCTGTTAACACTTACGTGGGTTACCCCCCGCATGCACCTCCAACGATAAGCGAAACTGGATCGTCTCAGGCAACGGCAATTCAAGGACTGACTGAAGCGCGCCCGCCTGGCCCAGATCGAGGATCATCAGAAGAAAGCGGAATCACAGCGGAATTGAACGGCCTACATGAAATTGAACGCCTGAGGAATGAAGTCAAATGCCTGAGAGCCGAAAAGACGGAGAATCAACGGTTGAGAAAACAAGTGGCGCAGCTAAATCACTTGCTTGAGGATGAGAAAAGGAGGACCCAGCAGAAAGACGAGAAGCTGGCCCGGCTACAAACGCGTGTGCAGGACCTCGTATTGCAAGACCTTAAGGCCAGTGAGTATCAAGCAGCTTCTGCCCAAACACGGATCCATGACGCGAAGGAGATGCAAGACAAAGAGATTGAGATTGAAAAGTTGGAGCAGCGCTGCCGGATTTTGAAAGAGAATAATAAAAGGCTCCAGTCCAACATCGAAGAGCTGAAGGTGATAACGAAAGACGCACAAGATCATATCCGCTACTCACGACTCCAGAACCAAATCACCGATCTTGAAAACACCGTCAAGGACCTGAGACTGAGGCGGGAGACTGTGCGAGAGCAACTAGGCCGGGCGAGCGATGACCAAAAAGATAATCTTTACGACGAGATGAGCAATCTGAGCAAGGATCTGAAGACGATGAATACTCGTTTAGCGAAACTGCGTGCCGACTTTGCAAATATGCCAAACCCTGCCGACTTGGCTGGAGATATTGGTGCGCATTCAAGATCAGGGAGTTATGATACCCAGTATGACCCAATTCCCGAACTGGTTACAGATATGTCCAGTCTTGCATCGGCGTCGCCTCCTCAAAGTGAGTCGCTGGACTCGATGGACGGATACCGTTTAAATAGGGATTACCTGGTCGGACAATCGCACCCAAATGCAGAGCCCTGGGCCAAAACCGTGGAGACTCCAAAGGGATTATCACCTAGAGCAAGCGATGGATTCGCGGGTGCGGGGAAGCAGAGAACGGGTCCTTACCGATGAGACGAGCTTCGGCATTCCCAACAGACCCCATCAATGCAGGCAAACCTTTTCAATGTACAATGTCATTTCCGTTAGAGTTTTCCAGTTGTATATATCGTCCAGGGGTTTTCGGGTTTGTTTTCTGGATATCATGGTTGCATAGCGCGGCGTTATGAATAGGAGGAGCAATTGGGAAGGATCGATTGGCTAAGGCGCAAGTCCAGGAAAATGGCTTGGCGTCAACAGCTGTGGGTCGGATGGCGTTACTGCTTTTTGTATAGAATTCTGGACTAAACCGCTGGGCATCCTATTGATATTGGCTTTGCGGGCTGGTGTCCTTTTGGGGGCGGTTGTTTGAAACACTTTGCCATACTCTGGCCAGTACAAAAGTAGAGCTATATATTGTTATACAATCAACTCCGTGCAACTGCTCGCAGATTCTCTCTCAATGCAAGCTACGCTCTCCTTCGAAAGATTGGGTTATCTCTTCATCTGGACGGAAGGCAGAATGGTTTGTGGCACTTGGTTCGCAGGATCAGACCAGGGCATGAAGGAATTCTGACAGAGGTTGGGAAGGAGTTCGTGATCCAAACAGAAGAACCGTGCCCTCCGGAACTTTCTGGATGATCACGAGAAAGGTTCCTCGGTGGCGGAAAACATGGATCTTGAGTTTTGCGTGAAACCCCGCAGGTTCATGGCGGAAAAGGTGTCCACTTTCCGGACCAGGTTCGGGGTCTCGCCTAATGAGAAGCGATAAATTCAGGGGGCGGGGAAAACAGGCGTGACTGGCTTTCAACACGACTCACTGAGGAATGATGCGCACATTGGAATAAAGGCCACAAACGCTTGAAATTTGTTTTGCAGTGAGAAGCCTGTTCCGATATTCAGCTCAGAATCGGTCGAGAATAAAACGACAAACAAACGCGACCAAGTCTTTTGCGGCAGCCTTGCATAGGCCCTTGTAGCTGACAACTATTCTTGGGCATCAACCGCAAAAACGTCCCAGGAACTGTCAAAGATCACCGGATGGCTGGATTGATCCCTGGATATCACATCTCCTGCTTGTGCGCATCACAAACCTCGGAGGGTGCCGTGTTTGACCAGTGAAAATATATTTCGGTGGCTGAACCGCGCCTCCAGCCTCGCGCATTTGCTTCCCGCCATCTCCTGTCAGAATCAATGCTAGCCACTCAGCGGACTGTTAATACCGGCTAGGCTCGCCTTACAATGCATTCCCCAGTAGTCTGCATATGCAACTTGCGGAAGGCCATACAGAATGAATCTGGGAGACTTGACCGTGTACTCCGTGCATCGTGAGTCGTGGTGTTGATGCGCTGTCGAGAGACATTGGCTTGCTGACCTGCGACCCAGATAAACGCCCGCAGCTTCAACGAATACTTACGTCTGAACGACCCATCACTCCTCTCAATGCCCGACTCGAAGCAGACCGTTCCCCTTCCTTTACCTCGACCATCACCGATGAGACGGTGATACGCTGGCAGCCGCAAACCCCTCGCTCACGAAGTCGATCTCCCGGACAGCAGAGCAGCCTCGAGACGCTACGGCCCAGAGAATTCGAACATTTGAGCGCCTCCAATGAAGCTGCCTTACCCAGAAGTCCAATCTTTGCGCGATTCGACGAGGAGCGGATCAGGAGCGACGGGGCTGAGGCCTCGGGGAAGGAGTCAAGAATGTACGAGGTAGACTTGGACTCAAACTCAAACCCGCCGACTCCAACAGACGACACGCCATACATACGATTTGCAATCGATCAATTGACTCGTGATGAGGAGAGTCGAGCGATTCAGCGGCCTGGATCCCACGGCAGCTCTGACTCGTATCCCGTCCACCGAATAATACCTGATGAGGGACTTGGTTATTATATGTCTCCTGAGAGAGAGCGGGAAGCACTTGCGCTGGCCAGAAAACACCGTTCGTCTCCTCGAGAAGGACTCTTCAAATTCAATCCCACGCGACCGCTGTCACCAAACTCGAATCCGCCCGAACTCGACGTACCTCCACGACCATTCCTACACAAGAGAGCATCCGATTCCGAGATTTTCATCCCAGTTGATCCTCCTGTCGATACACCACGATACCCCGACCTGAGATTTTTACCCATGATTTTACGACCTGCTTCGATGATTACGCTGTCATGTTTATGTCTCAAGATGATTGCAACTCTCCTGTTTTGCGCAATATACTCCACCTACCATAATGGCCTGATGGATTGGTTCGGCGGTATATATGGAGGTCGATATTTTTTGTTCAACTTCTTGCCGCAGATCTTCGCGGCGTGCATATTTGTATATGTCCAATGTGTCATATCTGCAATGGCGAGAATCATGCCTTACACGCTAATGGCGACGAGTGATGTGGAGAAACGCACTAATGCTCTATTCATGGGGCTTTTCCCTCAGACGATGTTATGGCCGAGATGGGAAGGGCCGATGAGTATTGATATCGCGAATTCGTTTTTCTGGTTGTCGGTTTTTACGATACCCTTACAAAGTTGTCTGTTTTCTGTTGTTCAAATAAATGGTGTGTGGCGGTGGACCACCGTGCAAGGCATCGCGTGGACCCTTGTTGCTGTATATATTTTGATTCTGGTTGCGACGGTTATTTCAGCGTTATTCTTCTATCGACGGGTGACAGGATTAATGTGGGATCCGAGGTCACTGGCGGATATCGTTGCATTGTTACCACGAAGTAATTGCTTGTGGGATTATCCTGGGACGGACATCATGAGGAACAAGACAGATATTCGACACAAGTTGGCTTTGAGAAGTGATAGATTGGGGTACTGGAGGACGCCAAATCGAACGCAGGGAATCTTCTACTGCGTGGGGGAGGAAGGTGCCTCAACGCGGCGGTACACACTTGAAGCTGGAAAGCTATCTGAGAAGAAGTCTGGGATGGGCTTGAACGGCGACCGAACCTCTGACATCGAGATGGCCGCTGAGCTTTACAACACCAACACGCGATTTCGGTATATCCCTTGGTTTCTGAGGGATGAATTCGTGGTGCTCTGGTGTGTGGCGGGATTCATCTTTCTGCTCGCGCTATTCATCATCTCCTTCCTACCTTCAACAGCCATTAGGAAAGGATTCCCACCGCTTCTGCCAGTAGTAGCCAGCGTCGGCGGCTGGTCACCCGCCAACTTCCTCTACAGCTTCATACCATCATTTCTTGGCATGCTCCTCTACCTCTTTTTCCAACCCCTCGACATCGCCTTCCGCAAACTCCAACCGTGGACGTCCCTTGGTCACTCCTCCGGCGTCACAGCAGAAGAATCACTCCTCCTCGACTACCCAGCCGCCCTCCCAATCTCCTGCACACTCACCGCGTTCGGCGCACGACACTACCGCATCGCCCTCCTGTCCCTGCTCTCCTTCCTCTTCATCCTCATCCCCGTCCTCGCCGGCGGAATCTTCTTCCCGCTCACGACTCCCAGCATGGAAATACGCATGATCCCCAACCTATCCGCCTACTATGTCATCCTCACGCTCCTCATCCTGTACCTCTTTGGCCTAGGCCTCATCGTGCCAAATCGATACCAGATGCACCTCCCTCACGACGTCTCTTGTCTGGCGGAAATCTTCAGCTTCGTGTACAACAGCGAAATTCTCGAGGACGCGAGTTTTCGCGCGCCGAAATCAAAAGCAGATCTTGACACCCGACTTATGGCAGTTAAGGCGAGGGGCGAGGTGAATAGGTATGCGTTTGGAGTTCTTAGGGGACGTGATGGCCGGGAGTGTCTTGGTGTTGAGCGGTTGGGGAGGAGGGGAGGGGAAGAAGTATTGGTTTTGGTGGGGAACGGGAGGAAGAGGGTTAGCTTCTTATGATTGCCGTGGCAATAATGATTTATGGGTTATGGGTTATGGATTTGGTGTTGGATGAATTACGGACGGATATGGTTAACGGGACATGGATTCATGGATATATTTGAGGGATGGCGCATAGAGTGTAACATAGACTTTGTAGATTCGAGAATGGCGACATACTTCCCAATTTAGTTTCCTTCCATACCATTTCCCGCTTGCCCGTTGAGAGGGGAGTTCCAAAAGCACCCCAAGTCGGGGTATATTTGTATTTGCCAAGCTTCTTTCGCAAAGGTTCATCCAGTTGAACTCAAGAAATAAAATCGACGGGAGACGGAAAGTTCCAAGTTGCGATCCCCGTTGTTGTTCACTGTGTAGCCTGGAATTAGGAGTTAAGCCGCTAGCACTTCTTCATCATTCTTACCGGAGCACCTCGCGCGATTATCTAAATGCGGTATAGCGTCCTCCTCAGCCACCAACGACATCTTCAATTCTTCATGCCAGCCATTCTCCGACGGTTCATCAGTGGAGAGAGAAGCTCTCAGCTGTGGCACGGCGCCATGGCTGCAGGTGCGAGCCCCTGCTTTGACGCTCTTCACGGGTTTCTACGATACCGGTCACCGAAGGATGAGAGGGGATATATACCCTAAACCGACGATGAAATACAACATCATCAATCATTCAATGCAAACCCGAGCTTTGTGATACCTGAAGCAAGTTAAATCTGGAAAAATAACATACGAAATAATGGCACCAAAGTTCCCGCAACGAAAGATAGGTGATGTGATGGTCTCTGCCATTGGGCTTGGATGTATGGGCATGTAAGTCTTCTTCTCTTCTCTTCTCTGGATCCAATGCTTGCGAGCATTTGGCTGACGCCCACAGGTCCATCCCTCCCTTCAACGACGAAGAATCATTGGAAGTCCTCACCGCCGCCGCGGACATGGGTCTCAACTTCTGGGTAACCTCCTCTGGCTACGGACCCAACGAGGCTCTCCTCGGACGCTGGTTCCGCGCAAACCCCAGCCGACGCTCTGAGATCTTCCTCGCCACGAAGTTCGGGCGTGTGATGGTCGATGGAAAAATGTTGCACCCCGGGACGCCGGAATACGTGAAGGCGTCTTGTGCAAAGAGTCTTGAGACGTTGGGCGTAGAGTATATTGATCTGTATTCTCAGCACCGCGTCGATCCCGAGACGCCGATTGAAATCACTGTGCAAGCCATGAAGGCCTTGGTTGAGGAGGGGAAGGTCAGGTTCCTTGGGTTGTCGGAGTGCAGTACTAGGACATTGAGGAGAGCGAACAAAGTCCATCCGATTGCGGCGGCGGAAATGGAGTTCTCCCCTTTCGCGCTCGAGATTGAGGATCCGCAGATTGGCGTTTTGGCCGCAGCGCGAGAGTGCGGGACAGCTATTGTGGCGTATGCGCCGCTTGGCAAGGGGTTCCTCACGGGGACGATCAAGAGTAGGGATGATTTTCCCGAGGGCGATGCGAGGAAGACAATGTTTCCGCGGTTTAGTGAGGAGAATTTTGGGGGGAATTTGAAGTTGGTTGAGGAGTTGGGGGAGGTGGCGAAGGGGAAGGGTGTTACAGTGGGGCAGTTGGTTATTGCTTGGGTATTGGCACAGGGAAATGGTACGTCTCGTTCTCGCTCTTTTTCCGATGGTTGAAATGGAGACTGTGTGCTGATAATGAGAATAGATTTCACCCCGCTTCCGGGGACTAAACATGTCAAGTATTTGATGGAGAATGCGGAGGCTGTGAATGTTGTCTTGACCAAGGAGGATGACGAGAGGATTCGAAAAGTCATTGATAGTGTAGGCGGGACGAAGGGGGCCAGGTACCCAGCTGCTTCGGTATCGTCGCTATTTGGTGATAGCCCGGAGCTTGAGGGGTTCGGTGGTCTCTAGAGGTCATTCTAGTAGCCTGTTCGAACTTTCCCTTGAATTCGGATTTGAGGTGGCAGTCTGGGGGTTCGCAGGTCATGTCCATTCAGGCTTAAATTTGCCTCTGCTTGTCGTCAGAAGAGTCGACCTGGGCCGGGTTGTATTGATTTAGTTGTCGTAAACTCAGCTGATCTTTTGTCTTGCCATTGGTGGAGCTCCATCTAAAGATCTGAAGGTGAAGTTGAATAAAGACCTCACTTCCTTCCATGTGGCCCTATGAGACGAACTCCGGATCGGCTCCAAAAGCTAACACGGCGTAAGAGGCACGGAAAAGGCGGCGTAGAAACATGCCAATAAATTTATAATCAAAGAACCTTAATTCGAGGACATACAAAAGCTTCGCTTGGCGCTATTTATGTCCGCGAGTTTGTGAGAGGAGAAGCACCTCGGCTTCGTATCGCGTATTTGATTCGGTTTGGTTCCGGGACTAGGCTGCTCTTGTGCTTCTACCCTCGTCCTTCACTTGCTCTCCGCTTTTTGATTGCCATCTACGAACTATGGTTCTCAATACATTTTGATTTGATAACTCGGGGTGAACAGTTTGCTACCCTCTCGTTTGGTTTCCTCAGTTGTGCATCCCTTGGATCGTGTATTTGTTTGGTGTTATGCTTGTTTGATCTTCATTACGGATAATTCTTAGTCAGCTTACTCGCGATACTTGGGTTTCTGTTTTTGTACTCTGGTCTTCTATCCTCGATATCCCGACTATAATAAATCCAGACAGGAAGACGTTTCGCTTCACTTTTCACTCCTGCTCGCTACCCCTGAAGTAGGCGAGCCGAGTTGCAGACGGTCTAACCACCCAACGGATCGCTCCGGCCCACATGTCAAAACGCTCGCGTGGAGTGATTTCGAAGCTGTCTTCGCATCTACGCGTGTTAAAACGCTAGAACCCATTCACACATTTTGCTGGACCGCCACCGGATCACTACCAACAACAAACCGATGGGTTTGCAGGACAATTTGGTGGTGTTAACTTAATGATTTGTTCGTATCCTTTTTGCTAGTACATTTTGAGCTTCTACTAACTCTGTTGTAGAAATTTAGGGCGGTGCTCTTCTCTTTGTCACCTTCCTAGCCGAGATGCGCCATCCTTTGGATTTCTAGAAGGGAATGAGCTGCGCCCAGTTGTTTAATTGCATTGTTTACATATTCTTCGGTGCATTTGTAAGTTCTGCCAGTTGTACAAAGGAAGAAAGGATACCGTCTAACTTTACAATTTACTATCTACGTTTACAGCAATTTTGGTTAATATTATATCGGTAGCATTGGAACCACAGTCCTGCTTGTCTCTTTATAAACAGCAAACAATGTGTTTAGCTTGATAACGAGGCTCATTGCAGCCTGTAAGCACTTCCTCCATCCCTCCACCTGCAAGCCTGACTAACCAGGACGACTAGTGCTGCACATGGACATTGGCATAAAGGCAGTCTACATCGAGGTCTTCCAGGAAGTCTCTAAGTTCCCCAAGACCAATAACAAGGGCGCAAATACATGTGGTGGGCTCTCGGACCAGGTAGAAGTGTTGCCACATCCTTTGGATGTGCCCCTCCAGCCTAGATCTGAGGCTGTGCGCCTTTTCGCTGCCTGTTCATCACGGATAGGCAGTGCCTTTTTCTTCTCACCCTCATTCCTTTCATCCTCTATCGGCTTCTGTCTTCGAAGAGAGATATTTGTTGTTGTAGAGAGACGTGTAGTGATAGCAGACGATTATAATCTGAAGATTGAGTGATTTTTGGAAACAGTGTGATTCGTTTCAACACCAAACTAAGCAAATGGAGGATTTGTTGGCAGAGGCGGTGGGCAATCCTTCGTCCTGGACAAGCCCTTGTTTGCCCTCGGACCCCGAATTGGTTGCCTAACTTGCATTTCTAGTCACCATTCAATTTTGAAGAGCGAATTATTCAATTACTTCGACTTTATGCTTTTCTTCTACTGGTTGAGGCCTTTCATAGATGTGGGGAAAACATCGTTTCTCTCAGCCTCGTCAGCCCCTTGGCGTCGATCGGACAGCCAACCGAATCGAGGTGGCGCAGCCGAGGGTTCTCAAAATAGACCAGCAAACATCAACTTCAATCCGACAACCAGAATCCCATCTCCAACGTTCCGTGGTTCGCGCCTTCAGACTTCGTGGCCCAGTCTCTTCCTTCAGCCATGAGATCCCACTCTTCTTGGCTACCAGCACGCTCGGCTGACCTTCGTGAATCCTTCCCACCAGTATGACTCCGCCCCTCGTTGGATGACTTCTCGGCTCCTTCGAAATTCCCGAGTCGCCACCCTCCCGAGATCCGAGATCCTCATCAAGAATTAAAGCCGGAATCTGGGGTTGGCGGGCTCGTATCTTTGGGTCGCACAGTGGCTCGTGCTGACGGAGAGAATGAACCAAATTGAGTAACCGACGAAGAGAGGCTGGAAGGCTTAAATCTACCTCTTGCGCACGAAAAATCGTCACTCCCGGTCACCGAACCTTATTCGAGCTATTCTAAGCTTCTGGGAATTTCCCAGATCCCCACAAAGATATCGCATTGCTGGCTTATGCTTGATTTTCGTTCGGGGCTCCTCGAGGAGGCACTGGTTCTGGGGCCAAAGCTCAAGATCAACCCTGGGTTTGAGATTGCGATGTTGAATAAGTTTAATCAATTCACTCATGCATTTGGAGATATTGTCGATATTTGGGTGTTCTGATCTGATTTATTTTTTCCATTTAAGGTTTTGCAAATGCGTTGAGCTGAAGTTTCAAGTGGCTCAGCACGAACTCGACTTCATCCAATGAAATTATCCGCACCTGAGCTCTGACTGATAGATCAAGCCGTGAGAAACCGAGAGTCTTGTACAGTCTTCAAGTTTACTTTCATCTGGTGTTCAGATGCCTCTTTCTCGAGGCAATCCTGCACATTTCTCGGGACGTAGTGGGCTCGTACGGTCCTCTTTCGACCCGCTATTGGCCTTTGGGACTCTGCTGGGAGAGGCTAATACTAGCCATAAAAACAGACGGTGAACATCGTGGCCCAGCAGGATGCCACATTTCTCACAGCGGAGCAACCAAATCAACATTCAGCTAACAAATAGCATCTGGCCATGGCGGATAAAGGGTTTCTTGGCAAATTTTGGATTTCTCACACGAAAGAACTCTCACACCGTCGTCTCTCCTATTGGGCATGATTCAGCATAGCCGTTCTTATTATTCATGGCGATCCTTCGGTCATGGCAGCATCATCAGCAATCGACATCACCCGTCTGAACTGCTGCTTGCTGTCTGGTCCTTTGGAAAGACTTGTCCGAACACCTGCCGTGCTCCCCTTGCGCTGGTGGGGGCGATGCTGGCAGGACTTTTCCATCATGCTGTTCAGGTGTTATGAGAATAGCATCAAAGATACGAGGACTGCCAAGATGGTTTAGCAGAGTTTGCTATAAGTACTGCCATACTTGTTTACGCATTTCACCGCATCCTACCTCCATCCTCTTTATCAAAGCTTTGCTTCACATTAGATCTTTACTAAAGATTCTCTTCCAGCTAGACGCTCTATGGTCTAAGCTCTCGAAATTCCCAACCTCCGAGTCCCGACCTCATTCCTCAAGATGCAGCTAACAATATTCACCCTCTCTGTCATCCTCGGCATTGCCACGGCAATGCCAGGCCAGAACTACTACAGCACCTCTGATACCCATACTATCACAAATCCGGTGCCATCCTACGTGACCGAGACCTTCAGTTGGCACCCAGTACCAACTTCCTCCTCATGGTATCCTCCCGGTCACGGCGATTGCGGGGATAAGTGTGGCGGAGTATGCGGCGATCGTACGTCTTTCTATTCCCCTGGGCTCGACTTTGCTGCTCCAAGTGCCTCCCGATTTGTTTCTACCTCGTAACTTCATGCCCTTAGGGCAGAAGTGCATTGTACCGATCTTATTTGTTAAGCAATGCTAACTCGCGACCATCAGATATCGTGCAGTACCCAGAGGAAGAATGCGACCTTGGACCCGAACTCAACGGCAAACCCGGCTCTGGCTGTGATGCACACTGTCATAAGTGTGGCTATTGCGGGGATTATATAACCGAGACCCAGCTTGGTGAGACGTGTGATCTTGGGCCTCTACTCAACGGCAAACCGGGCTCCGGTTGCTCTGCTGATTGCAAGTGCTTACCGGTTTGTGGAAATGGGAAGGTTGAAAAGGGTGAAGAGGTGAGTTTATAATCCACGAGAGAGTTGAGAAGATATGCTGATATAGTGAAGTGCGATGCTGGTCCGTTGAATGGTGTTTATGGCAGCGGGTGCTCCAAGGACTGCCAGCTTTGTGGATATTGTGGTGATGGGAAGATTGACGATGAAGCGGGAGAGCAATGTAGGTATCCCTTCCTATCCCTGACGGTTTCAAGATATTCTCCTGAGACAATGTCCCATTCTGAACTAATCTCAATGTAACAATTGCTAACCCTCGTGCTACCTAGGCGACAATGGGTATTTGTTGAAGTAAGTCAGATGCGATTCTCTTCGTCCCTCTCGCCATGCATTGGTGCTCTTCAACTTCTTGGCGCACAATCCCTCCTTTCTCTAGCTCTTTCACGTATCACACCTTTAACACTCAATCTTTAGTGGGACGCCTGGCAACCCTTGTTCAGCAAACTGCACCCTGAATACCTGCGAGTATAAATGTGGTATGTTATGAATCCCGCGACCGACCTCGAATTGCAGAATCTGACAAGACACAAGGAAATGGTATCGTTGAGCCTGGAGAGCAATGTGTAAGTGAATACTACAGCTCTCTACATCTCCATATAGTCAATATCTTACTGATTGTTGTTCTTGAACAGGATGACGGCCCAAATAATGGCAAAAAGGGAGACAAATGCTCAAGCAAATGCGAGTGGGTTGATTGTTCTTGTGGAAATGGGATTACGGAGTTAGTTTTTGAAGCCTTATATCTTGATTGAAAGTGAAGCTGACATTCTAGGTGGCCCGAGCTATGTAAAATACCCATTTCTTTGTCCCATACCCCGAACCCCTATTCCCGCTATTCGGGAGGATGTCTCATCCTCCCGCTTCGCTCCGGGGTCCCCTCTCCCCAAGGAAAGAGGTTGCTAATTCGTTCTAGGTGATGACGGTGACCTTAACGGTTCAAATTCTTCCTATTGCACTATCGACTGCAAATGGAAGGAAGATTGTGGAAATCCCCACCCTCCTACCTGCGGGGTAAGCCTTATTCTCGCGCTGCTTTTTGTTTCTTGTTTGAGAGCTTAGAGCCTGGGGGCTTCTTTGAAGCCCTAATGCCGAAGTTGGCTCAGGAACTTGGCTCTTCAACTCCTCCGGTCCCCTGTAAAAATCAAAGTAGAGCTATACTAACTCGATGACAGGATGGCATAGTTCAATGGCCAGAGACATGCGATATGGGTTGGAGAAATGGCCAGCCTGGCTCAAACGTATGTCATCCCCCTCCTCAAACCCATTCCCGCCCCAACTATCATGCTCACGCTCATGCTAACTCCCGAACAGTGCTCAACAGACTGCCAACCTTGCGACTCTTCCCCTCCTAAATGTGGAGATGGCCACAAAGATCCAGGAGAAGAAGTGAGTCAATGAAACCCAAGAGAGATTGGATGAAGAGCTGATAAAACCAGTGCGATGATGGCTCCCTTAACGGAACTCCCAGCTCCGACTGCGACGCGACCTGCCATTCCAAATGCTCTTCCACCTGTCCACAGACCTGTAATCCGAACCCATTCTTTAACAAATGCACGATAAGCACCTGTTGCATCAATACACCTAGTCAAAACGATTTCTGCGCTTGTAGACCAGGGTATAGAGCGAGTGGGTTAAAGCCGGATGATCCAAAGCAGTTCAGACTTGCGTTCGCTGGGCAGGAGCACAGAGTGTTCGTTGAGCCAGGTGTGGAGTGTGATCAGCCTTGCGATCCGGGCGCGAGCTGCGGTGAGGTTCCTGTGCGGGGAGATTGTTAAGCACAGAGATGTGATGAAGAACAAGAGAGTCTGAGGTTAGTGGAGACGAGGTGAGAGTTTAGGGGCCGGCTGAATCTTTTCCTTTTGTCTGGGTTTCATTTTAGGTTTTGAGAAGCGCATCGGTCCTGGGGCTGAGTTGGGGAAAGGTGCATGGTCAGTCTTTCTTTCCGTCATCGGTTTGATTTTTTTCGGAATCGTGGAGTAAGAGCTGGAGCTGGAGACGGTGCATTGTAATTTGGTAGATCTTGGGACTGGACAGGCGCTGGTGTTCAGGGTCATTTACACTCCTTAGATTTCTTAATCTAAACATTCCCTCCCTCCACGCTTTACTTTTATCTGCTGGAGCTCGGATACCTCTGCACAGCAATTCTCTGACTCGGTAACCTCGGGCTCGGAATTTGCGCCGGCAGTAACGGTGCTCTTTCCGGTGCAATTTCTGCGTCCCCATTCCCGATCGCCTCCTGCTTCACAGGCGTCTGTGCAGCGACTTGAATGAGAACAGCCAGAAAGAAAGTCAAGATCCACGGCGGACTATCAAACCAAATATCAGTAACCGCACCCAACGCACACATATCAAACTGGGAACAAAGAAACACGTACCAAAACACCGCAACCCCCAAAACAAAATGCCACAAGTACTCCGTTTCATGCATAGTTGAAAACACCAGGAAGAGGATGAAAACCAGCACCGCGTAGGCTAGTTTCCCAGTCTGAAAACCGAGGAAAATGATGGGTGTTAATTGATCGTTGGCGAAGAGACACACTTCCCCAAGGACTAGTACTGCTGAAAACGCTGTCGCAATGAATAAGAGCCATGCCCAACTGTGTTTGATATCAGAGTTGGGTTCATAGAGGAAAAGGACGCAGGAGAAGTACGCAACAGGCCTTGTGGCTCCGCCTATAGCAGTTGTGGCGCCGCCTATTGCTAGCAGGAGGACCACTTCACCAGCGCAGCAGAGAGCAAATTGCCAGCCCCAAAGGAGGTGGAGGAGGAGGGTTGTCGGAGTCCATTTCATGATGCCGTTTTGCGTCCGAGGATGCAGTGAGAGTGGCATTTTGGAAGGAAGTACTGTTTGAATGCTATCACCCTTTTGTCTTGAAAGTAGATGTGGAGTTCTCATGAAGGAAATGGAGTGTTGGGTGTTGTTGAGTGATGTTCAGGCTCGGATGATACGGGAGCCTGATGATCAGGTCAGGGGTATGCTGGCAGGTGGCGTCGCCATGCGTGGTTAGCTGTGATTGGCTATGATTTTGTTACGTAAGGATGTTTGATGTTTCATCTTTTGAGAACGGAGATCGATAATTTGGGAAAGCGAGGGTTGAATTGATGGTCCTTTTGATCCCTCTATGCAGACGGGAAAGGGGTTGAGGAAGGAAAGAAGGGGGGGGCTAGCTTCGCTGAATTAGGAAAGGCTTGGGAAAATCAAGATTCAAATTAGCGAGGTTTCGCGTCAGCAACGCGACTTCCATCCTTCACTCTCCTTGACTGAACCCTTTGCCTGCATTGTACCCTCGCTCCTGGGCACCGAAAAAAGTTGTTTGGTAGAAGCCTGATTGATATAGTTGCGTTATAAGTTGAATCGGGATCGAGGAAGGTTTCGAGACTCGTTATTTGCTACGTGTTTGAACATGCAATCCACCCAAATCTGCAACCGAAGTACCTCTGTGCGCCCCCAAAGGCGTGCATCCTGTCCCCCAACGCCCCAAGCCAGAGCATGAATCACTCATAGCTTGCGATCACGTCCCCAGTTTGGAGACCTGAAGTGGCCGGGCCTGCTAATATATGATACACTGTCACCCACTTGGGGGGTTTTTTTTGGCTCTCCCCGTGACTTGACAGTGAGAGGAGATGGAGCTGGTTAGGGCAGTTTTGCACTTGTGTCATTCAAAGCGACTTGCGGTCTCTGTCAACTTGCCCGGATCTCTATTTAGAGGCCATCCTGCCGAAGCAAAGTTGCCACTGGGGTACGTCACGTGATGCAATAATTGTCACTTCATTAATCGCAACCCTTCTTTCGAAGCCTTTATTTGCACTCATACCATTGGTACTTCGAGCGAGAACTCTCAGGAGCTCGGTGTAGCTGGTCTGCTGGTCAAGCCTGCGTTGACTTTCTCTGTTAAATGCTTGATGTATATAAAATTGTTAGCACAGTTGCAAAAGAATTGGCAATGGGACTAAATGTCAACCACGACGGAAAATAGTAAAGCAGCCAATGGGGCCATTGATAAATGATTGAGCCTCGAGAGGCTAGAGAAGTCCGAAGCTCAAACGTGATTGCCATGCTGATTCAAGTTATCCACTTCCTACGATTAATCATCCTGAGCCTAATTATTCTCGATATCTCTTTTGCTTGCCTCTGATGTTCATCAGCTGTTCTTGGGTTCTAGAATTAACAAGTCTTTCTTGCAATCTTCGTTCTCCGCGTTTATCAAGCGGACACATACGTTTCCGCTCCAACAAACTCTTGATATTCGTTCACTTTTACTTCTTTCAATCTTGTTAGCTCCTTAGTACCATTCACTTCAACATTGCATGCAAAATTTCAGCCACTGTGCCGGCTTATTACATCATTTTGGTGCTAGTTCAATACGTCACATGCACTTTGATGCTCAAAGTAGCTCAATTCACCCCCAAAGTCAGTTCGTCACATAGCTCCATAGCCCCAAGGCAAGGATACTTAAACCCCCACTTCCACCTTGCAACCCTTCCCTCTTGGCAACGCCTCCTCCTCCCAACAACACCCAACACCACCACATCCTGTTCGCAACTCCTCAAGACCTCAATCTCGTCGGTTCTCTCTTCAAGCATTGCCCCAACCTAATTCACAAAAGGAGCGTACTCCATTCCCTTCTGGTTTGGGTTACAACTCCTCTCCCCTTTGCCCTCAGTTTGTCTAATCTCTTTCCCCCGCACCCTTGTACTGCCCAAAGACACTGCCCTTCCACCCTTCTCTAAATAGGGTGAGCACAAACCGACCCTTTTCGTTCTGCTTGTAACTTCCCTTTCAATCCCCATTGACCTCCTTACGATCAACATGTTTTCCGCAACTCTTGCTTTTCAACCAACTATTCTCGTGCTTGCGAATCCATGAAACCAAGCTAATTTGTCTTCTCGGCTTCAGCTTCGATGACCGATGTCTTTTTGAAAAGTTCAACTTTCCAGCCAGCACGTCTACCGGGCGTATCAGATAGACTTGTAAGTAAACAATTCCCCCGCTCTTAAACCTCTGCCATTCGTCATATACATATTTCTTGAATTCTTCTCAAGTTGCCCATTTCCCCTCCTTCACCTTCTTCAAGTATTGCCCCACCGTTTCGCTTTCACATCAAAGTAGGATCCTAGCACACCTTACAGTGAGCTTTTACTCGCTGATTTTTCGTCGCCATCAGTTCTATATGCTAATATAACGCAAAAAATCCATCCTTCTATATTCTTTTCTCATTCGTCCACCTCTCCACCCCTCCTGAACACAAACTTTACTTTTATCCTCCTCTCTGCATACAACACCAGCCCCTCATACGTTGATAATCCGACTCAATTCAACGTCTTGAGATTAAATGTCTTCCAAGAGTTCAAAAGTTGACTATCTGATCTTCCTCAAAGAACTCGCGGCTTCCACCTGCTAGTGGACCAAAATCTTTCTCGCCCCGTTACTGTACCTTTCCCCTTTCCGTTTTTCAACGTCATGGTAGCCTGCTCAATCTTCTACAACTCACTTTGCTAACCACTCGCGGCCAGGTTCCTCGTACTGAGGAGGTTTAGCAAGATGCTCTTTCTTTGGGTCTTGGCAGCATTGCTGCTTCAGTTCGCCTTTGCTCAACGCAATACTGAACCTACTATCACGGTTCTGTCGACAACCCTGATCACCATCACTTCTTGCCATCCCACTGCCACAGATTGCCCTGGCCACAACCAGACTTTACCAAGCTCCCCAATCACCAACCATGCACCAGCTCCACCAAGCTCACATCGGTCAAGCTCTTTGGGCGCTTCATCTTGTTCTCGCTTAAAATGCAATGCCGACAATTGTCTTCGAGCATTCGAGCGAGGCCAAGGCCAGCGATTTTGCTCTACCTTTACGCTATCAGTTATTACGGAAACTGCTGGCCTCCCTTCATATACTACAATGTGTACTGGCTCTACCATATCTCGAGTTAGCTCAGCCTGTTCTTGCTTAAACAAGGCTTGCTTTGAGACATCCACAGCTCCTGCGCAACCAGTTGCTCATGGTTGCCACCCCGATAGTTGTTTCCAGGCATTTGTGCGAGGCAAGGCCCAGGCATTTTGCTCGAGTTTCACAAAGTCTCCCGCCACATGTACCAACGGACTTCCTTCGTATGCCACGCAGTGTACTGGCTCAACACTTGCTCGTGTTTCCTCGGCTTGCTCTTGCTTGAACAGCAACGTATTCACGTCCCAACAGGCCTTCTCAACTCCAGGCAGTGTCAGCACGTTCACTTCACAGCAATCCTTCTCAACCCCAACCAACGTTAAGACGCATAGTTCGCAGCCGGCGTTCTCGACCCCGATTAGCGTCAACACTTTTACCTCGCAGCCTGCGTTTTCATCTCCTACCGGCAGGCGAACAGCTACAGCTTCTGTACCGGTTGCTTCATCGGCAGGGCTAAGTTCTCACTCCATGGCCTCATCTGCTCCGGCCCAAGTGTTTTCCTTCACGACCGTTTTCACCAACAGTCAAGGATCGCTTGTTACCAGTGTCATCGAAGCAACTCTTGCTCCATCCTTTGCTACCTCATCCAGCAAATCGACTGCCTCGGCTTCTGCTCAGCCATCATCCCAGCCTCTCCAAGTATTCTCATTTACTACGACTGGGACTAATACGCAAGGAAGCACGTTTTTTTCTGTCGTTATTGCAACTTTGACACCTGCCCAGTCTTCTCCGCAATCTGGAGGTTCTTCTGCTGCTCCTTCCCGGCCCGCACAATCTTCTGATGAGGTGATTTCGTTTACCAGCACTAGGACTAATGCTCAAGGTAACCCCTTCTCAACGATCATCGTTGCAACGGTTGCTCCAACTTCAAGTGGAGCTTCTGTAGTTGCTTCATCCCCTCAATCATTTTCTTTTACTTCAACAGGCACAAATGCACAAGGTAACCCGTTCACTACTGTCATCCAAGGAACCTTCACACCGTCTGGAGTTTCCCTGCCTTTCACTTCAACTGAAATTGGGACCAATTCAAAAGGTAGCACTGTGACTAGCCTGTTCACAGGATTTGGTTTCCCTTTTACGTCAACGGTAACGGGAACAGATCCGCGTGGATTTCCCTTCACAAGCCTATTCACAGGAATCGCCCCTGCACCCGGCGGATCCTCCCCTGGCTTTCCACTTCCTACAGGTCAACCTCCGACCAGCGGCTTTTCTTCGAGGCTTCCTCCGCAGCCTACAGGTACAGTTTGCTCGCCGTTGCCCGGCTGCCTCTTCCCAACTGTTACCAGCATCCCAAAGACCTGTTCACCTTTTCCGTTTTGCCTGACCGATATCATCCCCCGCTCGGTCCAGAATGAACTCAGCTGGAACTGCGGTACAACTCCACTTCTAGAGTGTATCCTGCCAGATCCAAAAGTGACTTGCAATCAGTGGCCGCTATGTCTTTCAACCGTTGTTGGCACCGACATTTGTGGGGGATATCCTTTCCCCGACTGTCTCTTCACTCTCTACAGTCCAACTGTCACATCGACAATCACAACCGATCCACCCGGCCTCAGTTTGATATCCCTCCACATTCCCGACTTGACTGAGAATACCGTTACAAAAACAAAGAACCAGAATGGTATTGCTGTCTGGTGGCCAGTCTTTGGCCATATCGGCTGCCCTGAATGTGGGGGATGGGATCGAATTCTCGGAAATCTTCCATCGGACCTTTTGGATATGTTCAACATTGAATGGACCCTCCCAGGTTTTCCAGAATTTCCGGATTTTCATATTCCGGTAAGTAAATATTATTGTTCTTGGGGAACATTGGAATTTCCAATGTTCTATATCATTTTCCATACCTCTTCTTTATAATATCTTCAATCAATCTTGTACATTGGTACAGTACAAGCTAGTATCAAACTTTACTATCCTTCAAACTTCACTATCCTTCAAACTTCACTATCCTTCAAACTTCACTATCCTTCAAACTTCACTATCCTTCAAACTTCACTATCCTTCAAATTCCATGGGACAACTTCAAGGACCAGGTCTCAATGTTCTGATCAAGCCGGAACACTCAAATGGGTGATAACTTCAATGTTGCAAACACTGATCGCGCATTCTTAGTGCATTTTCTTCTGCCACCATAGCAGTCCTCGATACAAGCCTAAGCCGCCGGTCAATGACCCAGATCCAAATAAGGACACAGAGCCGACGAGTACTGAGCCTTCTTCAACCTCTTTATCGTCATCGTCCTGCAGTGCTACAATCACGGACTGCTCTACCCTATTGCAAATCAGTGTTTCGGAGACTGTGAGCACCACAAGAACCTCAGTGATCTGCGTTCCAGTGGTCACTCAATGTTCCGAAAAGGGTATGCACATTCGAAAACCTCTCTCGAGTCTTACTAATTGCTTTAGGATCATCGACCACGACATCAACAACCACCTCGGCTTCATCGACGCCAACATATTATAGGATTGACCCGAACCCAAAACAAGACATATCGGTCTTAAACGCATTTACAAGCCGTTTGAAAGTCGAAACCGATCCAAGTACTTTATGGGTTGTGGATGTACCAAACTTAAACCTGATTTTCTTCTGGAAGCAAAAGCTCACCTCCGCCCAAGTGGAGGAATTTTCCAAGGATCCAGCTGTGAGTATCAAATCTCCTAACGGGTGCTCGATCTGATTAGCTTTAGGTCATCAAGATTCAATCCATCAAGTCTGTTTTGGATTTGAATTCCTTTGATGCCAATTATCCAGATTCTACCTTCGATGCCCAGATCAATGGAACTCAGGTTCCTGGCACTGATTGCCCTCCTGCGTTGGCATTGAGAGGTGAAAAGCGACAGCCACCCTTTGTACATCAGGACTCCCCTGTCAATCAAGAATTGAAAGTCATATCTCAACCTCCGCTCGTTCGATTGGATGACATTCTTACATACGCGTATCAAGATGAAGTAATAGGAAACGTCCGAGTCTACATAGTTGATAGTGGAGCAGATGTGTCCATCCAGGTAAGGTAGGAATTATTGGAACATTGAAGCGCAAGCTGACTGGGCAATGAACAGCCCTTGGCATCCGGACCGCCAGAATGGATATATGGCGGAGATCCAATTGAGATTTTGAACCCAGATGCGAATTACCTTTATGAAGAAGTCGAGAACGAGTGGAATCCGGACGGTCATGGGACGGTACGAGTACCAATACACTCAAAATGATTCTTCTGCTGATCTTATTGCGAGTGTATGCTTTCCAAGGCCGTGGGTCGTGTATTTGGAGCGTCGAAGAACGCCGCCGTCACTGTGGTGAGGGCACCAAAGCCTATACTTACAGCCGAAGAGGCTGCTGCAGGAGGTTACGATTTCAGAATGGAGACATTGATTGATTCTTTACGCAAAGTTCTTCAAGACATCGGCGATAAAGGGCTCGAGTACAAGTCTGTAGTGAGCATGTCTTTAGGTTACGAGGATAGCTTGCACAAGATTCCCGAACCGGGAGATTACGATTACCCTTTTTATGCAGCCATAGAGGCTCTAATTAAGGCAAAGGCTGTTGTTGTGGCAGCCTCCGGCAATGCAGGACAGTTCAAACGAGGAAATCCTCCAGCCGGTATGCCGCAGTCTCCAGGCCCGGTAAGCAAAATCACAGATCATCGAAGCTGCAATCCATCATTAACTGTTCAACAGATCTTGAATCCATTAGCAAAGGTTATGAGCGATATTCCAGCCGTCTGGAATGGACAATTGCCAATTATCACTGTCGGCGCGGTCGACAATAGAGGTATCAGACTGGATCTTACTCAGTTCCAGGAAAACCCAAATTTTCCGTATTCCAAAGTCGATGTTTACGCTCCGGGCGGCATACAAAATTGTACAGAGCCAGGTCGCTTGATTGCAAGATCGGAAGCCGGAACATCGATCTGTAAGTCCCCGCAATCGAATAGATGTGAAGAGAAAGGTCCAACTAATAAACAATAGCGTCAGCATCAACAAGCGGTCTGATTGCCTATTTCTTGGGCACAGTTAGCAATTTTGGCGAAATACTCGCGCGGTTTCAGCTCTTGACAGAAGAACAACAGAGTGACGGTAATTATTGGTCAGAGACGGTCAGACAGTACGTCGTCGACAAGGCATATCCACGACAACAAGAAGCTGCTCCCGGAAACACGAACTTTCTCAAAGTCATTTACAATGGCGAGAAACCCTTGGGTCTGAATGGAAATCAACTAAAAAAGCGTCAGGGTTCATCACCATCTTCTTGTATTCCTTCCGCAAGTGCAAGCGCCAGCCTTGTCTCCATATCTCTTGCCAGCGTTGCATCAGTAAATTCTGTTGTTTCAGTCAGTTCAGCGGCAGCCAGAGCCTCCCGAACTGCTGCTGCAATCCAGCCAACACTGACTGGCTATCTTGGAGACGTGTGCACGAAAGGCCCGGACGGCGTCAATCTCCCGGATACCGCTCTTAACCAGGGTGTCGCCAACACCACCTGGCAGCAGTTCTGCTCTGGTGTTGGTTTCTGGACTTGGATGGCTGCTGACCAGCCACCAGCTATTAAATACCCCCCGAATTTCGTCGTGAGTGGACCCAATGTCACATTCAAATCCACGCCTCCATTGCCGGGCAGCCAGGAGGTTACTACCGACATTGTGGTTGGCCCCTACGATGGTGCTGGGGCTTGTTCAGTTGGTGGATATCCTCGTTCCCTTAGCCATGATGAGTGTGCCCAAGCCTTCGCCGCCGTACTCAACTGGTGTAAGTATCAGATCGTCCTTTTGAAGTAAGGTGGGAATCCGAAACTAAACCATTCCTAGGTCCGCGAGGAGGTTCAATCACTTGGCTTACATCAGATACTCAAGGTTGTCTTAACTTTGAGCTCAATCAATCTGGGCCGGGACGGCCTCCTGTATCTGTACCCCCAGCTCCGGCGAGCACCACCGAGACCCCTCCGCCTCCGCTGCCTACAATGGGAGTCATTAAGACCACCTGCAATACTCAGGATATGGATCCCAGATTCATCCAATTGACCGCTGATGTCCCGCCTGCAATCCCGGATTTCTGCGGCAAGGCAGACAACTTGAAATCCGGTCCCGGTTCCAGCGAAAACAAGCAGATTGGAAATAAACAGATGAACAGTAAGAACACTATTTTGTTTTTTGCCACATACCCTGAACTCCCCGTTCTCCACGGTCGGGAGGATTCTCCTCTTCGCGTCTCCATCCTCCCCAAGTGACAAGACGCTAACTTTTCCCCAGTGGGTCTCTCAACCACCGGTGAATTCCCAGCAGGTCTCTGTCCTCAAAACCCTCCTGTGGGTGTCCCCATCATCCTCACCGCTCAGGAATGTACGAACGCTTTGAGTCTCGCTGCGTTCTGTAAGTCGATTGCCATTTGAAACTTCCTATGACATGACTGATTCAAGATAGGTACGTACGGCGGGACGGTGGTTTTCAAGAACGACGCTGGATGTGTTCAGGCATACGTGAACATGGAAAACCTTAATTGAGACCCCAGGTTCTTGAGGATGATTTTCCAGATGGATGGATGACTCCTGTTGGAGCGTTTTTCTCGGGACACTTTTCTTGCAAAGCTGAGAGTGTCTTCAAGATGGGTTGGGTGCCCTTTTCTTCTCCTGGGCTTTCAGCTGCTCTGCATGGATCTGAACGTCTTGGTTTCGGGAAATGATAAAGGAATAAATTTGGAATAGGCAATTGATGACGATTACCATGGGGATGCTTACAGAAAGAAAACATAGATTCTTTTCAATGAGAGGGATCACTTTCTTGCACAAGACAAACTTAAATGTTCACCAAAGAATACTTTACTTGTGATAAGTTCGCTGAATATAAGAGAAGATAGATATGCTGTGATGGGGCTAATTAACCAGTTCGGCAACCCCAAAATGGCGTCAATGGATCAATCCTCCTTGAAAATCTAAAATGGTCAGGATTGGTCTTCAAGAGTTGAGATTTGAGGTTACTTACACGCCAAACGATTAAGAACACCCTTTTGATTTCGTCTCCTTGCTGCTTGTTGATCCATTTTGTCCAAGTTCCAGCATGGAGATCTGCCCATATATCTGACCTTAATAGGCATCTTCTGGGAAAAGGGAGTCGTGAAGGAGTTCATCTAGATTTTCTGACAGGCAATGGGAGGCTATGTTCCGAGCCGTAGATCAAGGGACATGACGCTGGTCTGGATTCTCCATTTCTCTTAACATTGTTGAGAGTCGGAACAGGTTATGCATGACTCTCATCTCCACTCCGAAAATTTACGGGATCAACTTTGCTCGCAAACTCGGTAGACAGGGAACAGGAGTGCTCGATGTTAATTGGTGGTCGAGACCGAATTTCTCTCCTCGATAGGGTCGACGACTCCCCTCCCGTGCGCACGAGAGGGGGAATTTTGTGTCACATGACAAGATATTGCAGCTCCCTATTTGCTGTATGTATTTCATATCTTATTGGTAAGCTTCAATTGAAGTGCTCATCCTACTTGAAGGTTGTTCTCGGTCTTCGCGCACTTGAGTACGACTCAAAATTTGGCCCGGTTGCAACTCTACCGGCTCGTCCCATGATCTGGCAAGAAAACTGTTCCCGAAACAATCGTGTCTTCGGAACAACACAGCAATATACCCATTCAAATCGAATTGAAGACCCCCAAACTAGCCCTCACAGCACCACTCTGCTCAACCATCAAATTATCCGGACAACTGCTCCCCAGCCCCGCATTCTGGATCCAAGCCGGCTCCCAATAAAACAATCCACTTCCTCCATTCACCCCAGCCACCACACCCGCAACATCCTTAACCCACATCGTCTGTCCCGCCACACTCTTCGGTATCGACGCCGTATCGGACGGAAAAGCATAGCTTGGATACGGACAACTGACTGGCCAATTCGTCTCGGCTACCACCAACTCTTTGCCCCAGGTACTCGCCATATTCGTTAAACTGCTCTTCAAGTTCGCGAGCGTAGCTTGGGCGCTAAAGAACGGATAATAGCTTACACCCATGATATCAAAATCCGAAGCGCTCAACGTTCCTTGAGATAGAACGGTTGTGTAGAAGTAATTTTGGGTATCCCAGTTCCACCCGTTGTCGATGTGGATCATTATTTTTGGCTGCGGGGAGAGGGAAGAGTCTTTTATTCCTGCGGAGGCGTAGTGTAGGAGGCGCGCAATGTTGGCATAGGAACTTGTGGATCCGAGGGGCCAGAGGAGGCCGGCGGTTATCTCGTTGCCGATCGAGATAATGGATGGTGTGAGTGAGGCCGCGGCGAAGGCGTTGGAGACGAGGAGGGTGTGGTTGTAGAGCGCCCAGGAGAGGTCGTTGATGTTTGAGGGCCAGCCTGAAGGGGCTGCCTTCCATTCGTTAGAGAAATTGAATGAGATGAGAGGCCGGCAAAGCTCACTTGATGACTAGGGTCTGCCCAGGTGTCAGATAAGTGCAGGTCGAGATATATACCGAGACCAGCAGCTTTAGCACGTTTTGCAAGCTTGATATTGTAGTCAAGATTACAGGTTCCTCCTGTTGGATTGACCCATAATCGCTGTCTGACAGTATTGACCCCACTACTCTTCAAAATCGTCTCGAGAGGTTGAGTTGTCCCACTCTTGTACGAGTATCCCGCTGCCTCTTCAATGAGGAGGGATGACCAGTCTACTCCTTTGTAGGTCAGAGAGCAATGAACTCCTGCAACCAATAAAGTGAAAATCTTGAATGATCGCATTTTGAGATGGGATGGACGCGAACAGGGCCTTGCGATTCAGACCATCCTTTGACTATTTGTATCGCAAATGAAGAGGGTTAACTTTGGCGGAGGGTTTCCAATGGAATAGGGCCGTTGAGGTATCCCCACCTGTTCCTCATTTTCGAAGTTCAATACAGACGACATTGCGTTCCCGCAAGATCTCCCACCAGTCAGCTTTAAGTAAGAACTACATGGAACTCCACATTTAGCATCGGGGATCGATGGGGGAGTTGCGCGGCTGCCGGGGAGCTCTAAGATCTAGCAGGCTGTTTACTGCACCTACTCGTGTTGCCCATATGTCTGAAAATACTACCCGTTCCGCACCCCCTGTCTAGCCAATAGATCAATCAGGATCTCGGAGGATCCACACCACTCTTGGTGAGTGGCGTAAAATGAATTTTCAGACTTATGGGCGGCATGGTTTGTTGAACGTGATCTCGGATGTCAGGGGCCGAAATCACATTTACTGCAAACAGCTAGGGTACGTGTGAAACGAAACGGGAATGCTCTTCTCCACACTTCAACTTTATCCGCTACAACAACCGGGATTCATCTGACCAATCACCAAGGTGAGAAAGCGACTGAAGTTATCCTGATGCTAAATGGTGGAAATTCTAGAAGGGTATAATGAAATGACATATGCAGTCTCCTTATTGGGGTAGAACCCGTGATGCTGAAAACCTATTTCACTCATCCCACTTGGGATCCATCTGCACGAAGGAGAAATTATTGTCGACATCAACAGCACTAGAGCCTCGTGCAATGATACTAGTCTCACTGATTGCTGTCCCCCACTGGGGGAACATCTAAGCTCTCGTTCACAACATTGACGCATAACCTATGCGAATTCATGGCCCAGACGAATGCCCGTGGCTGGAGCTGCGAATTCTGTTCATTTGCTCATGGCCATAGATACAATATACGGTATCCTACACGTCTCCCACCCCTCTCGTTCGCCATCTATTCCCCTTCTAAGCTTTTCTCTTTCACATCTACCTCTTCCAATCCCCCACATGCGCCAAAATAATCTTCGCCGCATCCTCAGGACTATGCTGCCTCCCAATCGCCTCCACAAAGTCCCCCTCAGGATCCATCAAATAAAAATAAATACTGTGATCGACCAAATAATCCTGGCCCTTCTTAACTCCCTCCGGCGTCGAAAAGTACACTCTATATTTCTTACAAATATCTTTAATCTGTTCCCAAGTACCTGTGAGACCAATGATCGCGGGGTGAAACTCGGAGAGGTAGGTTTGCAGGACGCCGGGGGTGTCGCGGGCGGGGTCGCAGGTTATGAAGAGTGGGAGGAGGGGTGGGAGAGAGGAAGTGGTGGTGGAGGCGAGGAGGGGTGAGGCGTTGACTAGGTCGATCATTTGCGCCATTTTGTCGAGCTCCTCGGGGCAGATGTCGGGGCAGTGGGTGAAGCCGAAATATACCTATTCCACGATTCGCGTTAGCACAGCTCTCTTCTGTTCTCACAATCTGCCGTTTAAATCATGGGGAAGATAAGATGTACCAGAGAATATCTCCCCTTCATATCCCCATCCGTAAACTCCTTCCCATTCTGATCCAGCAAGCTAAAAGGCCCTCCAACCTTCGGTCTGCCCACGCCTTTCGCAGCTTCCGCGACACGCTTCCGTTCCATCCTCGCTTTCTCATATCGAAAATAGAATATCAGTGCGGCGCCAGAGGAGAGGAACAGGAGGCTTGCTTTCCAGGAGAAGGGCTGCGAACGTCATTAGCTTGGGCTCAAGCGGGTGTGGTAGGAAAAGCGTACGCCAGAGCGGTACCGTGATCGCTGTTCTTGCACTGTTTTATAGGTTCTAGGAGTAGAAGAGCTGAATTGTCGTACAGGAGAGTTGGGTTTGGGCGTGGAGCGTAAACATTGCTGGCTGCGTGGTACTGTCGGGGAGACGATTGTGGAGAGTTTGTGGCATTGCGCGGTCAAGAATGGAGCTTTCTTGTTCCTTAAAATTCTTGAGAAAGAAGAGATGAGATTCCGACTGGGGACGGTAGTCTTTGACATAATTGCTGCTGTGAACACTGCTGAATGGAAAATGAGCTGATGCTGTCATTGCTGTGCGAACATTTCGAGATTGGAGTTGCGCAGTAGCGCCTGCCGCCTTTGTAGCTTGGGTTCTGGGTTAAGGCAGCGACACATCTCCACATCGGTCACATTCCTCACACCAACCACGAAATCGTTGGAAATGGCTGGAATTAGGTTTCTATAAAGCCAACCCAGTATCTCTGGGTCTGGCTCGAATGCTAATCCTACAAGTACAGGTTCCCAAATGCTCGATGCAAGCATGCTGTGCCCCTGCGCTCAAAAAAAGAATGTTCGACTTCATACACTTTCTCAACACCTCAGACGCCATCAAATGCTTCTCGCTTTCTCGCTCCCAGAATCAGATGTCAAAGATCAACCTACACGCCTTCACTCCTGCTGCCAAATCTTGCTCAAATCATCCCGTCTATATGACTGAGAAGGAAATAATACTCGGCTTTTTGTTGCAAATCATTCCCCTCGGGTTCGGCTGACTTGACTGGTGCTTGTTCGACTTCGCTCGTCCTCCTCCAATACATCGGACAATCTTGTTGGGTGGTGATGACGGGGGACAGCAGCCCATTCCGCAGGACCTGAACCGTATGCCTGTCCCGAATAATCGACAGGCTCACCAATGGTTGGATGGCTTGTAGCAATACGTCCAGCAGTCGTAGTCGCTCCGCTTCCATACTCAACTCCCGAAACTTGGCCATATCGCTGCAAATGCGCAATCTCACGTTCGCGCTCAGCGTCCGCATTGTACTCATCTGAGTCTGCGTCAGATTGAGCCCGGTAACGGATCTTGTTTCCGTGAGCATCAAGGACGAACCGACCTTGTGAATCAATTTCATACTCCTCTTCACTGAATGCACCTTCAGAGGGAACCGAAGCACCATAGGCGGGGTCTTGTTCAGTTGGGTGAAGTGAGGTTCCTTGCCGCTGTTGGTAAAAGGCAGAGGTAGATGCAGGTTGGACGGCTGGAGCTGGCGAATATTCTTGGGAGTTGGTAAAAGCCGGGTGTTGAGAAAGAGATGTCGGAACGGCGTGTCTACCAGTAGGGGTTCTTGGTTGTTCAACAAACGGGTCAGCAGGTTCACGCTGAGCCCGGGTGTACTCTTGATAAGCTACGTCGCTGTCGACAGGGCCTTCAGCTTGCTGCACAGCTCCTGATGGAGCACTGGTGTACGGACCTTCTCGAGTCGGAGGACGATCACGAGCACTTCCATGTCGACTTGGTACACCTTGCATCATGGGCACGACCTGGACACCGCCGACAAGTGTGGGCTGGCCCTCTCGCAGTGATGCAGTACGTTCTCTCTCTTCCTGCTCACGTCTACCGAGTTCTTCCCAGGCTCGTCTGGCTTCCTCCTTGGAGATCTGAAGTTCACGCTTCATTTCCGCCAGCTGCTTGTCCGCATTCGACTTCTCTCGTTCTTTTGCGATTGCCTCTTCAATAGCTGCAGCTCTCTCGAGTCTTTCTTCCTCAAGACTTCGTTGTAGTCCAGCTTGGATTTCTTGTGCACGTTCTTGCTCAGCCCGAGTCTCAAAGAACCATCGTTGAAATTTACGTTCAGAAGAAGCACGCAAACGTTGGAGCTCAACAACCGCATGGAAGAGGTTTGCTCCAGCAGCTGACAGGTCGGTCACTTGTCGTGAAAGTTGTTGAGAGAGTGGATCTCGGTTGATTTCGTTGCTGTTATCTTCCAGTCTGCGGATCCAGAATGAAGTCAGGCCTTCCCAATGAGCTGAGAGGGTCTCCCATCGCTCAAATGCGTGTGGGAAGGACGAACGAGTTGGGTTTCCACCAGCGCCGCCTTGTTGTTGGGTAGATGACTGGTCAGCACCAGAAGGACCAGCTTCAGCGGGGACAGGTCTGGTTCGGACATTTTCTGAAGCGACTGGTCTTGGTTGTTGCTGCGATTGGGTTGGGCGGGTTCGAGAAGTCGCAGCTTCGCCGCCACCAACAGCTGTACCACCTCGTCCGACACCTTGTAATGGGGCATCTGGTTGTCTACCAGTAGCAGTTCTGTCTCCTGATCTCCGATCTGATCTTTGTGAGTTGTCAGAAATTCTTTGTCCAGTGGTACCACCAGAACCACGCTGGCCACCCTCATCTCTTCCACTCGATTGCGCTGCGCCAGCACCAGCGGGCACTCTCCTCTCCGCGCTCCTACGATTATCCTCCTCAAGCAGCCTGGCCTCTTCTTCAGCTCGATGTCTCTCTAGTGCCACTTTTTGCTCTTGTTCTGCCCGTTTTCTGGCTTCTCGAGCTGCCCGCTCCCGCATAATATCTCTGGGGCCTTTTATACCTGGCGAACCAGTATTAGCCGGCGGTGCTTGCGGTCTCGACCCTCGGCCATTGCCAGCGGAGGCCGAGGGCCCTCCACCGATAAGGTCGGACATCGAGGCGTTCTCCTCGACAAGGTCGGGTGTGAAGGGCTTCGGGTGTCGTAGTGCCTCTTCGAGGGCGTAGAGGATTGCACTGGCGGTATTTCGTGAGATTCGTAGTGCGCGGTGTGGTCGTCGCTCAGCTTGGGGGGAAACTTCTTGTGAGCTTGGTGCTAGGGGAGTTGTTGTCGATGCGAACTCGTCAAATTCATGGGTCGGATGCTCACTTCTGGCTCGTTGCCCAGCAAAGCGTTCGCGAGGAGGTGGCGAGATACCAGGAGATGTTGCTTCAATGTGAGTTCTTCGTAGAGGACGCTGCTGCTGGCGCGGCGCTGGGTCGGGCGTAACAGGGTCGTTGATGTCGTAAAGGTCGTTAGATGGTGAGGGGATTGGGTTCGTCAGCGCAGCTGCGGGCAATTGGTCTGGGGGAAGGGTCGACAAGGTGAATGCGAGCTCGAAAACTTGCCCAGGACGGGGAAATTGAGGTAGCAATCGGTGTGACCAGTATCACCGGACGAGGCTCTGGTGTTGTTGATCTCGACTGGGATCGAGGATGGGTGTTCCAGCTCTGGGGAGGCAGGAAGTGGAAAAGGTGTGTCTGGGTTGAAAGCGAATGTGGGTAGAGAAGGGATCCAGAGTCAAGACTCCTTGGGCGAAATTGGAGTGGTCGTGGGAAAAAAAAAAAAGAGGTTGGTCCACTGTGAAAACAGAAGGCTGGAAGCGAGGCGATGAATCGCGAACTCTCACCACCAACAGAAACCAACAAATCAAGCAAAGAACATGCACCCCAGAACTTTTTGATTCCAGCAAAATAATCCCAGCTGCCAGGTCGCGCGCCTCATGGATCGTGTCGTTTTGCGCGATTCGTGCCGGTCAGTGGTGCGTACGATTCATGCGCGCATCTGTTGAAGAGTTCGGCTTGCTTACGACCTCGATGACCCGTGCAGCGACGCAGCTTGACGCATGCAATTGCTCTCCTGCACAAACTCAATTCGTGCGCGAGTTGCTAGAGGGGAAACCAGAGAATTCGATAGTGGGATTGGAGAGGGCATGCTCGCACGATGTGGTGGTCAATCGCTGATTTTCCTGGGTGAAGTTGGTGTTGAAGTGAAGCTTGCTTTTTGGTGATTTCTGTCGCGAGATTCGAGTTTACACTTCAGCTTGCGCAGCCAGACATCAATGCGTGCCGCAATGACCCTCTCTCGCGCCAATCGAAAAGTGATCTAAATTCCTCTTCTCGTCGGTTTTCGTTTGCTTTCTCTCATCTCATCTCATCTCGTCCCATCTCGAGATCTTGGATGGCGATTCTTGGTAAATTGGAGGGGAATTGGGCATCAGAGATAATGAGGGGGCTGGGAAGCCTGGCTCGGCGCGAGCCCGTCCACGACTCCACCCAAACGTGCGGAAACGAAGAAGAAGCAAGATGCGTGGCACGCTCTAATGGGAGCAGACGCACAGGGGTGGGGAAGGCTAAATCCTGGAGCCTCTTTTGTTTTTTGAGGGAAGATGGCATCCTTTGAAGAGTTCGCCTCGACTTCTTCTCCGTCCAGAGTTCGTTTGGTCTGTTCAACCAGCTTTCCTGTATCTGAAAGGTGTCAAAAATCAACTTGATCGAGCTCGTTCAACCATGACATAACCAGGACACATGAAAATGTGGAACGTTTCCGTAGCTAGGCTTGCCGTCCCGTTGGTGGTCTTAGATCCTCGGGCCAATGAAACGCCCAAGTTTAGCCTTGCAAACAATAAGCTTTGAGCTGGGATACGACACTTGACTAAGGTAGGTTCTTGCGTCAGGTGATTCTGATGTTGAACCATGTCTTAGGTTGATTTCCTTTCCTGGCTAAAAGAGAGGTTGGGTGTTGCAGCTGCATTGACCTGGGAAAGTGATGGGGGCCAAAATTTCACCAACTCAAGGGGGCGATCCTTCCAGTTATTTATAACGCAATTCTACCAGATGCTCTCAAGTGAAGAGACTAGATGTCCAGTTCAACTTTTCGCCTACTGTATTCAAAGTATACCGGTGGTATCTGGACCTCTTGAAGATCAACCCAGAGTAGAGGGAGGAGGATATTGAATCACGTGATATGCACTGGAATGGAGTGAACCTCTGGGAAGGAATTCACACTTCCGTCCGATAGGCTCTAAATTGAACAGAATGAATCCGTTCAATCTCGTTCTCGAGATATTAATCTAATCAATACGATTCCAACATTTTCCTATCCAGGAAGGCTGCAATGGTCCCACGTACAGAGTAATGCTTCGATAATCACCCATCAAAAGCACGGTAAGTTTGGGAATATTTGAAAAACGTTGTTGCATGTTGCGTTTAAAAGGGTAAATTGAAGTCTGATTACTTTCGTCCTTATTGAGAGTGTATCTTCATCAAAGTGAATCTTGTTAAAAGTGAATCCAGCTCCGAATCGTTGCCTTAGCGAGGCTCTCATCAGACTGGTCAAATCCGTGCTCCTTCAAAGTCTCATGATCAACTAGATTCGTTTCCCCACAATTACCTGCAAACCCCACACTCCGCATATGTACTGACCTCGATTCAACAACTTTCATCAAGCGTCGAAGCTTCTGGGAAAACCTTTCAACTCGAGTCCGTGACCGGGACTGTACGAAGGCGCGCCGAATTGAAAACCGTCCGTTTCGCTAAGCGAGAGTTTTGAAAATCATTCCCTCGCCTTTAAAAAATCGTAATAAAATTCCCTAAAAGTTTAGAACCACGGAAGAATAACAAGAGATACTTTGAATCCTTTTCTATTACATAAAGCTTAATTTAAAGTATTCGGACTTGGTAGTGCTACGATGCGCAATTTTCAAAAACTAGAGATTTTGGTGTTCCTTGCCTTAGGCGAAAATGGACGGATTTCAATTCGGTGCGCCTTCGTAGAACCCACTCAGAACTCCTGTCACTATTTTTGGTCAGAATGTCGACTACATAATCGCCGGTAAACCGGAGGATTTGACGTTCAACTCCGTTATCAACTTTCCAAATTCCCAATCAGTCCCTATCGGACAAGCACTGAGCTTTCACTGCACGTAGGGGCCCTCACAAAGGCTGTACTCTGGGGGAGTAGCACTTGCTTGCAGGAAGCCTATTTATAGTACGTCTGCATAACGCCATTTAGCAGCTAAAGACTATGGAACAATAAAAAAGCCAGTCCCTATCAACCCCTTCGACCAAGGGAGTCTTCAGCCGGCTTGTTCGACACGATCCCATCTGGACTTCAACAACTGGTTTTCCTCAGCCTCGCAGCTCTCCGCCTCACGAACTTCACCTTCACAACCCTTGTGGACTCCTGCCCAGCGCATCTCCAAACCGTAAAACATGCTCCCCACGCCCTCCGAGCTCTCCACCAGACCAAAACCGACTCATACCATGGCCAAGAGAAGGCTTAATGCGCATGTCCATTGGTATAGTGAAGACGCAAAACGCCCATTGGCAGCCCTGGCCGGCAGTTGAGCGTGCTAGGGTCCGAGATTTCTTCGTACTCGTCCAATAGAGTGTCAGGTGCATCATTTCAAGTCCAAAGTCTCTGAGTAAGTTTCCGGGATGTCAAAAGGTGTATCAAGCGAATTTAAACATCACAGACAAGCCATCTAAATAACGATACTGCGTATATTTTACTTCATCATGCTCCATCATAAATCATAACAAACATCCTTTTGCCCGCTGTCCTTCCCGGACAGACTTTTCATAGTCATTTTCATCATCACTCATTACATCCCTTTTCCCGGTCCTGGAAGTTCCCATAAAACGGACAGCACACAGCTACAAACTACAAAGTCCCCCACTTCTTCCTCGCCCTAAAAACACCCTTAACAACCTCACTCAGACTCCTCCTCGTCCTCTTCTTCCCCTGCCTGGCCTTAACCCCAAACACCCCATTTGTCTCTCCCTCCGCACTCGAACTCCTTATATGCAATTTACTTCTCAAGCTCCCCACTAACCCACTCACCACCTCATCCTCCTCGTCATCTTCCCACACGCTAGTTTCATTACCGATCTCCATGCGCAGCCCTCTGGGATTCTCGAGGAAATGCGGATATGGGAGAGGGCGCATATACAATGGCGACGAGCTGCATGGTGAAGGGGTACTCGATGATTGATAATCGAGCGTTGTGCATGTGCTGAGGTTTGAGGGGAACGTTGGTGCGAATTGGGAGGGTGTGCTGGGCGTTGTGTGCGAGCGTGTGCGGAGAGGTGCGCGGGAAGGAGAGGGAGAGAGGGTGGAAGTTGTACGTGTGGGCCAGGATTTATGTTGTGTGTGTTGAGGGTCTGTTGGGTGTTGTTGTGGTTGAGGGTTTGCGAGGCAGCGAGACGGAATCGGGCTTGGCGGGACGGTGGATGTACAGGTTGGGAACGGCGAGTATGTTGTCCGTGGGAGGACGGGCAGGGAAGGTGGCGATGAATAGTTTGGCCGACGCGGTGCCCTGTGTGTGTCTGACCTGCGTAGATCTCGAGAAGCCTCTGGGCTATTGAAAGAAGACAGGCTTGAAGACGCAAAGTTGCGATTGCATGGCGAGAGGGTAGGATCTTGGCGCAGACGAGATTTGTATGCACTGAGGCGTAATGGTAGTGGCGACTCGTTAACGGGTGTCCAGTATAGATCCCAGGTCTCGTTCTCTGTTTGCAAAGCGGCGATATCTGCTTCCGAGGGGCTGGGGGTGAGATGGTCCTCGAAGGAGGTATCGGAACCAGACGAGTTGAATGGGTCGTATATCATCCCCGGATCAGAGCTATCTGATGAGATGGAGAGACGGTTCTGAAGTTCTTTGGATGTTGCTTGACAAGCCCTGGTAAGTCGGACGAGTGTGCTCGGGCTCAGATAGCCATCAGATTCTGGCGACGATGAGACTTGGCGGGGTCGGGAGAGATGCATTTTAGAGAAGATCGTTGTCACAGGTGAAGAGAGTAACCAGCCATCTGGCGCGTCGCGAGCAGGTACTGTTATGCAATTGCAATCGATAGAGCTCTTGCTGACGAGGAATTCAGCCCGCCGTGGGGAACCTCCCATTGTGGACAAGGAATGTTTACTTGCGGTGTTGGGCTCCGCAGAGGGTGTTGTGAACACAATGGAACGAAGAATGAATAAACAACCCCGTTCGAAGTATTCAAGGAATTGTGAATTGAATAAGTAGGGAAAATAGGTTTTGCAATGGAAAGAAAGAAACAGGGGAAACGAACGAAGCTAAACAGCCGTACATTTGGGTAGGAGAGTCTGCTCCATTTCAAGCTGAATGTCACAGCTGCGTGTTGACAAATGCGTTCCATAAAGCAGCTAACGACTATTCTCGGCTGAGCTGTCAAATCTAGCTCAGATCTAGGCTCTAGTCTGGAAATATGACGTGAGAGTGCCATGAGGCGTCCAAGCCTCCCGGTTGCTTTTGTAATACCGTTGGCTGCCGCAAGGGGGGCATGCGCGTAGATCGCCCTCTTTACAGATGGCGTCACGGCCGGCGATCGAGTGCAGATCAGGTTCCTGAGGTATCGGATTGTGGGACAGCGAGCCATTGTTTTCAGACTAGAAAACTGGAGTGGAGAAAGTTAACCCAATGGGAAAAGTCTCCCAATATCTTGAAACTTCACTTGAAGTTAAACATTCTTTTCCTAGTGAAGATCTATAGAGACGTACGAGATGTGCTTCTCGTCGCAAGTGGAGTGGCGAGAGAAAGAGTAAGACACTGGCTTACAGCGCCGCTCCCCCGGCTATGGGCTTCTCTCAACAGCAAGGAGCCAGCTCCGGGAAGCGAGGGTGATCCCAGGATGGCAAGATATGGCGACCGCGATGGCCGAGATCTTTGCAGCGGATGATAAGTGCTGAATCGTGGGGTGCAAGCCCGAGGTTGAAGGGGGAGGCTCGCAGTGGCTATGGAACCCCTTGCGTTCCACCACAACTCACAGGAAATTGTCAACACTCAGCCGTAAACAACAAGGGAGAGCACAGTGTTTCCGGCCTTCCGTTGGGGATAAGGAAGGAAGAGAAAGGGAGAGATTCGGGGAAGAGGAAGGAAAGATGTCGGGACTTTGAAAGAGCAAAACTCCGGAGCTAATTTTCCTTCACGTGATCGTGGGTTTGTCTCAGAAAATTTCTCTTCTCTGCTCATCACCACTCCATTCAGATCTTGCACATACAAGACATGCGTATCCAAAACATATTGAGCACGGCGAAAGCATATTGGAGACCCGGCTTTCCTTCCTCCAGCTTTGCTCGCCCAGGGGTGTATATTCCTCCTCGGAGGCCAATTTCGTCAGTGGTAGCCCCTAATTAGTCACCAATACCATCCACTCGAGCGGTGCGTCCTGCGGTGGAGGACCTAGAAATTATTAGACGTCGCCGCCGTAGACTCGGTGTTATGAGCTTGAAGGTACTGAAATGAATACATTCTATCTCTGCATCTTTCTCAAGTGAAGAGTGGCCTTTCATTCCAAAATTTTACTCTTTAACAAAAATGTCTCCAATACCTTACCGAGTCACTAGAACTATCACCCTGGATCGACACTGGAAGAAGATAAAAAATGAGCCCGAGTAGAGAAGTGGTCACGGGCATCGAGTCGGGTTCATCAACGCTCAGAATCACGTTCCCGGTTTGGCTCACGGGTGATGAGCGTGAAGACGACTCCGATCCAAGCGAAGACATTGACGTAGAGGAAGCAGCGGAGAAATATCACGAGCTCCAGGAACAAGCTGAGAAAGGGAAACTCGTCAATCTCAGAGATGTCATCAATGCTCAAGAAGATTTGCATTTGCGGAGACTAGATATTCATTCTGAGGGATGGAGATATGACTTGAATGTGCGTGAGAGTTACATCAAGAACGAGGAAGAATGGCTCGCAAACGTCAACAGAGACAGAAAGAGAAGGAGCCAAGAAGAGAAAAGAGGGGGGAAAGGAAAATCCTGAGGATGATCAAACAAGCAAGTACTTGTGTGCGCCGGCAACGATGATTCAGAAGGCTCTTTTGCCGGCACTCTAACATTGGGGATAGGGGAAGGTAAAGATTGCTTTGGGCTTTAGGTTTGATATTTTACGTTTGGCTTACGCAGTAAACAAAAACTTTCGGTCAAGCTATTCACACCCCGCTGGGAACTAGGCGGTATCGTGGGACTTGGGACAAAATTGCTGATTGGGGAGAGTTCCTTGCTATCTGGACTCATGAGCTAAGTGCTCAGAAAGGAAAACTCTTGCTCAAAGTATGTCAGAACACGGGAAGTGGAGATAATAAGTATTCTTATACCTTCACTTTTTGTTATTGGTGGATTTCGAGCCGTCGTATTCGTGTTGCAAGGTCGCTTTGTACGGGGTGATCTAAGATCACGCCTCAACCACCCCGCTTTCTGGAAGCCAGGGCTCCTCCGAATTGCTTGAACATGGAGGGTCAGATCTGACTCTCAGTGGCTAAGACAACTCAAAACGGAGTAACGTCCGTCCTCTTACGGAGAAACTGCCGATATTATCGAACTGCATCTTGGAGTCTAACTAGAGTCGCAGAACAGCCCGGGCCAGGCATCTCGATTATTGGTACGAAGAATCCTCAACGAATAATGAAGGTTCCTTATCACTACCTCAATAAAATCTTGACATTTGATACCGGTGCCAAAAGGAAGCCTAAATTACAGCCTCCAACACAGCACTTCAGCCATCCAACTGAATTCTGCTCCCAAAACAAAAGTACCCCGTCGAGGATTATTCGCCTCATGGCCTAATCCGAAACCTATATCAACATGTGTTCTCTCCATTTAGGAAAGAATACTGAAAAATATCTGACAGGAAATCGCACAAATTCGGTGTTTCATGGATCTCAGCCTGTTTCATCCGGAACACATGTGAATGAACAAGATATAGCGATCAGCCCAACGACAACACAGGTTCGATCAGAGCAAGGAGCCACAGCTGCAATTCAAGAGAAGTCTGATATTCGAGTCCAAGCAGATGAACACCCGGAATACCCTCACGGACTTAAGCTTGCTACGATCACGGTTGCTGTAGCGCTGTCAGTCTTCCTCGTGGCCTTGGTACGCAGTCCTGAAATATTGCCAGCCACTTCAATGCCTTGAGCTAATTGTGGGCAAACACCAAATAGGACAACACAATCATCGCAACAGCAATACCCCGAATCACAGATCGATTCCACGCAATCGACGACGTGGGTTGGTATGCATCAGCATACCTTCTCACAACCTGCTCCGTCCAGCTTCTCTTCGGCAAGCTTTACACCCACTTCAACATAAAAGTTGTCTTTCTTTCGGCAATTGCACTCTTTGAGCTTGGGTCGCTGATTTGCGGTGTCGCACCAACCTCAAATGCCTTGATTGTTGGTCGAGCAATTGCAGGGCTCGGCTCTGCTGGTGTGTTTAACGGGGGAGTGATCATCATCTCGCGAACTGTCCCGCTTGTGAGACGGCCGATTTATGTTGGGATTGTTGGAGCAATGTATGGGATTGCTTCTGTCGCTGGACCTCTTATGGGAGGAGCTTTCACTGATCATCTGACTTGGCGTTGGTGCTTTTACATCGTAGGTCACCATTCCTGACTATCACATTACTTCTCCCAAGGCCATGTCCCACTTCTCCCCAGGCACTCTAAATAAAGCATGTTCTGACTTCCCTGTTACCTAGAACTTACCAATTGGAACCATTACCTTTGGAGGAATTCTTTTCTTCCTAAAGACCCCGGAAATGGAACATGCACCGATGGCTTCCAAAGCTCGCATCATGCAACTGGACCCTCTTGGAACTATTCTCTTCCTTCCCGGAATTATATGTCTGCTACTTGCTCTGCAATGGGGTGGATTGACATATCCATGGAGCAGTAGTCGGGTCATTGCTCTGCTCGTCGTTTTCGCGGTGCTCATCTCGATCTTCATCGTCGTGCAGATACGCAATCCAGAGAATGCTACCGTCCCACCTAGGATAATATCCCAGCGCTCGATGGCTTTTGGCTCTTGGTACATCTTTACGGTAAGTTTGTCTCGGATGTTGCCGTCAGTCAAATTTCGGAATTTAGTCTAATTGTTGTCCCAGCTGTCGTCCGCCTTCTTCATCGCCTTGTACTATCTTCCAATTTGGTTTCAGGCAATCAAAGGTGCCTCCGCCGTTCACTCTGGCATCATGAATCTCCCATTACTTCTTGGGGTAGTGTTTATGGCTATGATTGCTGGATTTGCCATCACCCTTATTGGCTACTACACACCATTCATCATCATGTCAACAGTGGTAGCTTCACTCGGCATGGGTCTCCTCTCAACGCTAAAACCAGACTCAAGACATTCAATGTGGATTGGCTACGAATGTCTTTTTGGTCTCGGTATAGGCGCTGGGCTGATGCAAAGCGTGATGATAGCCCAAACTGTGCTGGATATCGACGACACCCCGACCGGCATAGTAGCTCTAATTTTCTTTTAGACGCTCGGGGGTGCAATTATGATCAGTGTTGCGCAAAACGTCTTCCAGAATCGGCTGGTGGCAAATCTCGAGGCAGTCTTTCCTGGTCTGGATCCGTCGATGTTGTTGGGGAGTACGGGAGCGACGAACTTGCAGGATGTGGTGCCGCCGGAGTACTTACCACGAGTTTTGGTTGCGTTTAACAAGGCTCTTTCGTCTACGTTCTATGTGGGAGCTGCCATGGCGAGCCTGTCGATTTTCGGGAGCCTTGGGGTAGAGTGGAAGTCTGTAAAGGGTCCAAGTGATCACGTAGTCACTGTGTGAAATGTTTGTATTGAGACAATCGGGACCGAAACTTCGAAAAGTGCTTGTTGTTCACCTAAAAGGAATGCCTTATTATTTGTGCACCGATAGTAGGTCCCTTGCAATAACGTGTCCTGTGCTTAGTTTTCGATTATTTATAGGGCGCATCGCTAATCAATAGGCATATCATCCCTACCAAGCAGGGTCAAACACCACTACGAAGGGTACCAAACCCCTGACTCTCGCTTAAGCACAGTCGAGGCGTCACCAAACCTCTCAAACTTGGGAGCCTAATCCATCACAACATCCTGTTCGACATGATCATTCACATGTGATTCAACAGCACGTCAATTTCAAGCCATACTGAAGGGATCATTGACTTGCGGGATCCAACGCATTGAGATATCCTCATCGTGCTGAACCAGACGTCAAGATGAGCGCTTCTCCCTTCCAAGAGTTGGAGCCAGATCACGACGACAAGTTCGTCTCAGAACCTCCAGCATACTACCTCCGCATTGCATATTTCATCAGCGTATGGTCCTTCAAAGCCGCGATCGCACTCGGGCTCGGCGCTCGTCGACTGCTGATGCCCAGACCACCGAGTCTCCTTCACCCAGAACCAAGAATGTACCCCATTCGACCATCTCTCAAAAGCTTAGTCTATCGTCCAGAAGAATCTGGAGATGAGCCACTGCCCGTGTATCTGAATTGCCATGGGGGTGGTTGGGCGGTAGCAGACCCGGCCGCAGACGAGGAGGTCTGCTCTTTCCTGGCGCGGAACTTCAACATCATCGTCGTTTCGGTTGATTATCACAAATCACCAACGTGGAAGTTCCCTTTTGCCGTGGAGGATGTGGCAGCTATAGCAGATGCTATACTCAAAGACGAGTCTCTCAACATCGACTCGACGAAGGTTGCAATGGGAGGATTCTCGGCAGGAGGAAATCTGACGTTCGCTGCTTGCCAGCTACCGATTTTGAAAGGTCGTGTTCACGCGCTGGTTGGATTCTATCCTCCGCTTAATCTCAGGGAGCGCCTGGATGAGAAGTTAGAACGTCGACCGAGGGAGGCGGGAACAGATTCTCTTGCGTCGAGTGCGAGGTTTCTGGATTGGGCTTACGTTCCTTTTGGTGCTGACCGAAATAATCCGCTGCTCTCTCCTGGATTGGCGAAAAAGGAGGATCTACCGAGATTCGTTTATCTGGTTGGTGCCGAGTACGATTGCCTTTGCCATGAGGCGGAGCAGCTGGCGGAGCGTTTGGTGGATCCTGCCGAGGAAAGAACCACTATTCCTGGTGTTTCGACAGAAGATGGGTGGAAACAAGGTGGTGTTAGATGGGAGTGTGCGAGAGGCAGATTTCATGCCTTCACTCATGTAGCAGAATGGAGTAGGGAGAAGGAAAATGAGAGAGTGAAGGTTGTTGACGAATTGTACAGCCGTGTGGGAGCATGGCTCAAGGAAGGGGTCTGGGTAGATCGACCTTTGCCATAGTATCCTCTTGATATTGAATGAGAAAGCAAAATCTCCGTTCTTGTGAAATGTAGTTTCATACAAATTTGCCTATCAAAGCTGTCTGCTAGAAATAGAAGGCTATATGAAAGGACAAACATAGCCAATAGGATGGTGCGAAGAATTTTTGGCCCACCCAGGTCGATATAAAATATAAGTATCGGTGCAAGGGATCCATTTCTTACAGATGTCAGAGATCCAACGACATGTGCAAATAGCTCAACAGGAAGAATCACGGCCCTGCCAAATACCGAGGCCTGATTCTGACCATTTTCTTACACCTCATCTTTACACAATGGTAGTTCTATCTTCTCTACTACTAGCTTCTTTAGCTTTTGGAAGTGCTACCTTCAACCAATTGCCCAGAAACCCAGGTTCTTCTCACATGGCGCTCACACAAAGAAAAGCCTCACTGCTTCAGCACCTGGCACGCCGAGGCAGAGTAACTACGCAAACAATCAAAATAATTCAGCCAAGCCTCCCACAATTTCATGTCATCAAATTCTGAATGTTCATTGGGGCTTCTGGTTCGGCGATTTCTAGATTGGTGGTGCCTCCAGCCTCAATCTCCGAATCGACTCCAAATCTGGTGATGTTATGCTAAATCCTGGACTTTATGTTTCCTGACGGCAATGTTTGCAATTCCCAGCTCTCTATCTTATGTGGCTAGTGCTGCCTTTGCTCAGGCTCGGCTCAGATTCGGCTTCGGCCCTGTTTCGCAACTTTTGAATGCTAGCATTTGGTCAGTAGCCGAACACTAGCTTTTGATCATTACGAATTCTAGTATTTCGTAAATTTTGTATACTAGCAACCAAATACTAGTATTTAATTACTAGTATTTGCTTCCATATAAATCGCAGTTTTTTTTTCAGAATCACTTATAGTAAGTAGTTCTGAAAAAACTGAGTATTTGAAGCTTGGCCTTAGGTAACTATACATATCTTAAACCCTACTTTTAAATGATTTCTATTATATACTTCTATTTAATTATTAATTATATTATTCCTCGTTCCTCGATATAATAAAGTTATTCTGGAACAAGTTTAATACTAAAGTCGAGCTAATTATTACTCAAATTATTATTAATAATACTAATTACTAAAAGATTATATATTATAATAAGATTATAATAAGAATCTTTTTATTAAAGAATTATTATAATATATTAAATCTCTTTAATTATAACTATTAATATTAATATTTGAAGTAATTATATATATTAGTTAAATTTTTTAGAATATTAAATATATTTTATTAAAAGAAAACTAGTTTATATTTATTAAAGCATATTTTTAATAAAAAGAATATATATATATATTTTTTATATATTATTAGATAGCTTATATTAAATCGCAATATATAAAAGAAGTTCTTAAAATTAAAAATAATAATATTCAGATAATTATTATATAATTATTATTTTTTAAAGATATTATTTATAAGCTTTCCTTTTTTTATATAATATTATGTAATATTAATAAAGGCAGCTTTAAGTTCATTTAATTAAAGTATTAAAAATATAGCTAATTTAATAAGAACTAAAGGGGCTTTTGCCTTAATAAATTTCCATATATATACTATTATAAATAAAACTAAAATATGAGTAAAGAAAGAAGTAGTTTAAATTAGGAGATTACTAATTAAGAGAGAAATAAGTAAAAAATTAGTAAGGCTAAAATCGAGACTGAATTAGCTAGTAGAGATAAAGCTGAAACCACTGTAATTATAATAGTTTATTGAGTATTCGTATCTTGCAAAACACCTCTAAATTATACAATTACTAGCTTTGAATACTGAGTATTAAACGCTAGTATTTGGTTGTTGTCGAACGCTAGCAATTAAAAGGCGTGCGTCCGTGCGAAACAGGGCCTTAGGCTCGGCTTAGGCCTAGCTTAGCCAGCTCAGGTCTGCTCACCCTATTTACGCAATACGCTGCAGTCAAGACCCGTCTCACCAGAAATTATCAACCCTTTACAGAGCTAATAGTCGGTTCTCCTCTCCGTTCGCTTCGCTCACGGTCGGGAAAAGCAAGTGTCCCGTCGAGATTTTGTATGCGAAATTGGCCCAAAAATCATAGATTTTTTATCGCAAAAACTGCTTGAAAGTAGGAATAAATCAACCCCCATCTCGATATACGATCCTATAATTCTTTCTACAATTATGACTATATATATAAGTAATTCTAGTAAGTTTAAATAAAATTTAAGGTTATAAAGTGGGTGATTTCATTGCTTTCTAATTAGAAAAAAGTATCCGTTTCGCGACTAATTTTTATGTGAAATCGGGCACAAAAAAATCCTAATTATTTTTGGTGGGGTTTCCCATACAAATCTCGGCGGGACATTTGTTTGAACGGGACACTGCTTTTCCCGACCGTAAGCAAAGCGAACGGAGAGGAGAACCGACAATTAACTGGGAATGTTTCCGGTATACCTATATTGCCCCAGATCAAGGTCAGTTTTAGCGGATAAACCGTTCCGGGAAGCTCACCGCCACGTCCGTTACGAGCCCAATCTCAGTAGTCTGTGCGTTCAGGGCATTTTGGTTATATTTAAGATATCAAACTATGAAATTCTTAAAAATTAATTAATAAAATTATACTTCAAATAATTTAATTTTTGGGGCCAAAATATTGAGTCGTAATTATGTATTATTGTCTTATAACGTTTACGTAATTTCGTAGACTTTAGTTTTGGAAAGCCCGTAAGCAAGATCGTGATGCCTGGATCTGCCTGGAAAATGCCCTGTACGCACAGACTACTGAGATTGGGCTCGTTTGAACGGTTTGGGCTTTTGAAGCTTATAAGGCTATAGAGGACTCCCCCAATAAATAGAAAATAGAAGTATAATTCCATAGCAAAATTTTGTAGCGATTTATAACTAGAGAAATGCGACCGTCGTAACTCCTGTATATATAATATAACCAATAGGGCGTTGCAGCCGCGGGACAGTACTATCTGGGAGGAATTGAATAGCGTAGTTAAGTTGGGACCTCTCTTTTCTTCTCACATTCCACATATATCTCTGCTAATTTAATACATTTGTCTCAAAGCAAACGAACTCTGAGACATGGGATCTCTTTTTCCTGCCCTTATCGGCGATAATGGATGTCGGAACCGGGCACATAGAGCCACAAAGTTCAGCTCCTGTCAGCTCTCTGCAGCCACGGCCTTATCTTTTTCTCTAAATGGTCGCCTTCATTAATTCAATCAATATTCTGCTTTCTTTTGCTCGTCTAAGTAATACTCTTTTGTGTCTCTGAGAGACCTTTGCCTAGCATCGTGCGCCCAATTGGTTCGTACCTGACTGGTTAGCTGTTCCATGTCTTATCAGGAGGTAATAGTCGGACTTAACGTCGCGCTAAAGGGGCCCTTCCCTTTAGTCGGGGAAAGCGAGTTGGCCCGCGAAAGCGAGTTGGCCCGCGCCGCACCAAAATTACTATACGACCGTGAATAATAATTAGGTATCATATAATAGATAATTCCCTAAATTATAGGTGATTAAAGATATAATATTCTATTACTCAAATACTATAAAATCTGTATTTTGAGCTATAGAATTAGTTAATATTACTAATCTGGGTAGTAAAGAATACAGAATTACCTTCTCCCTACCTATCCCTCTATTTATACCCCCTCTTGATCCTCTTACCTCCTGATCTAATCCCTTAGATTCCTCTAATATTACCCGTATATATAATTAGCTAAGAGGGTTTCCCTTTGTTCGGTGAGCTTGTTTAGATGCGAGTATCTCCGGATTAATAGGGATATCTATAAAGATTACGGGGTCTTTGGCCTGAATATGATCGAATTTAGCTTACTTCTTAGCTACCTTATTATAGAGGGATTAGTGCTTAATTCGTATAGCTTTAAGCTCGTTTTCCGTAGGTTTGTTCTGAGGATTGCGAATTAGTATTAGAAGCTCGGGGGGAATAATCGTATTAATTCCAAGAACCTGCTTCTTTATTTGTGCCTCTATATCCCTTACTATCTTCTTTCTCTCTCTCTTCGCCGCTCATATGGTGATTCCTATTCTTTTAAGAGCTTCCCTCTCAGTTGATTCGGCCTTTATAAGCTATTGTTTGGCCTTCTTTAGCTCCTCCTGAGCTATATTTCTTACTTTCGTCTTCTTCTTTTCTAGAGTATTAGAGGTATTTAACTATCCTCCTCTTTGGAAACTGAGCCGTATGTTTAGTTTAGCCTTATGCTATTTAACTTGTACTATACGAGTAATCTGGGTATCTATCTTGTATAAACTTCCAAGTATAAGGTGGTTCTTAGTAGCCTTAATTATAATTATATACTCTTTGTAAGGGGAGGAGCTTAAAGCTTCTAGGATCTTATTATCGAGATTATTGAGCTATAGAATACATTTGTTATATAAAAAAGGAGGTTTTGGAAGGGTAGGTAATTAGTATATCTCTTCTAAATCGTGAATTGGAGCGGGCGGAGGAAGAGGAAGGTCTATATCTGGTTTAGTATCTGATTTAGAACCAAACTTCAGGAATTCTGGGCTAGTGTCTTTCCGTTACTTTTTACCATATTTCTTGAGCTTCTTTTATATTACTTTAAAGCTTATAAGCCAAATTCCAGTATTCTGGAAAATGTATTTAATTATATGAACTATAAATATTTTCTCCCGTATTTTAGGGAGATTGCGAAAGAAGCACTGGATGTTATATTCTAGCTTATAGAAGCAAATTGTATTTATAATATTGACCTATTAGTAATATTTCTACTTCCTGAAAATACCTATATTATATGATTAAAGTAGGTGAGTTTAGTAGGAGGGAAATTAAATAATTCGTATCTTATTATAGATAGCTTTTAGGACAAAATCGTCCGCTTAGTAGCAGATTACTTTATTAATTAATAGGATACGCTATTCCTGATTAGGGCTATAGTTATTATGCTTAATAAAATAGTCTAGCCAAACCATATAAATGCCCTTATTTATATATCCGGTAGGAGAGACTATAATAATCTTATAACCGGTTATATTTTCGTAAAACTAAGAAACCATAATTATAACTTTAGGGACGATTACTACCGGTGAAATCGCCTTACTATCTGCAGATATAGATTTAATTATTATAAGAAATATGCGATTTTCAGGTATTCTAGTATATATTTCCTTGATTCTAATTAGGACTATTACTTCCTCCCTAGTAGGCATATAGATTTGAGCCCCCTTCTCGTCTATATTATGTATCCGATTGCTATGGCGTATACTAGTCTGCTCAAGTGCCGGACGATATTTAGTCTCAAACCAGTTGCGGAGGCTCTGTTTGGTATAGAGATTAATATGGTAGCTCGTAATAGGCTTTGTCTTAATTATATAGAGTTCTGGAGTATCTCTTAGCTATTGGGAGAACTATTTCTAAGAGGGAGCTATTTTATTATCCTCTGTTCGCATTTATGTAGTATAATTATATATTATCTGCTTTATAGCCCCTTTCCCTCTATTAATTATATGCGATATAGTATACTGAATTAATGCCGTATATTAATCTGGATATAGGATCTTGTTCTGACCCTCCTATTATATTTTCCCCCTCTCCATCTTCTTCTTCTCTCTCCACCATGCTTTCCGTATAGCATCTTTACTCTTTATCCCGTATATGCGTATAGTAGTGGTGGGAGGCTTTCCTGGGTTCTCCTTTAGGAATTAGATAGCCTTATGAAGCTTATCCTTCTCTGGCATATCGCATAGAAGCGTATTTATAGGTAGGATACTCAGGCGAGCTATTATAGTTAAATTAGACAAATTTTGTGGGCTGGTGGTATATAAATTAATTAATTTTTACTATAGGAGTTATATACAAATTCCAAATTTATGCGTTTTGGCGCGGGCCAACTCGCTTTCGCGGGCCAACTCGCTTTCCCCGACTAAAGGGAAGGGCCCCTTTAGCGCGACGTTAAGTCCGACTATTAATGAGGCTCTTCAAACATAAAAGATGCTGCTATCCCTTCGCAGCTCAGCCTTCTATGCGCGCTATGTTTTCATTTCCACACTTCTTCAGTTATTAGCCTCTAACTCCTAGCTGCTCCTACTTACCCACCTATTGAACGCCTGTCCAAACTGACGCACTATGCATCATTCGAAGCTTCTTACTACGGTCATTCTTGCAATACAATTCTCCGCCGTGCAAGTAGTAGCACAAACATGCGAAAGCTACTGCACTAACTACGACCAAACCCTTGTCAACTGCAGAAGCCTTTACAGCGCCGGTGTGGTCGGTACGGGCCCTATTAGCGCTGATGCTGTAGGCTGTATGTGCGTGGGCACCGAGACCGTCACGGGCTATTACGTGCTGTCAGAGTGCTACCAGTGTTATCTCCTGACTGGCGGAGACTCTGACGTTCTTTTCGCATATGGGTTATCGCGTGCTTTACAAATTATCAGCTTGGGCCGCAGGTTGCCGAGCAATGCTGGAATCAGAACCTCCTCAACGGCAACACCGGAAAACCATGCGCCCAGGGCTCTGCACATCCATCGGCATCTGGAGCAGCGGCTACCTCCAGCAGCGTTGAGATCGTGGTATCGAGTGCTGCTTTCAGCTTTAGTAGTGTTGCAACAGCATCCGCTTCTACTGGGGTAAGTTGAACCGTCTGATTTGACATCGCCGTAGCTGACGGTTCTTCAAGGTTCTCGTTCCAGCGGCAACAACTACTGGCGCACCTACTACCGCAGCGAGTACCCCAATTACCACCGCGACGAAAAATTCATCAGCAAATAGCGTTTATGCTTCATGGGTGACAGTGCTTATTGGCGTGGTTGTCTTGTTTGTAATGATCCAATTCAACAGTCCTTCTGGTGCTTGATATGGGCTTGTAGATAGAATAGGATATGAATTGTTGAACTTTCTGATTTTGGAAGCTTTGGAGGCTTTAATACGTATAACATCTTCTGTCTAAGTTATCTTGGGGTGAAAGCGTGGTTACCTTTTGGGTGTGGGGAGGGAATTATTAGCTAGAAGCCTAAATAAATTAAGGATTGAAAGAAGCTATTATTACTAGAAGATTCTAGAAAGTATTTAACTTGTTCTGACTCTCGTAATTTGATTACGTCTATAATAGGCCAATAAGATAAGGTTCTGTTTTCAAGGCTTAATCTTCTAAAATCCTCTTTATTTTGCTTATTACTAAACGAGCTAGATTTTTTATATTTTTTAAAAAAAAAGCTACTTCCCCTAAAATTATTATCTAAAATAGTAAATCCCGAAGGGCCCAGAAATTTGGCTTTTGCTTAGTTTGCTATAGCAGAGTTTTTCATCTTGTCTAAGCCGGAGTAACCCTGTACCGACTTTCCGTTAAGGGCGGTACTTATATCTTAAATATTGCTTTGTAGGGTAGTTAGGATGCTTTCTCTCAAACTTTTATATGTTTCAATTTATAGATGCCATACGCCCTAATTGTCCTTGAGTTGCTTACTCAGCCGCCCGTACAACTGAGCCCTAATGCCTGTACAGTTAAGTCATAGCCCGTATCGACTACTGCATATAGCTGAGTCGGATTCACCGAACGCTATAACTCGAGCTAATATCGCTACTTGAGTCACCTAAAGATGCAACAGATCCAAAAATGGTTCCGAAGGGATCCTCGTCGGAGCCAAGAAAAAAAAAAAAAAAAGAACTGCCCCTAGAGACCAGGCTTGGCGATATTCCGGACTAATCGGTTTCTGCCGATTCGTTCCAGGGGTCTGGAACGGGCGGTAATAGAACGTTCCAATCGTTCCTAAGCGAGCTAATCCCTGTAGATTCTCGTTATTTTATAAAGAACTTCCATTAATTATGCTATTAAGAGGCTAAAAACCATCGTATAACCTCAGAAAGGCCTTTATTAAGCCGTAGCACTACTGCGAGTAACTCTATTACTACAAGAAGTCTTTCTTACTATACCACGTTATATAATTCGTCCTTGCTTCATACGGCCACCCCCACTACTTCTACTACGTCCACTATATCCACTACGTCCTCTACGATCTCCTGTACTAATCTCTCCATTACTATTATTACTACTATTATTCCCTCCCTAGTAATAGCTTATAGTATAATCTGGCCACTTGTAATTACTATAGTAATTACCCTATATACCTATAATCCGGATATACTCAGGGAAAATGGTATTATTGAGTCTTATACGAGTATATATAGTATAAAAAGTAGCCGTTATATTAACCCCTTTTCGTTAAATAAGAAGAGTATTAATATAGGACTATTACTATATAAGGACTTGACTAATTATAATACGATTTGGATTAATAATTATATTCTGGCCAGGAAGAGCAAGGGCTTGTTATTATTAATTATTATAGTATTATACTCTAGTTAGCTTTATTATATAGTAAAGAGTAAGGTATTATATAAAGAGAGCAAGTTATTAGCCTGTAATACCTATCATTTATTAGTCTTAAGGAAGAGGCTGGTTTATACTAAGATTAGAAGTACTACTAGTACTAAAAGTAATAAAAGAAATAAGCCTTTAAAGATATTAGCTATTATATAATAGATAGGATCAAGGATTAAAAGCTTACTACTAGTTTGGGTTTATAGGGCCAGGACCAGGAGTAGGAGGCTATATAGGAGGACTATTACCAGGAGCAGGAGGCTATATAGGGGGATTACTACCAGGGGCTGGATTATTTAATATATTACTATTATATAATTAATATAATTATAAGAAGTAGAAAGAAGTAAGAGGTTCTTATATAAGTAGTAGTAATATTAATAAAGAAAAAAGGAAGTTAAAGCAGAAAAGATAGCCTTTAAATAAGAGTTATAGCTTAGAAATTTAGAAAATTTAGATAATATCTAGAAGGTTCTCTAATTATATAAGAATCTTAAAGAGTATATATCTCTTTTAAACTAGCTAGTTTTAAAGAAGGTTTATAAGATCCTAGTTCTTTTCTAATACTTTAAATACTCTCTAATCTCTATTATCTCTGCTTTTATTTACTCTTTATCCTAGCTTACTATATAATATATCCCTAAAAAGACTCTCTCTAGCTTATTACTTATTAGAGGAATTAAGAGGATATTAATAGCTATAAATAAGAGCCTTGGCTAGTATTCTCTTTATATATCCTGGCTTTATTAAGCTAAGGCCCTTTGCTTACTAATATTATATAATTCCTAGAAGTTATAATCCTTATACTTATTCTTACTTACGGATTATATAACTAAGTAAAGAGATTAAGTAATCCGATTAAAGAAGTCAAGTACTAATAGCTCTTGAAATAGCTCTTTACTATATAAGAAAGGGGTAATATTACTTAATAGTAAAGGAATAATTTAATCTTTATAGTACTTCCAAAATTTCTTTATACTTATAAGAGCTAGAGTTATATATTTCTTTGGCTAATTAGCCTTAATATATCTTATATAGAAGCCTGAATTAAGAATTAAGGCTATAGTATAAAAGAGAGAGAGATTAGTTCTAGTATAATACTTATTAAGTATAATATATATAATATTAAGCTATATAAGGAATTCTTTATTTTTATTATCTTTTTTTTTCTTGAACTTAGCCTATATTATATTTAGCTAAGCTTATATAAGAAGAAAAAAGGAAAGCAAAAGACTTATAATTATTTCTTAAAAGTACTTAATTAAAATATCTATTATAAAAAATATATAATTAATAGAAGTAATATCTTTTTCTATAAAAAGAGTTACTTATATAAAAGTAGTAAGAAAGTCCCTAGTTATATAAAGCTTTTTCTAGTCTTTATAAAATAGGAAATCCTCTATAAGATTATTCTTATAATTCCGGTAATATTTATTTATATATTCTATTTTCTTAATAAGAATAAGAAGCATTTTATATTAGCTATTCTATCTTATATAATTATCTATTAGAATTATCCTTTTTATAAGTCTTATCTATTTAGCTATATAAGTAAGTAATTTGCAAATATAAACCATAATATTATATACTTTACTAAATAGACCTAAGAGCTTAAACTTGACTTTCTTTCTCTTATTATTACTAATCTCTTAAGTCTATTTTTATTACTTATATAACTTAAGTTCCTCTATTTTAACTAATTTAGAAAATAAGAAAGCTTATATTATAAGATTAATAATATAGCTAATATAGTAAATTTATATTTATTATATATTTCATTTAATATTAAGCTCTTATTTCTAATATACTTAAATTACCTTATAAAGGGTCTCGTTAGTTCTAGTATTATTACTTATAATAGCTCTAAGCTTTTATATAATACTATAGTTTTCCAGAACTAGAAAAAGAACTGAGAATTACTTTTCTTCTAAATAGCTATAGACTAGTTTAAGAGTAAGAAGGACCTTTTAATACTTAAACTTATATAAGGTAAAATAGATATAAATAGCTAAAAAAAGAAAGTAATTTGAGAAAGTTCAAATATCTAAGGAAATATAAATATATAAGATTACTAATTAGAGAACTTATTATATAGTATCCTTATACTAAATCCAGGATTCTTTAACCTTAATAGAAATAGTAGAGTAAGATATAGGAATTATATCTTTATAAGCTTTATTTAAGAGCTAGTAAAGTATATAAAACTCTAGTTATTCTACTATATTATATAAGAGGTTTCGTATAATAATAAGAGTAATTAAGGCTTCTATAAGAACTCTTTAATCGATTTGCTATTTAAGAACTTATAAATCAAACTTTTTTATATCTCTAAGTTCTTGAGCTTAATAATAAAGCCCTTGGATTTATTAAGTAACTTTCTCCTGGTTCTTGGAGTTAGTAGGCTTAAGGATAATAAGTAGATAATATCTTAGAATATGCTTTCTAAGGTTCCCTGTAGTAGTAGTACCGTATAGTAGTAGGAAAGAGTCTAATTAATAATATAAATAATAAAGTAAAGCTTTATTTTTATTAGGTAATATATAATGAGAATACTTCCAAATCGGGGAAGTCCTCTTTAAATAGTCCGCAGAAGACGTTACTATCTCGGATAATATAAGAGAATGGTCTGGTTTAATTAAAGAAGACATTTTGAGGATATACTCAAGGTAAATTAATCATACGGATAGATAAAAAGTAAGAAAGGGAGTATAGTGGGGGAAGTAGCGGTGGATTTGTCTACCCCTGTTATTATTGCCCTATCCCTGCCATTTTGGAACGTTTGGAACGTTCTATTACCGATATTACCTAATACCAGTCGATACCGGCCGGAACGTTCCGTGGAACGTTCCAGGGTGGAATATCGCCAAGCCTGCTAGAGACAAGAAAAGGAAAGTGTAACCAGGCATCAAGGGAGCCAAAACGAGCCTCTGCAGATACTCAAATGGCTCTTTAATGCATGTCAGGCTTGCTTAGCGCCTGCTCAGGCAGTGCTCAGGAATGCTCGCCCTCGGCTTAAGCTTGCTCACCTATAGCTCAGGTCCAGAGACGGAAATGGAAAATGTCATGAGAACATTCCCATACCGAATAGACTGTTCCCAGTACAATTTCAGAGAACCCCACCCTTCATTTCTCAAACACGTACGGGACTACATCAAGTAATGGGACTGGAGACGGAGTGGTCTGTACCCATTCAAATCTGCTACCCAAGTAGTTTGGAACTGACCCCCTTCTTCGAAAGGTGACAGGATTACTTTACATAGATACGGCTACCTACGGCGGCTTGACCGCAAACCAAGTTATTGGCTTCGCGACTGGCGATCTTGTAGTAAATGGGAAGATCGTTGCAAATGACATTCTAGTTGAGCTTGACAGTGGGGCTGCTACAGTTGTCGGGTAAATCGAGCATCACCTTGTATTCTCCATCAAGCAAGCTTTGCTGACGGGAACAGGCAAACCGATGCAGTGACCAGCGGGTTCAACGAAACCGGGATTCAAGGAGTTCTCCAATCTACACCCGATCGAGACCTTCTCACGGGATACTTTGCATGCGACAAACCTCCAACACGGCTTCAGCTTCCCTGTGCATCAAACTTCAAGGCTGCCGACAACGATAACAGAAGTGCCGTCAGCAAAGCAGGCTGAATTTTCAACATCCCAACAAAGTAGTGGGCAGCGATTAATAATGGGAACAACAACTGCACCGCTGTTCTGTGGGATGAATGTTCCTAATGTTGCGGGGCTTTGGGTTGTTGGTCAACGTAAGATCTTTTTGCTTCGACCTTCCATTCTGTTGTCTAACTTGACTTACAGCATTCTCCCAGGGTCCCAAGAGACGGTTCTTCGATTAGCCCCACTGGCGGACTGTGTTTGCTTCGTCGATGTCGTCGAAGTAGGCGAGCTCGTGGAAGTTGTCGACATGGCCTCAGTTCCACTTTTCAAAGGTGCAAATCCCATCGCCCCACTCGCCGGATCATTGTCAATGTAAAGACTTGTTCTCTGAAATAGCCGTTTTGGGTGTATTCTTTGTTGTTTGAATTCTTTAAAGGTGCACCTCTCGCCAGCGAGAGAATGAGACCGGTGGGATGCGGCCTCCAGAAAAGTGTACTTGCTCGATACGGAAGCCTCTGCTCATTGGCTGTACTTGTTATCCTCTGGACTTGTTTTCCGGATCACGTAAATATGTACAGTGCCTGATATACCAGTAGTGGAGAAGAAGATAATACAAATGTATTGTACACAATTGTCCAAGTTTCAAAGTCTACCTCTGCAAAGCATATGACGGAGGTTAGAGATTCGTTTCTCATTATAGGGACACGGAAGCCCGAAGGAGTCTTTATTGCACATCGCGCTCTAATCAGAATTGAAAGCGGAGATTCAATCTCGATCTCTCCCTTCCAGAGACTGACAACCCTGTTTCCAACAGCCAATGACATGCAGCAATATGTTTATAATTATCGTTACAGCATATGCAGAGCTGATCTTTGTTGCAGGTCGCATGACCCGATCGCCATCCCCAAATGCAGCAGGAGCTAAATTTGACCGCTTCTCACCCAGAGCATGAAAGCCACCAAGCCCAGCCAAAATAGCCATCCGGATAAAACGCATAAAGAAGGCAATTTGTTGCAAATCGCACACTAACCAAAACATGAAGCGGATGCTAAATATAGAAATATACAAGTCTAAATAGGTCTAGCAAACATGACAGTGACCTTTGCAAGGGACGCAGGAGGCCGACGCTGAGGCCCGGTCAATTTGCCGAAGCCAGTCGGAGCTTCGGCGAAGATTATCTTCCGATATACGACCAGTAAGGAACCAACGCCCTAGGGTTATGCTTACTATATAATTGCGTTAGTATTGGGATATGGAATGTGAGAAATGGTTAAATTGTGTAATATGGATGGGTGGGGAGATTTATGGGGCAAAAGGGGTTTGGATTGTGTTCAGGGGTAACTCGAAGCCCTTAACTTCCGAATCTAAAACCTTTCATGCAGCCCAGCGGCACCCCCCTTCCATTCTCACTCAGATCTCCCCCCATTGCATTGATTCGTGGTTGCAATCCCATCATCTACCATCCAAGCAGCCACCACCACCTGCCAAGCCTGGGGTAGTGTGCGGTAGTCAAGCGGCAGAAGAGTAGACTTCGATGTTGGAAGTGGGGCGTGTTGTTGAGAACTCGGTCACGGTACTGATTGCTTGCTATGAGAGGAGAGGTGGAGGTCTAGATAGTGTTTGTGAAGTGGTCATCTCCGTATCTGCAGGCTCACTTGCTCAAGGGTTTGTTACCCCTATTCCGATAGCCGGATTAAGCGAGACTCTGCTGGTATGCCATCAACAATCTCCTCTTATTTAGTAGATGCAAGCAGACAGCACCAAGTTCCGCTCAATTATATTAATCTCCTCTCCGTTGTTTCGGAACCGATCGAAGCTTCACAACACATAAGGACGTAGCACTTTTTTTCTAGAAAGCGGCTGTTTGTCATGTCTCATGGGGTACAGGCTCGCTCAGCAAAATGTAGATGTCGGTGGCGCTCAGCTGAAGCTTCAAGACCAAGGACGCGTACGCCACATGAATGAAGCTCTACGAGAACTTCAAGAACTCGGGCTTCCCTACGCCTTCTCGAACTGTCCGCTGCGGTTCTCCATGCATGGGAGGGCTCTATTAGCTCTTGCTATCATGTATTTCTCGGATAATGTCCTCCCTCTCCCCAACATCACCAGTCCAGCCGGTCCCGCAGCCATGACCTGTGTCTACACCGTTAGTGGATAATACGGCCTCCTTCCCCGCGTCTTATACTACGCGCTCCTTATCTTCACAGTCTTCACCCACAAATCCATCTAGCTAGCAGCCAGTGCGGCTGCCTCAGCGATGACCTTCTCCGGCTCGGCCGCCATCCACGCCATCATCCTCGTCGTCCTCCCCTGAGGCAGCACATCTGCTATAGACCTCGACGTCTTCGGGACTTACGCTGCTAGTGCTACCGGCCTCATATTCATCGTGCCGATCATGGCCTTCTTGAAATCACTCAAGACGTTGGCAGGAAGAGTGCTGATCCGCGCCTAGGGCGCGCTCATGTTCGTCGGGACTGCATGCTCGATAGCAGCGACGTGGAGGCCGTGGCCGTACGAGGCGCTGTGTGTGACGAAGACAGGGGCGTTGTTGACAACTGTAAGCCAGTTGGATGTCGCGACGTTCAATTACACGTACTCGTGTTCCAGGACGAGGAATATCATTCGCGGCCCGACGGATGTGGTGGCGATGCCAGTGAGCTTGATTAACGACAAGGCGATGTTGCAGCTGTATATTTGTGCGGTTGGGATAGCGATCTTGACTTGCTGCAACTTGGTCGTGTACCTGATTTTCTCAGCATGTAGTGGTATCGCGGAGGGGGCGGCGAGAGCGGGGAGGGGAAATTGCATGTTTTGGATGTATATGTCTGCTGCGTTCTTCTCGCCGTTGATGTTTATCATCAATATCTCCAGTACTGGATCCTTCTTCAAAACGAGTCACATACCGATATCCGAGGAGCTAAACCTTGTGGGACAGTAGTCCGTTGTGATGGTAGCAGGGTTGGTGGTTGTTGCTCCTACTATCAATAAGTGGGCGCATCATAGGCAGACGGAGAGGGAGGGAGAGACTGGCACCGAAGAAGGACAAGAGGCAGTGAAGTCAATACATATAATCAACAATGGACAGTATCACTTGGAGCCTGGCAATGGTATGGCACAAGCGCACGGAATAGAGCAGTGGGTTTATGTGTAGCCAAGTGGTCAGGAAGGCAATGAGATGGGGTAGTTTTAGCTACCTTAACATCAACCATTCTTCACTTTTTGTGTGAAACAAGGCTTCAAAGGTATAAAAGGACGTGATAGTCACAAGCCGTAAAAGAATCAAGATATCCCATGATAAAAGATGCATGACTTGAAAATCTTCCGAATGGTGTCGTGGCTCAACGCGAGGCGTCTGCAAGTAAAGTCGCGGCTTGAGTTCCAGATCCTGAACTTCCAACTTGACGTCGTGGAACTGGTGCGAGCAGCACTGTTTCCCTAAAGCCTGGCTGGCTGGCTGAAGCTGACGACTCGGGCAGACCGTTTATGCGCGGGAGGCGCACGTGGTTTGATCAACCAGAAGTAGACAAACAACGAAATTTAGACCCTTCTCAGATGACTTCAACTTTGCAATCCAAGCGGTAAATAATCGGGATTCCCAATTACTTCAACGGGTAACTGACCTGTGTTATGTTCCACAAAAAGTCGTTCAAGTCACGTGGACACGACAGAGGCATCTCCCCCCTTTTCCCCAACCTCCGCTGGGAGGTCTCTGAATGCGACGTACCGTCTCGGCAAACGCAAAGAAGGAGGAAGGAAGGAGCAAGGATCGGATCAAAAACTTCGAGAGAATCAAGACACTTTTACAACAACTCTTACGCCATGTTGCCCTGCAGCTGAATGTTCTGGCGCACTCCAGCTCTCTTGAACCGCTTCCATGTTGAGGATTTAGATTTGATTGAAACAAGGCGGAGAGAGCGAGCCTCTCGCATTCGAAAAATGGCATTGCTAAAGATCTATTCTCGGAAAGGGCAAGACCTCTTCAAATGAGAGGCTTGCGCCTCTTGGCAGGTGGGCTGAAGGCCCCTGCCTCGAAACGATATCCAGGGTACTAAATGGACTCGTTAGCCAGCCTTCCCATCAAAAGAGATGATAGATTTGGAAATTAGTCGACCTGCACACAGTCACTGCGCACTCGTGAAATTGTTGGCGGTTGCCTCACATCATCACATGCGGCTTCAAAAGGGGCGAAGCAAAACATGAAACTGTGCTCTCGGCCGCCAACTAGGAAAGCAGCAGGAGGAAGAGGTTTGCCGAAAGAAGGCGTTTGCCACCCCAGCTTCGTCCGCGTAATCCTCTCTTTCGATTGGATTAGAATAAAGAGGCGGCGCTTCAATTGGCCCTGAAGCGTAGATCATCAGGGGTCCAAAAGAAGCTTGCTTCTTTAGCGCACGATTTCATCGCGAAATTCGACATCCCCAGCTTTCACGACCTGTGGCCAACCGCACGCCGCCTGCTGCCTGCAGAAAAGAACGGTCCGACTCTCCACTGCCACAATGACTCTCCTCGTTCTTACAAGCTGTGCCTTTCCTTCATTCACTCTCAGCTTTGAGGGGAGACCTGTTTTACCATCGGGACAACATACAACTCCCATCTCATACGACGAACCACCACTTACCGGTACTGAACCAGAATATCTTCACCTCCCACCACCTCACCTCGCCTCGCCTTTGCGTGTACATACAACAAGATGAAGGCCCCTACGGCATCTGCGATCCTCTCGATTGCGGCGTTGAGCTCTTGCGCATTCGCTGCAGTTTCAATGAACATTGTCAAGGACCGGGACCAAACGTCAAAGTTCAGACGACGGGGCCTCTTGCCACGGGCATCCATCACTGAAACTCTGGCTAACAACGCAACTGGCGGCGACTATATTGCAACAGCCAAGGTGGGAACGCCTGCCCAGACCGTCACTTTCTTGATCGACACTGGTAGCAGCGATGTCTGGATGCTCGCCGCGTCATCGGATTTATGTACAACGCCTTCCCTCCAATTACAAACTGGTGGATGCTCAAGTACTTGTAAGTTCCCAATCTCAATTCTTAACATTCTTTCGGTTGCTAATATTTTTTAGTTGACGAGAAGAAATCCACCACGTACAAGTTGGCGGTAGAGGGTGCCTTCGACATTACATACGCGGACAAATCAGGAGCGAAGGGCGATTATATCAATGACACATTCTCAATTGGCGGAGCGACGATTAAGGCACTCGAAATGGGCTTAGCATACACATCCACAAGCTCGACAGGAGTAATGGGCATTGGCTACTCTCTGAACGAGGCATCAGATGATTCTCGCACCCAAGAAGTACCCTTCGTATATCCGAGCATTATCGAAACCATGGTTAGTCAAGGCTTGATCAACACCAAAGCATACAGCCTGTATCTCGATGATCTGGAAGCATCTTCCGGGTCTATCATTTTTGGAGGGGTCGACACGCAAAAGTTCGAAGGAAGTCTGACCCAGCTCCCAATTGTCGGTCTTGCTCTGCAGAATGGATCATCAGTGTACAGCGACTTCGGGGTCACAATGTCTGCGATGGGCATCACCGGTAAGACCCTGACCAACAGTACATACGCAGACGTAGCAATCCTCGATTCTGGAACCGCCCTGACCTATCTGGCTCCTGACCTCATGGCGCTCATCGTAACTGCTCTTGGTGGAGTTGACGACACTGCACAAACCCAAAATATCTACGTCGACTGCGATCTGCGTAACACTGCCGCCATGACATTCGATTTTGCGTTTGGCAGTGCCACGATCAGAGTCCCCGCCAGCGAGATGATCTTCGATCTCAAAGGTATCTTCGCCGTCCCTGCAAGCTACTTGCCCACCGTACCTTTCAAGTCCGTCTGCGCTCTGGGAATCCAAGGCGGAGAAGCGCCATACATCCTCGGCGACACATTCCTACGGTCCGCATATGTGGTCTACGACCTCAATAACAACTTGATCGGCATCGCGCAGACGAACTTCGGTTCCACGAAGACGAACGTGGTCGAGTTGCAGGCGAGCGCGACCAGCATCCCGAATCTGAGTGGTGTGACTGGATCATCTAGCCCCTCAACATCAACATCGACATCAACATCAACAAATACAAAGAACGCTGGCGCACCAACTATCCCCGGATTTGATGTCCGAAGACTAGTTGTTCTGGGCCTCTGGGCCGGATTCGCGGTGCTTGGTGGGTTGTTTGTTTGACAAAATTTTCGCATATTTGCATTGTATGAGCGGAATTTGGGCCCTGGACATTGGAATAAAAAGAATACCCTCTTGTTAGATTTCCGGTTTAGCATTATAATCTTGCTGCATCGCATTTACTTAATATATGAGATCATGACATAATCGAATTAATCTCGATCTTCGCTTTGGACGCGCTGTGAGAGTAGCTGGGAAATTGAAGCGAGAAGAGAAATGAAGGACTCGAGTGAATGAATATGGAGGAGGATGGAGAAGGACAAAAAGGTTTTGCACGTCAATTTTCCCAATAACCTCATATTCCTTCCTGATCAAAAAGAACGTTTGTGTTTTTCTAAGGCAGCGGATGCAATTATTCTTGGAAGTCTGACGAGCCTCCGCCGGAATCTCTGAGCGTTGCCAATCTGGTGAAGCAATTTCAATGCAGCGACGATGTCGCCAGCTGACTAGCTGAAGGACATCGCAAGCTAAGGCTGCGGAACTTTGAATTGCGAGGAGCTCGGATTTTTGATAGGGGAACAAGTTGAGGATACCCAAATGGAAGCGGTTCAAAGCAGGGCTTTGGTCAGCTACGCCGAGGCTGAACTCAACCCGATGTGTTGTCAGCTCTCAGGGCGCCTGCGAGTCAGCCACACTGGAAGCCTGGCTCCCATTTTCGTTTCTGGTACTATAGTTTTATGTAACAGGCAACTTCAATGGTTTCCAGTACAACGATGAATTCATGTCACTTGTTCATCAGCGCTTCGTGATTTGCAGATAAATTTCTGAAACTATCTCAATCCCGCTTGAATATAATCCTCTTAACCTCGCTCCATTACCATTTGGCCCATGTCGTTCGGTCACTTCTTCTTATTGAACGCTTCAACAGCAGCAGTTGCAGTCTTGACACTTACTGGTGCATCATGTTTATCAAGGATGAGTTCCACAATCTGGATTTCTCAGTTAGCCACAGTTAACGAGCCAAATGTTTCGACACTAACCTGAGCACAGCCAGCCGAATTGAACTCAGCATCAGCGAGAAGAGCATCCAAATCATCAGGAGTTTTCACAAGATGGGATTTGGTCTTGAAGTGAGGTCCAAAAGCTTGGAACAAACCCCCATAATCCCAGGTAGGCACTGTGTTATAAGAAGCCTCCATCCCATGGATGAGTCGCTCGACTGTGTAGCCGTCGTTGTTCAAGACGAAGCTGCCACAATCAGATATTATTGATATTGCCTTAGAGATTTTGAAGAGAGTAAGAGACTCACACAGTGGCATTAACCTCATGACGGATCAAATCCGAAAATGCCTGCACCGTGAGCTGCAGCGACCCCTCACCCGTCACAAGAATACTTCGCTTGATAGATCCCAACTCTTTACCAGCGACAAATGCACCAACAGCAGCGCCAGTTGCAAAACCAATGCTGCCAAATACAGTCTGGTTGAACATTTGCACGTCATTGACGTGCTTCAGACTTGAGCCTGGAATGCCGTATGCAGAGGTGCCAGTTTCGGCAATGACGAAGTCACCGTCGCGGAAGTAGCGACCGAGTGCCTGCAGAATTGTCAGTTTTGACATACGGGAATTTGATGAGATTTGGGTGTAATTACGGCCCAGAGATAGTCTTGAGTCAAATGAGCTTCGCGTGATGGGTTGTCGAGGGGGTATGGATCCCATGTGACCGCTTTCATCTTGTAGTTCAAAGGGCTCTGACGAAGATTCGCCAAAAGTGCTTCGAGGATCTGTTTTGATTGGGTCAGGTTATCTGAACAGCTTGGGTGGAGAAGAATCTAACATATTTCATTTTCACATCGTAGCGGATGCCTCCAATCTTGATATAGAATCTCTGAAAATCGATTGTCACCTCGTCCTTTACGCTTTCAGTGAACTCGCCGCTGGAATACTGTTAGCTTCCTGGAAGTTCCCACTACTCCAAGATCTCACGTGTTGAAATCACTCTGTGTTCAATTATCAGCCTGAGCTAGGTGGTGGGTTACGCACAACTTACAGGGTAATTGCCAAGCCACAAAACGCAATCAGAACTTTCAATTGCTTTCCTGGTCTCTGGGAATGACGCCATCCCACCGTATATACCCCCAAACGTTGGCAGGTTCTCAGGCACGGAACCTTTCCCCATCGATGTCACGAAGTAGGGGTAGCCAGTGGTCTGGATGAGTGCCTTAGCTTCTGCCAAAACACGACTGCGAACGGCTCCTGCCTTGACTTAGTAAGGCTTCCCCAGAACAAGTTATGAGAAGGTCCCACCTCCATCAACAATGATGATTGGACTGGATGCGACATCCATGAGGGCCCTGATTTTCTCGACAACATGTGATTGAAAAGTTGGATTGTTGGGAGGGAGAGCAGTCTCGAGAGGGACCTGCAGATTGAAAGCTGGAGTCTTCAGAAATGCGACGTCGGTTGGGATGCCAATATAGCTAGTTGATTTTGTGAGCGAATATTTCGTTGCGGGAAGGGGAGACGTTAAACTGACACTGGTTGGGAGTAGTTAAGCATTGCTTCGTCACAAGTCAGCATGCATTGCCGTTTGGAGGGATATATATACCATTCAGCACTCTGTCAATGTCGGAAGCAGCAGTCTTTGGGTCATGAAGCACCGTTGTTGCGCAAGTGATGTGTTTAGACATCTCATGGAAGACACTGTAGTTTGTATCTTAGCACAAGTTCTGAACAGCTTCTTCGAAGCATTAACTTACTCAAACTTTCCATCTCCGACTTCTCCCAGCGAGTGATGCATGATATTCTTACCATGCTGTGCTGCCTCTGTTGGGTATCCGACAATGTGAACGATGGGAACAAATTCAGTGTAAGCACCGGCGATACCGCACATGTTCGAAAGCTCGCCGGGACCGAAAGTGGTGACGACTGCTCCAACACCATTGACTCGAGCATAGCCATCTGCAGCATAACCTTTTCTCATTTTAGTATTAAGATAACCTGAGAAGCGGTCACTTGAAGACGGGAGCACAGAGACGTACCCGCATTCAACTCATTGGGGTTTCCACGCCAAGTTAAACCTGCCTCAGGGACGAGGTCAAGTAACATGAGTTCATAATCTGTCAAGACGTGAGTAAACTCCTGCTGCATGAATCATAATATGAAATGGTGTTGATTCGAAGGTACAGCTTACCTCCAGGCACGCCGAAGACGGATTTCACACCGAGCTGCTTAAGTCTCTCGAAAAGATAAGCTCCGACCAATATCTCAGACATTTTGGACGCTTTCTTTGAATGTAGTATTGCGAGAAGCAAATTGGAGGGGAAGGATATTGTACGAGGATGAGAAACGAGGTTGAGAAAAAAAAAACACAGGGAGCTCTTGGTTAAGTAATGAATTGTTAAGGACCCCTCAGCTAGCTTCCTAAATCTCGCCCCCCTCACACAACCTTTCCGACAGGGTGAATATAGAGTACAAGCATTAAGAATCCTTGCAATGCAGTTCATTTTCATGATCGATACTTGACCAATAATCGGAAAGTCAGGGATGTGACAAGGGCCGCTTCTCTGACCCGGGTTCAATGTCAGTCTTTCGATTCGACCACAAGGAGCCTAGGAAAACAAGCTTTGACAAGCTTTTTTCACATGCACGGCACTCCCCGGGGCCGGGATATTTCGGGCTTGGTCAACTTTTATCAGATCGAATAGTATGCTTAAAATCAGGATCGCCCGCTGCATAGTCAGCTTGACGTGCTTATACGGCACTTGCAGCTTAGCGAGGCCATTACCCCGCCCCCTTAAATGGTTTAGCGAGCCCAGCCACAAACCCTCTGTCCAACCTCAAACTTACACAACATAAACTTTCCAGCGAATAGACACAGCATTCATTCCCTGCAACCTATTTTCTACAGTCACCGAATGAATTCCACTTAAGTGTCAGGATTGTGGTCTTTTCGTTACGTGCATTCATATACCGCCCGCATATGAAATGACCAATGGACTTCACCAAAGCCAGAGCCCATTCAATTAATCAGCAGCGTGGCAAGGTCATGGGGATCGCGCCACATCTAGCTATGCCATACCTAATTGAACCCCTTTATCAAGTAACAATCAATTGAACGGAAATCGGGCCGAGTTGAAGTTCTTGCTCTCTCACTGCTGGGGTCCAAATTACATATCTCCACATCGCGACACCTTAACTCCTATTTACAGGATCGAGTAGAATTTCGAGCCAGCCAAGAGGAAGAAGAAGGGTTGCGGGAGAAAGAGGGAAAAGAAATGTCGTTGAAAGAAGAGATGGGTTGCTGAAGATGAAGATGAGGCTGAGAAGATATGGAAGCATGAGGCGACAAAAATTAGGATAGAGATGCTGAATCTTAAAAGTGCTATGTTTTAAGCATGATACCCTGCGGCAGAGACGAATACCAGAATTCAACAACCAATGTCTCAAGTATGAAGCCCAAAATGGCAGGTACGAACGCAACGTGAATGTCCGACAAAACTTAAAAAAAGTTCAACTGCCAATGTCCCAAAGAGATCAAAGAGAAATTACATGAAAGATAGTACCCGCTTCAAAGCGGCGATGTCTCCATCGAACTTCGCAATGGCTTTCTCCTTCTCCTTCTCAAGCTCACTCAACTTCGTTATCAAGGAGATCTTGTCGGATGGACTTGATACCGATGAGAAGAGAACATTTGCCGACATCAAGCCGTCGGCGCTTCCAGCACTAAATGATTGCTCAGCAGCGAAGTCATTACCCAAGCTCCAGGCTGGTGGAGAAGAAGCAGTCGTGTTCTCCATGTCTTGATCTTGGTCATGATTATGAGTCCTCTTCAAATGCTGAACCAAATTGTCTTTTCGACTAAATCCTCTCCGATGTCTTTTGCAGGTAGTTACGGGACAGTTGTAAGCTGGCGTGGCGTGGACTTCTTGTTCATGGCGTTTCAAGTCTCCTGGAGTGGCGAAGTTGTTGACGGTGCAGGCCGGGACTGGGCACTTATATGGTCGGAGGTGTTTGTCCATGTGCTTCCTGCATATCTGTCAGTAAGATATCTCGAGGCCAAATATGATCGACATACTTGAATGCAGAACTCTGCTTGAAGACTCGATGTTCCGGGCATCCTTGGTACTGGCATTTCTGTCCTTCGTCGTTTAAGACCTTTTTTGAGGTCTCGGGTGACTTGAACGATGAGGCGTTTGGGGGATCAAAATTCGCACTACTACTATAGTTCATTGTTAGTCAAGGTCCAACAAAGGCCATATCGCCAGACACCGGCTACACAATATCGGTTCAGGCCACATAGGACAGGAGCAGCGTACGGCAGTAACAGTGAGTCAGAAACTGTAGCAGGTGGGTATTGAAAGTCCTGAAGCCACGGAAAGTCTATAAAAGTCAGGAATAGGCAACTGGTTGACACGATCACTACTTACCAAAAAGATCGCCGGCACCCAAGTCGACTGCCCCAGCTTGCAATCCATAGAGTGGAGATGAAGGTGAGGTTTGGCCTAAAGATTGTTAGCGACTACAGAGCGCTTTTCAGAATTAGTGCGGGTGGACTCACCTTGAGAAGTTGCTGAAACATGCCAACTCGGTATGCTATGAAGAACAATCGCGTCAGCCTCAGAACAATGACGTCGCATGTCACGGGAAGAAAAATGATCACGATATGTGCGTACTTTTATATTTTATTTACTACCAGTCTAAGATTACATCACTAGTGTAGCATCGCGTACGGCGGCTCGTACATTTGTCTATCCCAGGGAGTGTGATGGGCCTATGGCGACATACTTAGTCTCTATATCATTGGAACTGCTCTTCTGAGCCGAACCATTGAACATGTCATAGCTGCTCTCAACGGTTAGCAAGGCTGCCAATCTTCTTCGAGGCTCACTTACCTTTCCATCTTTCACATATAGGGCTCTACTGCTAAAGTATGACTGTCGGGAACGACCGACCACTGGAAGGAGAAAATTGTCAAAAAGGATGTGAACCCCTGAGAGCCTCAGAGCCTGCTTGCCTGGAAGTTTTGGGGGGGCTATTCGAGGATTATATACTCGTAGAAGCGAGGCACAGGGCGTTCTCTCGCCTTGTGTTTGCCCAACGCCCAGGGCGAACAGCTAATGCAGAAGCGAAGCATAGAAGTATCCAGGGGCCAACCGCCCCACCCCCAACCGCCCACCCCTTTTCACCACAACAACGGCATAAAACCGAAATTTTGAGTAGATATTTGTAATCAGCGACCTTGATATAGTAATTCAGGAAGTTTTTAGCATTTTCCTAATACTTTAAAAAATCACAAAATTTTGGTGTTCTATCTCTAGCAAGGCTCCAGTGAGGGATTTGATAGCGGGGCAAAAATAACAAAATCACTACCTTATGAGCGATTCTAGCCGCATTACTAGTTTGAAATAAATATATAGCTGTTAGGATATCAAAAATACTCTAAAGTATCAATATATAACAGGATTTGTAATTATAATGAAGGTATAATTAAAAATCGATTTTTTTGGGGTCGGCGGTTGGCTAGTGGATACTTCTACTATTTACATGGGTTCGATTCCTCCGCTTCTGTCACGGTCTCGTGATAGCCCCTACGTTTACTTTGAAAGGTTTTGGTTCTAGCCTCTAATTCTACAATTCGGCGTGGTCTCCCGCAGCGCGTGCTTCCCCGGGTGATGAGCGCCATCTCAGGAACAGCCCACCCATTTCCATTTCCATTTCCGCCGCAGCGTGGAGAAGCTGTCCCTCCACTCGGATATACTGTACAAGTATCTGGTGCTCTCTGCCCTCCCGTGGACGCCCAAACAGTTTCCCAATAACCAAGTACTTGCTCTTAATGGATAGTCCGAGCCCACGAGGCTTCATCTGGCTCGAAAAGGCTTTGGTGACATTGCGGCTGTAGCTTGAACTGGTTTCCTCGCCGACTCCATGGCATTGATGATGCCAATAGCAGGACGACAGCCCAATCAGCTAAAGGGCGTTGAAGCTTCAATGCTCCCGTTTGCGATGCGTTGACTGCCCCAGCAAGGTTTCCTTTCCAAAGGTTGTCCGCGAGAGGTGTGGGCTTTGTTCTCTCCTCGCCCTTTTCGGGGCCACACTCAGTCAACTCGCATCCTTATTCCTCGTGGATGTGCTTTGCCCGCTAGTTCCTGTTGGCAGTGAATGGAAAGCGCCTAGCAACGCTGTTGGATTCGAAATCATGCGTGTCGGAGATGATGAGAAAGCTACACTATGAATGACTGGCGTACCACATGAATGGCGGACGTTGAGAACATTTCCCCTTTTGATACATGTCAGTCTTGGGAAGTCAATCTGCTCGGCGGGGCGGACAATTGACCAGTGCCGTGGTTGGCGGTGATTCTCGAGGGAACGGGCGATTTTCTCAACAGGTGAGACTACCGCGGTGTAGAGAAAGAGAAATGATTGCCGGACGACATGGCTGTGAACGGCTGCTTAAAGTAAGAGTGGTACAATAGTACAATAGTTTGAGGAGAGGTCAAGATGAGGAAGAACCTGATGGCGATCCAGAAGCCTGTGCGACACTAAATTTTAGCGGGATTCTAGTGACACGAACCTAAATTCAACTTCACATCACATCACAACATCTTCTCCAACTTCTATCAATCCATATTCACCATGCAATCACGCAGAGGCAAGCTTGGTATGTCATTTTAGGATGTCGGCATTAAATTGATAGAATACGAATGGAACCAGCCCTACAAATACAATAGCCACAACATGCTACCTTACGGCGCGATGACGGTCTCTCGACAAGCACCGCATTCCCACACTCCAGTGCTACCATCGCCCTCCCTATCATCACATACGGGGCATTTCCCATATAACCCCCTGGTCTTTCGACTGTACTCAAAAAATTTCGCCCTTCCCTCAACATATTGAGTCGCTTCGTCCCGATGTGTCCCACACAGCCACGCCATCCGTATCTGGCCAATACAGAGACATTCCCTGGCTTGGATCTCCGAGGTTGGATGCTGGGTGAATCTTATTTTAGTCCCTTGCGCGCATTCGCTGCACATATGGTTTTGGGTTTGGGCCAAAACGACCTCATCGAGTCCAAAGTCACCTGCTCGTGCATTGCCATCGCAATCCTTGCAGACATTGTACCACGCGTGTCCAATCCAATCACAAGACTGTGTGGGACGCTCCTTGCATTTTGGTCCATCTGGAAGAGGTATGGGCTCGTTGCACGGTTTGGACATGTCTGGTGGGTTGTTACTGGGGGCGCGCATGATCCCAATGTGGGGATTCACTGGATTTGTTATCGCTCTCGAACTATGTGCTTGCTGGCGGGCCTGAGGTCCTGGCGCTGCTGGCGCTGCGGTTGTTCTATCATAGGCAGGAAGCGCTGGGTTTTGAGACGGCCCTGGAGCTCTCTCTGGGTCCGCTGCATTGTCTGAAGTGTTGTTCCTAGTCGTATTGGCATTACTCTGATTTCTGATGTCGACCTCGTTGCTGAAGAAGTCAGGCGCGCCCAGCGTCACATCTTCACTGGGGTTTTCAATATCTTCGGCATTGGCATTGGTGGTCTCTCTGCCTCCCCGCCACCCTCCACTTGCTTCTTCGCGGACTGCCTCTGTTGTAGCGTTTGGCACGATTCTCCTTTGGCTATTTAAGTAACCCTGCAAAGGCGGCGCATCCACATCAATCGTTTCCATGTCTTGGGAAACCATTGAAGAAGATGGGGCAGGGGCGTCGTAAGTCTGCCTTGGCCCGCCCGATACAGGCGTTGGATAGCCAGTCATACTGGGTTGATTCCGAACAGGGGTTGTCATCGTCTCGCGAGGAGGTCTGTAGGGCTGATCGACAATTTCCGCATTGCAGTCTACTTCACCGTGTATTAGACATTCCTGGCATGGTCTGTTGCCGTCGCAAGAGCGAAGATTCTTTTTGCAAGTCGAACACCAGTTGTCTGGATCACTCGGAGGGACACGCCCCGGCTGAACAATCCTTCTTCTACCGGATGACCAATTGTTAGGTTTCTCCCTTGGTTGTTGGCGCAGGTTTGGTGTGTTCCTCGTTCCCGATTCTGTATTAGCAACTGCTCTTCGCTTCTTGGGCCTTGGCTCTGGCTCTTCTTGCTGATCATAATCAGGAGTTGGCTCCCTGTGTCTTTTCCTTCTTGAACTACTTGGCGGCGGCGGCGGCGATGGTGGTGGAGGTGGTTGCTCGTCGTCTGATTCATCATCGTCGTTCAGCTCAGGGATATCCTCCTCGTCCTCTTCATCGTCCTCATCTTCCTCGTCGACAACTTTCTTCCTTCCCCACCTTCCCCCACCCTCTCTCCTTTTATCCTCTTCCTTTCGCCTTTGCACCTCGCTCTTGTTATATCCCCCTCTCCTGTCTCCTGATTTGACTCCCCTTTTTCCAAGTGGTAAACGAACACAGTTTCTCCCAGTTCTTTTGCAGTTATCACACGGGAACCCAGTTTTCTGTACGGAACAACCTATCTTCCTTTTGCCGCATGGAAGGCAACGATGCTCAGAATATTCTTCCTCATATTCCTCTTCCGCCTCCTCGTCCACTCCCTGCCCCTGCCCACCCAGTCCTCCAGCTTGTAGGGGATTATTAGGCCCCCTAGTTTCACGAGTGCTTCCTCTTGGCTGACCAGCCCCCCCTCTTGGTGGACGTGATCCCCCCGTTGGTTGAAGAGCTGTTCCTCTTCGTGGACGCGCTCCCTTTCTTGGTTGAGGAGCTCTTCCTCGACTGGGCTGACCGCCGGTGCCCCGCGAAAGTCCTCCATCTCCAAATAACGGCCGACTATCATGGTCATGCGTAAAAAGCTCGTCACTACTCTCATGCGGCGCCAGCGAGTGGGTAAAATTACGATAACCAATCGCAGCAAACTCACGCCGAAGAAGTGCCGCAGCTGTCGCACGGCGCTGAGCATTCCTCGCTCTTAGGGCATCAGTCTCTGCCAGAAAGTTCATGGCATACCTGGGATTATACGCCTCATCAGTAGGATCCATCCAATCGCGGTGGTCAGCTTCTTGCAACTCGATGTTCACTTGCCATCTCCGTTGCGCTTGCCTGTCCTGATTTGGAGGCGGGGCTGGTCGGCGCCGAACTTCGATTCCCATGTGCACAATGGCTCGCGATGCTCGCCTGAGGTAGTCATCCCGGCTCTCGCCAACTCGCTGCGCGCCGTCGTCGACATAGTAGAGCATCTGTCTTTCCCATTCGGGGGGATTTGAGTACGCGAGTTCTTCATGGGCAATTGGAATTGGGAAGTGCCCGTGCACGCTTGGGTCCAAGGGACCTGCACCGGAGCCGTGCTCAATCCGGCGGTTTTGCGTTTGCGGGAGCCCGATGAGTGGGAGGGAATCTAGGGGTTGGAGGAAATATTGTGCTCGTGGAGGACGATTTTGCTCTTGTGGCGGTTGGTACGGAGCTGGAGCTGGAACTTGGGGAGGATTCGGATTTGCTGGACGCGGGTCCTGGTACCCAGTGGCAGCGGTATTTGGGTCTGGATACCGATTTGTGTTTTGTTGGAATAGATTGGTGGAGCCGTTGTTAGGTGGGGGCAGCATATAGTTACCGCCAGACCTGCTAGGACCAGGCTGTCCGAAGCCACCATATGTTGGGGCAGAGAAAGGAGGAGGTCCAAATGAATACCCTTGACCAATGAAGCTTGGGTCGTAACCCCCAGCCATGCCTGTTGTTGGCCGCTGCTGCCCCAGGAAGATGGAGCCTGGCCATAGGGAACTATTCGCTATGGCCGGGTATTGGTATGGATTTGAAGTTGGTGGAGGTGGTGCAGTTCCATATGTTTGCTGCGTAAATGGAAAAGAGCCTTGGATATTACTCTGGAATTGGTTCTGGGCTTGTCCCTGTCCTGCCCCGCCGTACATAACGCTGTTGTACAGCTGTTGATCCGGCGGTTGTCCAGCCAGACCGGAATCAGAGTATTCGTCAAGATCCTCGCCATTGCCGTCCCCATTTTCTGGATTTCCTGTTGGATCCGCCATGTTGTGCGTTCAGCAGGTCTCGAAGAGCCGAATGGACTTTCAGTGTGAAAATGAGGGAGGAAAATGGGTATGAGCGAGGAAAGTAAACATGCCGGCCGCCGCGAAGGGTTATATCACCGCATGCGTGTCTGTTCCGAGACAATGGGTGGAATGATGTTCCCTCCATTTCAATCTCAAGAACAATAACAAAATTTATAATTCTGTTCTCTCACAGTTTTTTTTTTTAGGTTGTGAAGTGTGGTCAAGTTGCGGCTATCAAAAAGTTGGGACGGGATGGGGCTGCTGAGATTTTGTAGATTTATGGGGCTGTATGGTTGAATTGGCTTTAAAAGCGCGTCCATAGAGTCGTGCTCGCGGATTTTGAAGTGCGAGACATTGGGTGTGCGAGGAATGCTATTGTGTCGTGTGGTTGGGGATTGGAATTCCTGGTCTTGCAGCTGGTGGTCGATGGTCGCACATGCTCTGACAACCTCTACAATGCCGATACCTTGTATACCAGAAACTGCCATCATTTGTACCTGTTGGTACAGCTGTTGCTTCGGGAGTCACGTGCATGTCACGGGACTTGGAGGCAACGGGATATGGGATATGGGACATGGTCATATAACCCCGCGTCCTATAGGTAACTCGACCGGTAGCTAGTTCCCATTAGGCTTAGCAGATTTAGGGATCGCATATCAATACCACGATACTGCGATCCTTACTTCTGAATATCAACCACTTCACCAACTTTACGCACTGAGCATTCCACGCATATTACGTGTCATGCTACGCGTTACTGGTGAACCGACAGTACCCTCATTGTAACAAGGAAAGATTGATGAAGTTCCTCTAATACTACAGGTAATGGTGCAAGTCATGTCACTTGATGGGTGTGGGAGGTCGGTTTTGGAGCTCATCGGACAAATGAAGCGAGGAATGTGCCTTAGATACAAAGAATTGTTCTCTGACAGCCTTGATTTAATCAAAGGACATGGATTGATTGCAGAGGTGTACTTAAAGGAGCCTCGTTGGAGATTATTTTAAATTATTGGAGATTGATTTTGTTCATCGAGATGCAGCATATGTCCTTCCGCCTCGCAGGCTTGCATTTCGAAGTATTTTGCCTGAATATGCTATGGTGCAAGAAAAATGATTGTTCCTGGGGAATAAAGGAGTTTGATCCCCAAACAAAGAAAGGGGCGTAAGTGCGCTTTTTGGTAATTGAAAATGTTGCAACTTTCCCGAGGCTCACAACTCAGCCTCATCCTCATCAGTGATGACAAAGGAATCACCACTGTTAAGATAAGCAGGGAACTTAGAATCCTCATCGTTGTCCATGGCGAAGTCATCACCGTCGTCGAAGCCCTGCACGGACCAATCGTCCCATTCACCAACATCAATGGGGCCAAGGTTGGTTGAAATCGAGGCAGTGTGATCAACCAGCTTCCCGTCCGCTCCCAGTGGGACCTTCTTGTCCTTCATGCATGGTGGGTTATGGAGGCATCCTGAGCGATGCGAGAAGCAGTTGTTCCGGCTGATGTTGACATTTCCCGGCTCGACAGTTGTGTGAGCAGGATTCAAGCACGTCCAGTTTCCACAAAGATGAGACAAGTGCCACTGTTTGTTAATAAAGCCGTCTTTCTGCTGTTTGGTCATTTTATAGTTGGCAAGTTTGGAAGCAATGCCAAAATTGAGAACGAGAGAGTGCTTGTCGTGTCTACCATTCCAGTTGAATCTCTTCTGGAGCTTTCCGCAGGGTCGAGGAACACCGTTCATGGAGAGGTGAGCAGGAGGTGGAGATGGATGAAACCAACACTCTTCTTCTCCGCGAAATGGATCGAGGAGATAGTTGGTATTGTCGACCCATTGACACATGGCTTTGGTCAAAGCGGGAGGGCGGTTGGAGGAGACGATGATTCTCTTTCGCTCTCGGCAAGTTATTTTGTTGAAGGGTGCTTTTGGTATAGATGATTGTGACGTTTTGAGATCTACACCGGTCCTTAAGAACGGTATGTCCGCTAAGTTTGGAACTTCTGGATCATCTGCCGACGAGACTTGGGTGTCTGTAAGGTTTTTATGACTTTGAGTAAGTCGAATCGATGTGTTGGGAGTTGGATATCTTGCTTCAAAACTACCGTTGTTTGGTAGAGTATCGGGTACTAGAAAGTCCTGGCTTGGAGGGGGTGGAATTTTTGAAGAGAGAAGGGGAGACATCCATTGCGCTGTGTTAGATTGTGTGTCTAGTAATTGATGTTCTGGGTCGTCATCGACTAGTTCATCTGTACCTTTGTTCGAGAATTGATTTATTTGCGTATCTGAAAATTGAGAATCCGATCCGGCTGCGGTAGTTCCCAGAGCATCTCCACGATCAAGGATCTGTGTTGGAGTGTCTGGCAGAAATTGGTCCAGATCAGCACGCAAGCTCTCGTTGTTTTGTATGCTTTGGAATATATTTATCTCTGTGTCCGGAAGTTTTGAGCCGGTTGAAGTCATCAGGATATCTTGGTGATCAGCAAAATTCCTTTGGGTGTCTGGCAACGATTTGCCTTGCTTGTGGAGCATGGTGGTCATATTATGGGAATCTATTTGAGAACTTGTTCGGTTTCTTTGCGTATCCGGGAGGAGCCGGTCTAGATTACGGAACTTGTTGGATGCCATGAAGGCATCTTCGGGAGCGACCTGTGGCTCAGGCCAACAGGCTGACGTAGCGGCTGGGCCAATGTGATGACAGCCACAAAATCCGTCTGGTTTCTTGTCAGGAGGGTGTCGGCAATCTGGTTGAAGCCCAGCGTTGGGGCAGTTGTCCTCCGGGGATGAAGCCATGTTGAAAATAGGGGAGAGTTGTTGTGATAAGATAAGTATGTTTCAAAGTCCAGGCGTGAGATAGAAGCATTCGGAAAGTCGAAACCTGAGATAATTAAAAGTAAGAAAAGTAAAGAGGTCATGGAAGGAACACTCTTGAGTCGTTCCAAAAAGAGCTCGAGGGGAGACGTACTATTTATTCTTCCACATCCGTAAAATTTGGCTTGCGCACTCCCTGTTGCAAGAATTGGAAGACGAGCTCGGAATGAATGAAGTTTACATTCTCTCCGAGATGGCAGTGTCTCCCGTTGCTCGGCTGGGGAGACGATGCCGTTTATTAGAAGCCTCAATGTCTCGGCTTGAACATTGGCGGGTGTTGGGCTAAGACAAATTGGCGGGAGTCCTTAAGCTCCAAAGGAAGTAAGCAGCCTCTTGGCAATAAAAAAGACGAAAAGGTGATCCTGAAAGCAAACTGAAGATCGGTTTTCAAGGGGTTGTCGAGTGCAAGAGCAGACCACAGCGAACGGTGGTATTGTCCCTAGGGTCGGTCAGCCAAGGAGTTCATCGCAACCTGCAACGTTGTCTCCTATGCTCCTGATTATTGAGCAAGACGTTGTGCCTTCTATCAAGACTCCATGAGTGAGGAACGAGCAAAATAGGTGCTCACGTGGTCGGCTATGATAGCGCCGTTCACTTTGTTGACTTCCCTCCAAGGACTTTCTTGGACAAATTTTACCTCTCTGAACACGAAGCAAGTTCCGCCTCATCGTGCAGGACTCACCTTCCTGTTAACCTTTGTTCTTCAAAGTAAACTTGTCTGTTCGATCTTCCTCGTCCGTCCAAACTGATCCGGGTACGAATCAAAGCACTTCAGCACGCTGTCAGGACGCGAAAAGTTGATGCGAAACCTCCAAATTTGGCCAGTGCTTGGTCATAGCTGAAGAGAAAGGAAGTAGATGTAGCGAGAGGAAGTATCGATTATTTGCAAAAGTAAGACTCGTGCTCCCCTGAAGTCGATGGTGAGCGATGATCTTGGACTGAAGATGGTTGATCATCAATTAGATGCCGAATCCATGCACAAACTGTGTTGTTTTCCACTTCGGAGAATGCAAGTACCCACCCAGGCAGTGCCACATTTGCTTGGGATGGAATCACATTGAGCGATACTGTCCGAGCAACAACAGAGGACACAGCATTCAATTTGAACGAGGAGAGCCACTTGCAGGAACCAGGGCATGGTGTGAGCACCACGGACTGAACGATGATCCAGAATTGAAGTTCGAGGTCTTGCAAGCACTGAAGACTAATCCTGGCAGCGCAATCCATATCAACGGAGTCTGCATCTATGGTGGAAGTAGCAAGAGCTTTTCTGCGTCCGACCGAATGGAGCAGCCTCGGGGCCGAACACTGCAAGAGCGCATGACCCGTCGCGATCCGAGGTCACTTTCGCCAGGTCAAGATAGGAGACGTCCTGCTTCTCGCTCGCTGTCTCCTCGTGGAAGACGTGCCAGATCCCGGTCCCCAAACAGAGGTCCGCCAGGATACGGTCGATATCGGTCTCGAAGCCCTCTTCGTCAACGGCCAAGAACCCCCTCCCCATACCGTCAACCTCGAGGTCGACTACAAGCTCCATCCCCTCCTCATCAACCTGAGTATCGTGCACGATCTCCAAGGTACGCCAGTGACACCAATGCAGTCGTGTTTGAGGCCAAGGACCGCCAACCAGAAAATCGCCGACCTGAGAACCGACCTCACTACCCTCGAGAGCCCGGACGCTTGACCCCAGTCAAGTTCAACATGCCGCCACCGTTCCATCCCCTTCCTCCACGACCTCCACTGCCTGGTTTCAACGGACCTCCATCCCGTGCACCCCTCGGCCAAGTCTCCTCCAACCTTCCCAGGAGTGATCAATCAATATTCGGTGCGCCAAAGCATCCATCTCAGTCAACAACTCGATCCGAAGCAATTGATGATGATCCGCACTTCGTCTTGGGAGTTAGCAAAGGTGCTAGTGAAGCTGAGTAAGTTCACCCCAGGAGCTGGGCAGTGACTCGCTAACAAAATGATCCACAGCATCCTCACTGCTTATCAACAACAAATCTACGAGATTGATTTGGAGCGGATGGCAGAAGGAGGTGGTGTGGTCAGACGTGACAGTGTTTGGAACGAGAGCATACAGATTCTGAATGCTGCGAAGAAACAACTCCTCGGCCGCTGAGCATCGAAAGGTGGCTGAAAGTGAAAGTACTGTCGGATGTATTACGAATATTTTCTTGAGCCTCCAAATGAGGGACACAGGAGGCAAAGGTTGCATGGACGCTTTGTCTGATGTGTGCAAACGTATGGCTGTGAAAGGGCAGCAGAAGGCGACGATTTGGCTCATCTCCTGGCTTCTTTGAAGTTTGGAGATGTCCACTGTACAAACACGGAGGCGATGGATAGAGCTTTGCTGTGAGATGGCTCATGACTTGTAAAAACTTTAATGCAAAACAAAATGTCTGAAAAAAGAAACACATCTCAAAGTATGGAATTGGCTTCGGGAATACCTATTCAACCCTAATCTGGCATACTCCACCAAACACCTGTGACAACCCCCAAGGGCCTTTCCATCTCCGCTTCTTCCAAAATCTCTTCGAGATCACTGGCATCTGTCCTCGTCCCTTCAGTGGCTCCCCAAGCTAGATGTGCACTAACTCTTACGCTCCTTAAATCTGGCAGCCTCCCATCTTCAACGGCGTCATAGATAGCGCTGGCGCTGACCCCCACATCTGCTCCCGCAGTGGGGGAACACTCTATATCCAGTATCCTTAATGGATGCGGAGATTGGACATACAAAGCAGAGAACATTTTATCGCTTACGAAATCTGCCGAGATGCGGAGAGCAGTCAGGGAGGGACATTCATCGAGGACTGGGTCCAGAGCTCCGACCCAGAGTTGCTGCATCGGATGCCGGATTGTAAGGTGCTGCAGCTGCGGGCCAAGGGTTTGGAGCATATCGACCAGGGCAGGCCTGAAGACTTGAGAACAGTGCTGAATGCTCAGCCGTTGGAGGGAAGGCGGAGCGTTGACCAAGTGTGTTCGCAGGAAATGTGAGTCGACCCCACCTGCCAAATGCAGGGCATACAATTTTGGGGGCCAGAAGTATGCTACCCCCGTGTTGTGTTCTTGATCATGGCTGGAACTTCGTGGGAAGAATAGGGTTTCGAGTTCTCGGAGGGATTTGAGGGTTTGAAAGAGGAGTTTGTTGGATATTGAGGCGGAAATTAGCGACAGGTCTAGATGGCGAAGCTTCGTGCATTTGCTGAGGGCAGCGAAGCTGTTTATTGCGAAGGAGGCTTGTGGTGCTACAAATTCTTCGATGTTCCCCTTCAAACGTCCCAGAAGTCTTGCCGTCAAGCTCCGGCTTGCGTTATGCACAAGTTCTCCCATATCAAGTTTCCGAACCAGGACTGCAAGTGTGGATTGTCGGATATGCGCATTCTTGGAGGGGCAGACTGTTCTGACGAACTCGCTGAAGTTTCCGCCATTGAGATATGGCCGATTGTATAGCAGGGCAATGCTGGCAGAGTACCAGGCTCTAGATACCAGGCTGCAAGCCCAAAATGTTGACTGCGTATTCTCTCGGCGAGGAATGTACGAGAGGATGTGGGAGATTATCTCGGAGGGGAGGAGTACTTCGCGGCCGGAGTGTGAGGGGATGATGGCCGGGACAGTAGAAGGTAATTCCTGGATCGGTCTCTGACTGCTTGGACATGTTGGAATCTTGAGAGGCTGGGCCATCTCTACGTTCCAATTACTTTGAGCATCAAGAGCCATGGTGGCGATCTGCTTGATCTGCTGTTGGAGTCGGCGGGCCTTCTGGGTGGTGGAAAGCCCAGAAAGTACGAGATGTTCAGGGTAGAGCGAACATATTGATTAATAAGGAAACCAAATCCCTTGGATTCCAGTTTTGCAGTAAATCTCTCAACAGGGATGGATGAGCGGAAGTGACGATATTTGCAAGGCTGATAAGAGAATGGTCATTGCTGACAAATCACGAGGCTGCAAATTTCAGCCTCATCAGAATGGAAGCCTGCACCGTTCCATCTGCAACCATGGCAGGAACAAAACGGAAACACGGTGAGGACTCCCAAGAGGCCGTTTACACCAATAAATCGCGTTCGCGAACGTCTGTCGAAGCCCGAATCGATCCCACATATGGCCAACGAAGCGCAATCCCAGGCCTCGACGATGATACGATTATGGATGGAGGTAATGAAGATCTCAATTACGATGAGGAAATGGATGCGTTGGCCTACTTGAGATCAGTCAGGTTAGTACACCTAGCCTGTTTTAGGAGCAAGGAAGAGCTTGGCTGAGACTTCCTATGCAGACAAATGCTGACTTCACACCTCTAGGCAAGAAGCATCTAGCATCCCTAACCTATTAGTGGCACCTCGAACCCCTCCAACCAGCGATAGCAGAGAGACTTACGATAATGTATTTGGAGACTTTCGAGGATACTATGAAGATGGTGCATATGTAGCAACCTCGCAAGCAGTGTGGGAAAGCCCGGATCCCGCTAGAGGGGAAGAGATTGATCAGCAAACACGGTATTTCAACACAATCATCGCTCGACACGAATTCCTGCGAGCTCAATTACAAGAAACCCCACCTGTCGAAGTGTTAGAAGCCCTCGGGCAGGATCATCCCACGCACATCGGGAAGCTGACTGTTGCTATTGCGAAATGGTGGAGATGGAAGATGCGAACAGTGGATCCCCGGCCGGCACAGATTGCAAGCATGGATAAATCTACGGTGTTACGGTTGCTTGGTCTTCTGACTGGAGGAACACTGTTGAAGAGAGGCGCTGAGGTGGAAGTAGGTGTCAGTCGTTGGGCTTGGAGTCTCCTTGCAAGATTGCCGGAGAGGGGAGAGCTGACAAGTGAAGAGATTGGTGTCGTGAGAGAGCTTGGTAAGAAAGCCGTGTTAATTGGCATGGGCCTACGCGAGAACCAGAATTGGGAGGAAGGTATGCAAGAGGTTGAGAAAGACTTTAATGAGGAGGAACATGAAGAACTTCCGGGGATAATCAACGAGGACGAAATTGAGCTTGACTTGCAGGACGAGAAGGTCAATTTAGAGGATAGCGAGAATGATGCTGAAATTTCGGCAACAGATTTGCTGGGAGGTGGTTCCTTTATTGGCCCTCGACTGCCTGACGAGAAGCCATCTACCACTCAGGACGATACCAATGGAGTAGCCATTCCAAAGGCAGTCTCGGTTCATGAAGGTGGCGGAGAGGATCATGACATCACTTCAGAGGAGGAAGGGGAGTTATCACCCGAAGGAGTCCCCGGAGATCCTGACGCCCTTGCCGCCGCAAGAGCCAGAATACTGACTCGACTCGATCAAGAACAGACCGACGACTCAGATGCTGATGAGCTAGTGGAAGCCGAGATTCAAGATGCGAAAGACAAAAGGGCGGCTGCTCTCTGGAATACCAAGGCAACCGTTGACATGATTGTCACCGTGGCAGGGGAGTTATATGGACAGAGAGACCTTCTGGAGTTCAGAGGCGCATGGGAAGAATAACGTAGGTAGAGTCAGTTATGCCCATGATACCATTGCTGTTTGCGAAATGAAGGCTCAGTATTCCAGTTCTCTTATCGTCGTAAGTGTCAGTATATTCTCGGAGCAAGTGAGCCACGAAAAAGGAACGCGTGGCACGAAGCCAAGGGGGTTCGCAAATCTTTTCTCCGCTTCCACGGAATCTTTGTAAAGTGGATGGTATGTACCAGGAGTTGACTCAACTTATAATGCAGTACGTGGATATAAGGTTAATAGCGCCGGCATTCTCAGCCCCAAATTAATTTATGGTCGATATTGCATGCGGGGAAGCATAGTGTTCCGGTGATATTCTCAGGGTTCAAGTTGACCTGTAGCCATTGGTCACTTCATATTAAATAATCCTCCCAACCAAAAGGTTCTGGCGAAGAACATCGGACTTCGCCCTTCCATACGTCTTCCTCATCAATATTTCTCGGCACTCTTTCTAAATGAGGTCACTGCTAGGGGTCCAGTATTTGCTGCCGAATTGGGTCCTTACACTCTATGTCGGCCATGTTCAGGCTTTGCTCGGTGGAAAATGGGCAGATGGCGGCGTCTTGCGGGTCTATTTGAAGAGAAGCTTCGCATCTTTGTTGATCCGATGGTAATCTTGATCTACCATTAAGAGACTCGGAAGTCTCAGAAGGGAAGCTCTGCAGACGTCAAATTGTCGTTTCTTCATTCAGAAGCTGCTGCTGTATTCAAGATCCATTCCCAATCACCTTCACCTTTAACTTCCTTCTTCAAGGTCTGGTTCTCCTAACCGCCTCCACAAAGGCCAAATAGCTTCCGCTACATACCCCCACCAAGTCCCTACCGGCTTCTCCTCTGCGTCTCCCTTTTCCATACTTCCGTCCGTGTCGTTCCTTAGTCCGTCTGGCTTTCCGTTGGGCAAGTCAAGCGCCGACTGCGGTGTTTGCAATATTCCATGGCATTTTCTAAATTTGCCAGCCCAATGATGGTAATCGACATACAAGTCAGGACCAGCCCACAAGAGCAGGAAGGATCCAAGAGGACTGGCAAAGCCTCCTTTGCAATCCTCGAACCAGATGAATGTATCGAGTGCAACCGTGCTGTGAAGCTCCCTGTGAGTTGCGCTACATCTTTCGAAAAGGGTGACGTGTGCAGGATCGTCAGCATTAGTCAGCCGAATTCTGCAAGCCCAAGCACTCGGAAACTCCTACCTATCCATAACTTCTCTGCCTTGCGCCGTCAACGCTTGCCAACTTCAGTCATATCTCTGCTTTCAGGGCCATGTTTGAATGTCAGCCAGTCCTTCTCTCCTGCTTGGTCACTAGTACATGGAGAGTAACGCTTTGCATTGAGCTAGCTCGAATCGATTTCCTTTCTTGTAAGATCTTACCTGTTGTCCCGTCAAAGGGTCGAAAGCCTCCCAAATGCCTTCGCGTTTTCGACAAAAATTGTCAACCATTAGCAATCGCTACCGCAGCCATCTCTTAATCGGCAGCAGTACATTCATATACCCTGATCTTGGTTCAGCCTCTGCAATACGTTTGATAAGCTTTACAACCCGCAGCAGAAGATCCGCTCTTGAATTTGACCTAGTGACTTTCGAACTCGGCTCTCTTCCACCCTTTACAGCGCTTTCTTATACTTGGGGGAGTCCATTTCCTTCGGACGAGGCACACGAAGTCTGGAATGAACCGAACCATCTTGCTTTTTGCAATCAGCAGCCAATTGCAATTCGGAAGAACCTCTACGATGCCTTGCAACATATCAGGACGAGAGAGCATGAGCCTGCCTGGATCTGGGTTGATGCCGTCTGTATCAATCAGGCGGACGATGAAGAACGCACATCGCAGGTTGAAATGATGTCTGACATCTACGGGACTGCGGATCTTGTTCTTGCTTGGCTCGGCCCAGAGGACGAAGCTTCACGAAGAGCTCATAACATGCTGAACACTTTTGGACGTGGAATATTCAAAATGGCTGCACGGGAGGGCTGGGACAAAGTTGACCAGTACGGCCCGAAGTCGCTGGAGCTGGTCGAGGAGCTGGGACACTGCCTTCCCCAAGACGCAGACTGGTCAGCCTGGAACGAATTCTTCCAAAGAAATTGGTTCCGCCGGACTTGGATCTTACAGGAAGCGTCTCTTGCCAAAAATCTTCGTCTGGTCAGTGGCCAACATGTTTTTGTTTTTGACGAGATCCATGCTCTTGACGCATACTCTGAGCATGCTCCTTGGTGGCCAATGAAAGCACCTAATAATTCTGGGGAAGACTTGCCCTCAGCAGTAATAAATCCAATCGCGCTTACACGCAGTATGATTAATGGGATGTTGCAGCGAAGTCGAAGTGTTAGAATACTCGAAGATCACCACGGTTCAATCAATCAAGGCATGCTGCTCCTTCTTGTTCTTGCTCTTGCTCGGAAATTGTCTTCCTCAGACCCACGGGATAAGGTCTATGGCAACCTAGGCATAGCGAAAAAGATCCTCGGAGTAGGTTTCGACGATGCAGCTCTTCCACCCGACTACAACATCGCAGTCGCAGATCTTTACATTCACACAGCGTCTTACATTCTAACAACGACCCCGATTTTATCGCTGCTCAGTCATGTAGAGGACGCAGAAACCCCGAAACCTAGCACCTTACCTTCATGGGTACCAGACTTGACTGTTCGCCATACTACCGGAAGGCTACGCCTTGGCGACACGGCCAACATCTTCGAGGACGACAAGCCGTTATATAGGGCATATATAAGCGGCTCCTCCCTTATAGAAACACGGTCTATAGCGAACATCATTCTTTTTGTCAATGGATACTGCCTAGGAACCGTCTCAGAAGTTGCCACAGGAGATTCGCTTTCGACGCCTGAAAAATTTATCAGTCAGATCAACCTCTTATCCAAGCTTCCCCATATGTATCTCAACGGCCAAAGTACATTCGAAGCATACTGGAGAACATACATGGGGGACTTCGCTCGATCGAGGTTGAAAAATGCCAATCAAGAAGATATCCCCTCGTCCTTCATTGCCATGATCATCCATGGCCTCCTCTGTTGGTTCGATGATCGCCCTATAGGAGATATGAGGCGACAGCTAGAACTAATACTCCAGCATCTTGCAAACATAGACAGCAACTTTTCACAGCACCTCAGGTCACTTGGAGTGGCTTCCTTGGATCTTCTGATCCAAGACATCCCCGCATTTGTATCCTACTGCCTAGATTGTGATTCTAGAAAAAACCTCCGGATCGCTCTGAAAGAAGCCGCAGAATCTTTATACCCCTTTTTGAGATTTGGCCGTCTTCAGTTATTCCGCACAGAAAACGAGTATCTTGGTCTTGGCCCCCGGTCTTCTCGTCCAGACGATCAAGTCTGGGTTTTTGAGCAAGCCAGAGTGCCATTCATCCTACGAGCGATCCCTGATTCCGAACACTTTCATCTTGTTGGAGAATGCTACGTGCACGGTGTCATGCAAGGCGAGTTGGTGGACAAAATTAAATTCAAGAGGATTGGATTAGCTTGATTATTAATACCGGGAATTGCTTGGAAGAGCTGAGAGAAAGTCGTTCAATCATTCAAACCCGATCAGAATATGGAGTGTGAATGTACCTTGGCTCCGTTGGGGTCTCGACTCTTGACGTCAGGCAATATCTTGTGAAAACGTAAATTAGTTGGAAGGTGGCGGAGAAAGCAAATATATACTCGAACAAATCATCAACGCAGCTGTCTGGAAAGGCCACTACCGAAGGAGGGATATCGACCATCACTTCTTTATATTGAGCTACGTTCGGACCACCCTTAACCGGTTGGCTCCCGGAACTCCTGGAAAAAAACTGGTCACGTGAGGAACACCAGAATCGCCCCTTTCTAGGAAATCGCGCATCGGAATGCGATTATGTCCAAATCCTTAGCGCTCAGCTGGGGATTAGAGAGAAGCAGCTCAAGTACCTTTCTCTCTATTTTAGTGGTTCTGGAATGCAAGGGGCTTTTATTGCGATTTTTTAAAGCTCGGGGGGGAATTCTCAAGGCTCTGGCTAGCTCTCGGGACTCCCTAAAAATACAAGTCACGTGAGGAACATTAAAACTTTTGCATATCACATGCCATACGAGCTTAAGGGAAGTTCTACGGGTATAAGAGAGAGCTTTATAAATAAGAATAAGGATATAAGGGTTTATATAAGAAAAGAGAAAGCTTTATAAGCTTATAAAATAGCTTAGAGGGAATTATAAGTAAGAGAAAAAGCTATAATAATTTATTAAAAGAAGAAAAGGCTTTATAAATATAAGTAAAAGCTAAAAAGAAATTATAAATAAAAATATAATTAATAAGAAACTTAAGGGAAATAAGCTTTAAAAGGCTTATAAAAGAAAAAGAGCTTTATAAGTAATAATAAAGGCTATAATAGTTTATATAAGGAAATAAGAAACTTTATAAGCTTATAAGATAGCTTAGAGAGAATTATAACTAAGAAAAAGAATTATAATAATTTATAAAAAGAAAAAAAGAACTTTATAAATATAAGTAAAGATTAAGAGAAAGTTATAAATAAGAATATAAGTAATAAGAAATTTATAAAAATAAGTAAAATTTAAAAAAAACTTATAAAAAAGAAAAAGTTTTATAAATAAAAATAAAAGCTATAATAATTTATAAGATAACTTTATAAGTATAAATAAGGCTTAAAAGAGTTTATAAAAAGAGAAAAAGAGCTTTATATATATAAATAAGATTATAAGAATTTATAAAAAGAAAAAGAAAGTTTTATATATATAAATAAAAATTATAGTAATTTATAAAAAAAAGTAAAAAGTTTTATAAATATAAATAAGACTTAAAAAAGAATAGAAAAGAAAAGAAAAAATAAAGAAAGCTTTATAAAAATAATATTAGAAATAATAAATAAAATCAAAATAAAATTAATATATTAAATATAAGATTATAAATATAATTCTTTATATATATATAATTAAAAGAAATTATATTAAGTTTAAAGTTTAAGAATTTATAAAGTTAATTAATTAAAAATAAATAATATAATATAAAAAAGAATTTTATAAATTAAATTAATAAAAGAAAGTTAATTATAAATTAATTAAAAAATATATTATATAAAAAATATAAGAAATATATAAATTATATTTAATTTTATTTTATTAATTTATAAAAAGAAAGAAAAGGCTTTATAAATATAATTTTTATAATTTTTAATTAATATATATTAGAAATAAAAAGATAAAAATAAACTAAATTTAATATATTAAATAAAAGTTTATAAATATAAATTCTTATATATATATAATTAAAATATATAATTAGTAATTTTAATAATTTAAAGAAATTATATTAAGTTTAAAGTTTAAGAATTTATAAAATTAATTATTTAAAAATATAATATAATATAAAAAAAAAAAAAAAAAAAAAAAAAAAAAAATATAAGAAATATAAGAAATATATAAAGTAAATTATATTTGATTTAATTTTATTAATTTATAAAAATATAAAAATAACTTTTAAATTAAAAAATATATTTTTAAATATTTTAATTTAAAAAGATTTTAAAAATAGTTTATATTTTTAATATATTTAATAATATAAAGTTTTTAGTAAGCTCTTTTAATTAAAATCTTTTATATATATAAAAAATTTATTTTAATATAAATTAATAAAAATATCTTATATTAAAGAAAACATATATTAAAAAAATTATTAACTTTTAATAATAATTCTATTATATAATATAATAGCTTTTATTTTTTTAAAATTATTAAAAATATTATTAAAATAAAATTAAAGAAAAATATTATTTAATATTAATAAATTACTTTTATTAAAACCTTTCTTTATATAATATTTATTAATAAAAGAATTATAAAAGGAATTTAAATTAATTTTCTTTAATTTTTAAAACTTATTTATTTTAGTTTTTATTTAAAGTACTTATATTATTAAAATTTAATTATTAAGAATATTAAGACTTTTTATATAATTATATTATAATTTAAAATAATATTTTAATAATAATTAAATTTAATTAAACTTAAAATTTAAAAGAAATTATAAATAAAATATAAATTAAAAGAATAGTTTTAGCTTATTTATAAATAATTTTATAATTTATAAGTTATTTTCTTTCTTATATAATTTATTAAAGGTTTATAAAAGTTTATTATTAAGAAGTATTTTTTTAAAGAATTACTCGGGACAAGTTTAGGGCAAAATTATTACTAGCCCCGGAGCTTATATAGGGCCGCTAGCAATAATTTTAGTAGAGCGGCCCTAAACTCGTTACTTCTTTATATTAAGCTATATTCGGACTACCCTTAACCGGTTAGCTCCCGGAACTCCTAGAAAAAAACTAGTCACATAAGGAATATCAGAATTGCTTCCTTCTAGGGAATCACGTATTAGAACGCGATTATATCTAAATCCTTAGAGCTTAGCTTAGGATTATAGAGAGAATACTCGAGTATCTTTCTCTATATTTTAATAGTTCTGAGATATAAGAGGCTTTTATTATAATTTTTTAAAGCTTGGGAGAAAATCTAAAGCTAGCGGTTTTATAGAAGGTACTAAGAAAAGAAATCCTAATCTTATATTACTTTTCTTTCTTTCTTTTCTTTATTACTATAGATCCTCCCCGCTTTTATACTTCCTATAGGCAAAACCGGCCTGCTTCTGACTTTATTATAGAGCAGGCTAAGCTATATAAAACTTGCTCTTACTATTAAGTTTATATCCTTCCTCTTTTCTGACTTAATTAACTAGTTAATAGGCCCGAAATACTACTAATTATACCTAGTAGTGCCCTGCCTTGCAAGAACTTGATCCAAATACCCTCCCTATCTCCCGGTAATAATAATAGTTAATTACGGACGTCTTTATAGACGAGCTAGCCTCACGGCGCTAGTAACGGATCCATTAACCGTCCGTTGCGGCCCTAGTTTATATTATAGAGGACCCTCTTACTAACCCACCTACTATACGGCCTCCTGCCTTTCTTTCCCGCTTCTGGCCAGCTCCCGCATATATAACTAGTCCGCTTACGGGTTACTATATAGCTTGCGAAGCCCTTTATTTTAGCTATATGGACAATTACTTTAAGGCCTATTATAAGAAGGGTAACGTAATACTTCCTCTGATCCGCAAGCCTCCTCTATACCTCTCTTACCTCTTTACGGGCAATAACCCGCTTTATCGGGCCTTCCGGATAAATATCCGGGTATATAATTATGCTTTTGCCTTTACGTTAATTAGCTATAAGAAGAATACCCGGATTAACTTCTCCCGTAGGATCTAGTACTTTTAGATCTATAGCAAGCTCTTCTACTTCCAAGGCCCGCTATAGCCCGCTTTATATACTAAATCCTCCTTTATATAACTCTTCTTTTATAATCCGCTCTTTATAACTAATATACGGGCTACTAACTTCCCTTACTTAGATCATATAGTTCTTTTATAGCTTATAGATATACTTACGGATTATAATCCGTTTATTATGGTCTATAAGATAGCCCGCAAGCGTCTTGCGAGCTAGTAAACCGATTTCCGGATCTTACTTAACCCGTAAATACGCTTAATTCTTGAGTCAGGCACTAATTATTATTATAAGAACCTCCTAACGAATAACGAGATTATAGCCCTTATCCCGGATAAGTATACGAATACAAGCTACTATAATCTAGTACTTATGGTCTGCGAGGCAGGCTGCAAGCATTTGCAAATACGTATGGTTAATATTATATATATAGTATATATACCGCTCTATTATATCTTACTCTTCTCGTATAGTAACCCGGGCTAGTACTACGGTTTATAGTTATAGGACTATAATAGGATCTATTAGCGGATATGGCTAGAGTAGCGGGTCTTTTACCGGTACTACTTCTACGTTTATCCGGCCTTCTCCCTGCTCTTTTATACTAGCCGCCTCTTTTAGTAGTACGTTATTAATATATATATTACCTATAAGACTATCTCGCTTAACTAGCTCCACTCATACTAGTAAAATATCCGTACGAATATATATATAGGACTTGCGGATACTCTAATTCGCAAGGATATCCGTACGGGCAATATTAGCTATTACTTTATCCTCCCGTCAAGCTTTACGGGCAGTAATTACTTTATGTAATAGCTCTTTTAAGACTTAATAACTATTATATAATACTTTAGTAAGCCAAGCTTCTTTATTACCTTTATAACTAACCCGTACTAGCCTGAGATTATAGATTACCTCTTAAATAGGTAGCAAGCTATTAATTATCCGGATCTCCTTTACCGGGTCTTTATATTAAAGGTAAGAGAGCTACTTGCAGACCTAAAGAATTACCTTTTTAGACTATATATAGGCTATATATATATGATTAAGTACTAGAAGCATAGCCTCCCGTATATATACCTGCTCTTATTTCTTAGGAAGGAAGCCGTCTTCTTAATCCCTAATTTAGTTAACGAAGTTATTTATACCGAGCTCCTAGACCCGTTATGGGATCCTATAGGCAAACTTATAACTATAGTAACTAGTCAGATATCTTACGGACCGTATAGCCTTAAAGATAATCCGAAAGCCCCGTATATGGTCCGTAAGATGCCTATAGCCCCGCTCGTATACTAGAAGAGGTTCCCCAAAGCATTTATAGCCATAATAATTATTCGCAAGAATAAGTATCCCGAGTACTAGTACCGGGATAATAGTCATACGTTTACGGTCCGTAAACCAGACTTTTTAGGCCAGGAAGTTATCCGTAATAACTACTAGGTCATTTCATATAACCCGTACCTCCTCTAGAAATTCCGCTCCCATATTAATATTAAGATTTACGCTTCCGTATAAGTAATTAAGTATATCTATAAGTATATCTATAAAAGAACGGACTATATGACTATTATAGTCTCAGGAACGGATAATAAGATTACCTAATACCTTTAAGCTCGGTATATAGGCCCTATAGAGGCTTTCTGGCGCCTGTTCGAGTACCTAATATACTAGGAGTTCCCCCCGGTCTAGTACTTGGCGATCTACCTCCCTGGGTAGCATATGGTCTGCTTTACGAATAATCTCTTGCCCGAGCAAATCGTAAACCGGGCCGCAAATACCTATTTGACCTTAATAGCTTTCTTTAAGTATAATACGATATACGAGAACGGCCGCTAGTACCTCTACTACGAGTTCCTATAGTACTTTATATAGGTTACTAAGACCCGGATATAGAAGTACTGCGAGCGAGGGTATAGTATTGGCCGTATTTACTACTATAGCCCAGTTTCAGGCGAGCGGTTCTACTTATGGCTCTTACTAATAGTTATATACGGTCCGCGGTCCTTTAATAAGCTCTACTTAGTTAAGGGCATCCGTTATCCTATATACTATACTACCTATATTACTTGCGGCTTAGCAGAGAATAATCAGGAGTAGTTCTAGTACTTTAACAAGGCTATTTTATTAATAACTAGCCATGGTTTACGGATACTCTTTCTTATAGGTATCCGCTAGTAGCTAATTATAGATAAGCGAGTAATCTGGGACTAGTATAAGAAGCATTTCTATAATAACTTGGCCCGCAAGCTAGCCTATAACCTATTAATTAATTTCCCGCTACCCTTAGTTAATTCTTACTATAATTACGGCCTCTTTTTACTTGGTCTCGGCCTTATAAATCTCTAGCAAATACTTATGAATATTACCCTGCCTGAGAATACCTTTAACTAGACCATAAGCCACTATATAGCTAATCTACGGGTTAATTATACCTATAAGATATTACTAGCGACCGTAATATAAGCCTAGCTAAACATGAACTAGTACTCTTGCTTCCAGATAATTATAGTAGTAATTACGGATAATTCGTAGACTGCCCACTTCTACTTATAAGGCCCGGGCAGGACCGGTAAGACATTTCTTTATAAGACCCTCTACTACTATTACTATAGCCAGGATAAGGTAGTCCTATACGTGGCATTAACGGGTATTATGGCTCTCCTTCTCCCGGATAGACATATGTCTCACTCCTAGTTCCGGATCCCGCTCGAGCTTAATAAGTTATCTATAAGTATAATTACTAAGACAAGCTAGCTCGGGGCTCTCTTATGATTTACGGACCTGATTATCTGGGACGAGGTGCCTATATAGTACAAGTACTACTTTGAGGTAGTATACTGGCTAATAGTTAATTTATGATCGGTTACGGACGATATTCTCTTTAGAGAGGTGCCCGTAATCCTTAGGGAAGACTTTGCCCAGATCTTACTAGTAGTCCCATATAATTCGCGGGCTAATATAGTACGGGCCTGCCTATAGCGGATATAGATCTGGCTATGGCTCTATTAGCTATTATTACGGATTAATATACGGGTTCATAATAACCCGTCCGAGCAGGATTTTATAAACTGGATTAGTTATCTGCTATATAACCCGTCCTTAAATAGGCAGATTATACTCCCGCCTTTTATTCCGTATACCTAGTTAGTTACGGACCTAATTAATTATGTCTACCCGTGAGAATGACTCTTACGGGCCCCGTATAATTACCGGGCCTTTAATAAACGGGCAATCCTATTAACCCTAAATAATACGGTCCGTAAGCTTAACTAAATAATCCTGGATATGCTCCCTAGCCAGGAACGGACATATTTCATAGTAGATTCGGCTAATATAAACGAGGCAGATCCTGAGATTATAGAATTACCGCCAGAGATCTTATAAAGTATCTATTTACCGGGTCTACCCCTTTCCAAGCTATAACTCAAGATTAGTATACCCGTAATACTCTTACGGAATCTCTATCCGCAGGAAGGGCTTTATAACAGGTTACGGATATTAATTTATAGCTTTGGGAAGTTCTTGATTTATATATGGCTACTAAGTAATAATTTTAATAACTAATTACGGATAATTCTACGGATTAAGCTCTAGTTAACGGATTAGTAACTATCTTTTATACTCTCCCATAAGTAGTTTCTACTTGCTTTATCCTTTATAATAATTATTAATAAGTTATAGGACTAGTTATTTAAGGTAGTAGGGGTGAATTTATGATTGCCGGTCTTTTCTTATAACTAGTTCTATATGGCAGCTTTATGGGTAATTTTATAAGCAGGGCTTTATATTCTTTTACTTCCTAATATAAACTATACGAGTAATATAGTATACCCAGAAATATTATAAGGTCTTGCTTAGCTTTTAACTTACTTACGAATAACTTTATATACTTATGGGCTATTCTTCTTCTTATATTATCTATAAAGGCCTTTACTAAGTCACATATCCCCTTTAATTCTAACCCTACTCGGGACGAGTTTAGGGCAAAATTATTAATTAGCCCCGGAGCTTATATAAGGCCGCCAATTAATAATTTTAGTAAAGCGGCCTTAAACTCGTCTATATAATACTATTAGACGGTCGGACTACCTAGTTAAAAAACTAGTTACGTAAGGAATACCAAAACTTGAGCCTAAGCCCCCCATATATTACTCGCTCTAGGAATACCAAAGCTCTCTACTATTCCCTATATATCCCTCGGCCTTTTATTTAGCCTATAATTATATAAATATGAATTCTTTCCCATTATACTTTTATACCGGTTATAGATAATACTTTCTATATAGCGGATTTCCCCTAAATCTTAAGGGAGATCCGTATAAGACATATTTATAATATAAGGTCTCTTTATTCTTATATATCCGGACTTACGTACTTGGTTACTAACCTTCTTTAGGCTAAACGGGCTGCGAGGCGCCTTCCTCTTATAAATATTAATCCAAATACCCCTTAACAGACCCGTACCGGACCTATACGGCCTCCTATAGATAAGAATAACCCTCGGCCTCGAAAACGGATCCGTTAAACCTATAATAAGCTAGATGCGGCCTGTAGCTAGCTAGTAAAGGCTACTCTACTACTACTACCTTCTCCTTCTCCTCTTTCTCCTCCCGTCTTACCTATTAGCTTTTATTTATAGTTCCGGGATTAGCCCGCTTATAATCTTGGCCCGATAAATATTAAGTACGAGAATTATAGTATAAGGTACTAGATATTAGAGGCAATTACGGGCACGAATTAGAAATTTGAGCTCTATTATAAGAAAGGAGACGTAATAGTAAATAAGTTACGAATACCTCTGTTCTTTTTACAGGCACTTCTTAAAGGGAATAATCCGCAAGCCCGTAGCTTTTATTAAAATATAAGAGTATATAATTCTATACTTACTTTTATGTCCGTAAGCTATACCAAAGACATATATACTAATCTCTCTTGTAATCTTTACTACTTTTAGATCTATGGGAAGCTATTTCATTACTAGGGACCCTTAGAGCCAGGCTTATAATAGGTTCCGGCCTTTACCTAGTTATTTTTTTAT